ATGATACGAGACCTTGTCAATGTTTTGGGTATTTTAGAATATTCAAATTGATTCGAATAGTATATTATTGGATTCGGTTCAGAGCCAAATTTCGAATCGCCGACAACTTGTTTTTTCTTTACACCAGTCGGGGTGAAATCCCCAATATCATTATCATTCTGTTCGGCTCTTCTATTTCTCTCGTAAGAATTTGGACCATCCATTTCTGGTCAAAAATTCTGAAACGTACAAGACTCTCAAATAACAGAATGCAGAACGTCTTAGTATCAATAATACGAGAAGAAACAATCCAGGTATTGAAAGAATCATTCTCTCTCTCTCTACGTCATTCTCGAAGCTGAAAAATAAAAAAATTAAATAAGTGGACTGGTTATTAGTCAAAACAATATTTTTTTACATGACATGTTTATACTCGTTTCGAGTATTGTTCCGAACAAGGCTCCACACAAGCTGCTACTGCTTCATAGGGCTTTGAGGTCTGGATTGTTCCTGATTGCCTAACTAATTCATTACACCCAAATGATGTGGTGGATATGAGATTTATTTTGTACAGCTTTAACGGTAATAAGAATTTTTTCACTTTTTTTTTCTTTCAATTTGTACGGAAAAACTACAGCCCTTTAAAACACTGTCATCGGTTGAAGCAAGAAATCCGGCAGCAGGGTCAGTACGTATAACTGCTAATGGCAGGTCTAAGAGACGCATATCTCAACCAAATTTTAAATACCTCGCGCTCAGTAGATAACCGCAAACGGCCAGTCTAATAGACGTATAATCCAAACCAAATTTTGAAATAACATTGCGCAAAGTAGTTGTACGTTCAATTTCTTTTAAACAGGAATAGATAGGTGTTGTTTATTTATCTGGAAACGTCTGTGGCAAATTCAATACCAATTGCGTGAGGCGGGTCATTAGATGACCGCGGATATTGAATTGACGTATAAATATCAGTAAACAAGCTTGAAGTCGGGTATTTTCTTTGGTGGGCAACTTTGATGACAAAACAGGTGAGTACTCTATAGTCGTTTCCTGTAACTCATTTAGCATGCACGTCCAGTTTGGGATTCAAAACTTTATATTCACAAGGAAATTAACGCATACCTATAACCGGTGTGGTTCTATCGCATGTTGATAGAGTTGTGATTCGATAAGGGCTGGCAAAAATAATTCCTTCGAGCCAAATCCATCCCAGGATCGTTGCGGATTCTGATGCAATGATCGTATTTTTGCGGCGGATAACGAAATGCCACAAGACTCCGGTGCTTTTAAAACGTTCGAGTAATTTCGGTAAAAATCCTTAACGGGAGTTCCTCTCCAACAAAAAACGTTAACAATTTTGCACACGGTATCCCAATAAAAATATATCCTAGTATGCCAGTGTTTCCCAACCAGAGTCCGCGAAGCGTTTGAATGAGTCCGCAACGAGCCAGAAATTCACTGCGAGTCGCAAATGTTTTTGCCAAAATTAACTATCAGCCAATTTACGATTTACGTTGGAATTCACATACAACGCAAGTTGATCCACATAACATTTTTCAAGTCAATCATTACTAGTTACTGAGTATGGCTGGGCATATATTCGAATGTTCAACTATTAGAATAGCAATTCACTATTCGAAAATTTGGTAACAGGTGACGCGAAAGGCCAAAACGATTGGATTTCCCAACTCACTTGCGAATTTTCGACGGAAAAACGAGCACGCGAGCGGTGTTTCTCGCGATTTCGAACAAGGAGGAATAATTTTTTTTCACGTAGGTGTCAATGGTAGAAACCCAAATTTTCTAAATTAAAAATAAAACGGTAAACCCCATAACTTTTGTTTTATGATTGTACGCGACCGATTAAAATCGCTTCCCACAGACATTGCAAATCGCAAAATTTCGGATGATACCGTAGTATATATATACCGTATATACATTGGTACGTACATTACTGGAGCGCCGTAAGTGTTGTGCGAACAGCTCAGATTTATTGAATTGGAATAAACGAAAAACGATTCGAAAAAACGAATTAAAACAAAATATAATCTGGCAACGCGAGTTACCATGAACCCAATTAAAATAGAAAGACATTTTAAACTCTTGTCGTTGTCATGGATTGAATATAGTGCGACAGAAAAGGCCATTACACTGTCGGCTCTTTTAACGGACGTGTAATTGCGGCGAATTCCCCATTTTGAAATTCGTTCAAATTCCGTTGTGTTTGGTTTTTATTGCTTCTTCACACAGAGTACGGTTGCAATAAACGCACCTTAAGTCCGCAAAGGTTTTCGCCGGTGAGAAATTAGTCTGCGACCAAAAAAGGTTGGGAAACGCTGTAGTACGCATTACATTTTCTGATGAAACGTGTTTGCTAAACCTATCAATATGGAGTACTCCAGAAGTATATGAACCAAGATGACGGACACCGGAACGTAGTATGTGTACCAGGTTGGGGTTATGCCATGACTTCAGGTATAGATCTTACGGGAGTCACTTGGCTAGTCCCCGAACTCGTAATAAAACTAAAATAAGGAAAATTGAAATAAAATAATTATGGCCAACCCCAACCTGGTGCACATTCGACGTTCTGGTGCACATTCGACGTTCCGGTGACCGCAATCGTGGTGCGCATACTTCTGAAGCGTTCGATATGATGTACTTCTAGCGTGCAATGTTTCGCATTGTCATATTATCATTAGGTACAAGTGACTGCTGAGTTTCGCATATTTACTATAGGTGATTTCTCATTTGCCTGTACAGCACGTTGACGACTTTGTCTTATATATAACGGATTTAAGCAATTTGGGTATTGGCAATACTAAATTGAACGAAGCACGCGAATCAGTAGTAATTCTTACTTAATAATTCCGAACGTTTTTATCAAAATAAGGACGTTTCGCCTCTACACGCAGCGAGTGGATGGAGGATTTAAAGTGGGCATACCTTTATCATTTGAGCTTTCATCATTGTGGTCTTTCTCCGTTATTCTTTAGTTTATTATTGACGAGGTCGAGAAAATAAGCTCCAGTAAACTCCAGTAACTTGCGTTTCGAGCAATGATAGGACAATAATTAGCAATTTGTCCGAGTATCAGCCCCAGCGACTTAGATTTTGAATCGTTGATTATCTCGACTGTGCTGGAACAGATTTCCCGTCGTTTTCAAACTCTCTTATATGGATGATGAAAGAGTTTTGATGCCTACTTTCGAAAGCATTTAATGTTTCTTTCCTCGCCAAACACCTTTTCTTTATCCATTTGTATTCCGGCTTGAGAAACGAGAAAAATTTATTGTCCAGCAACAAAATAAATGACAAGTTCTTGGCGCCAACTTTCGAAAGCATTCATCGTTTATTTCTTCATCGAGCATTGGTACTTTTGCTGTCGTATCCACCCGTTTCGGGATAGGTGAAGTACTTTATTGATATCTTCGGATTTTAACCGCATATTGAAGGCAATGGATTCTTTCCGTATCGCTGCCACCACGCCAGTAAGGACGTATATTATTGGATTCTGCCACAGTTCTCCCACTCAACAATAAATGAATACAGTTAGAACAACGCGATTGTCGGGATAATAGGTTACACGCATGAGCGAGTTGATTAAAGTGTTTACATGCAATGATACACAAACAAGTAAAACACAAATAAATCGGCGCTGGTCTGACATCTAGCGGAGTATAATATTTGGGCTTAACGCCAATGCCGCGAGTCTTAATTCACTCTAATCATCGCATTAAATGTTCATTGATCTGTTGTGAAAATTGATACAAAATCATGTCGTATATTTATCCCCTGATCTTAACAAAATTTTAAAATTTACCAAATGTATCATTTATGTATCACCTAATCATTTATTGGTCGAGGAAAGAAAGTTATTAGATTACCAAATCGTATCACGTAAACGAAAAGTTAAGCGGTACAGCAGTTCATTTAGATATATTTTGTGGTCCGAAATAAAGTTTTTATGATTTAGATACCATAAAATTCAGCATAAGTTAAATCATTCTTTACAATGGGATAATTCTGACCAAATTGTAATTGAGAAATATGTATTTCAATAATAATTAGTGACGTCACTTGCCTGAGGGCGTGTTTCGTCAGACACCGGTGAATTAGAATCTTAACGATCCAATAGTCGCCTGTCAAGTGTGTTAGAAAGAGCGTTCTTGCCAAGTAGTGATATTGATACGATGTCATCAAACGAAAAGTTTATGTTAGTAAATGTTAGCCAAGGATTAGATTGGTGACAATTAGATTACATACAACTGAACTGAGTTCATAGTGCAGCAAGGTTTTTGATACGATATCATGGAAGTATATGTTTGTATTTGATATCCAAGAAATTGGTTGGTGACAATTATATTACAGCATGCCGTAAGCAATGAAGCTATGATCATAATGTAATGAATTGATGGTTCAGCAAAGGTTTTTAATGTAATTACTCTCGCATGTATAAGCTTATATTACAGAATATTCAGGCACCCATAATCAGACGGGTATTGGTTATGCATTTACAAGGATCTGATTGTACTATCGAGTAACTTTGGTACATACTGGTACGATAGTTAACAAGGTTAAAGCAAAATTTAAAAGAAATAGTGTTGAGTTAACAAGTAAACTTTTGCGACTCAAACTCCGTGTAACTTTGCCGATCACTTACGCCGTTGGATGCATGAAAATACTGTCCTATTTTTCATAAGGCATAATTTAGGTTATACTATCAGAAACTAAAAAGAGGAGTAATGAGCATGTTTGGAAAATGCTCTGTTTTAGTTGTAACTCAAAGTTCAAATGAAGTCTATTTTATTTAATTCCTAAGATAACGAAATATCAAGACGTGAAAAGGCAAATAAACTTAAAATAATAAGAATTTATAAAGATCTTGGTCTCAGCCCGCCATTTTTAACTAAAGGAATCAAAGTACTCCCAGAATCGATCATTTTTGGCGCTTCTAGAAATTAATCCCTAATTTTGTTTTATTTACATTTTTTAATCTTTTTATTTTCCATTACAGTTTGACTTTCTCTAAGTATAAGATTTTTATTTATGTACAATGTTTTGAATATTCAATAAAATTATTGTATCACAATACTTCTCAAGACGATTGGGTGATTGGGACGAAAGTGTGAGAGAAGACTATTTCTAGAAAAGAGTATAGAAGGCTAGAATATTTTCACTTGTCTACCGATATGCGCAAATACACGTTACCGCTGAGGTGATGACAATTAGATGAGACGATACACCCGTCCTGTCTTACGAATGAAGGCAAGATATCTTATAACAATCGTTTTATTGATTGGAATAACAAGCTTTATTACATGGATGCAATCTGGAGAAGTTACAGATCAAACTCTTTCAAAGTCTTCTCATGACGAAGAACAGATTCAGGTATGGTTGAATCAGCAGTCAGGGATTGATTTCATTGTATATGTAAATTGTTAACATCGCGAACCTGGACTGATAAGTAAGGCTCGGGAGCGAGAGCATCGAGTTTCGCGGACAAGCAATATCGGGCGAATACTCTCATTTGTATAAGCACGTCCGCGCTATTTACTGCAGTTGGTAGAATGAAGATATTTTTCATTTCAATTTCACGCTGAAGAAGTCAAGCAGTTGCATTTGTAACAAACCCCGAAGGTTCATTATACCTTCGCACGATTTTAAATATTTTCATCATTATTTCTCAATAGATTTTGAAAAATAAATACATTCTGTTTTCTTTCAGCCTTCAATTTTTATGAAATATTTTTCATCGCGATAATTTATATTTTTGATTTACACCCAACGTTTTTGTAAAATAAAGTTAACGGAATCATGACTAAATTTATATATTTATTTTGGTATTTTCCATAAAGAAACAACCACAGATAAAAACACGGTCACCCAAGTCGAAGAACGAGCAGCCTGTGGTTGTTCAAACACCCGATCTGACAATTTTGCCAAAGAAAGAAATCGTTTTGCGTCCACCAATATCGGCTTCTTCCTGGACTACACTTTCTCCTATAAGCGAGTTAGAAAAACAGGAATATTACAATGAATTCTTCAAATCTTCTGCGTTTCAATCTACTGATCGTAAACAAAAACAAAGCAATGGAAATTTCCTTCTTCCTGTCTTGTTTTTTGATGTTGGACCAAATAATTTATACAGGTATTAGATAATTTTTCAAAAAAATTGTTTTATTCTATTATGAAAAATTTTTCTTATTATTTTTATATAAAAGTCATTTTGGTTCTAAGAGTAGTTCTTAAGCATAGTTACCTTGTAACGTAAGTTTGAGTTGTTGTCATTCTGTGTGACACTTGAGTTTCATTTTTCGACGCTCCAGAAGTGTGTGTTCGTGTACCAATATGAATGTAACCAATTCTGTTCGCCTACTTTACATCAAGTTGTATAAAGAGACTAGAACCTATGGACAGGGCGCATATTCACTTGCCTAACACAGTCGCCGAACTCGTAATAGAACTGAAATAAGGATAATCAGAAAAAAAAAATTATGGCCTAATCCTAACCTGGTGCACACACTACGAGAGTACCCATTTTTCTATCCTATATCTACAATTAAGAATTCATATTATGCGGGGCATCTGCCCTATCGAAGACATATGTAATGGTATTTGTCCAATGCAAATTGTTAACAAAATCTAAATATTTGTAAGCAACTAGAGGTTTGAAGGGAAACAACTTACATGTATTCATGATGTATATGCTATCCTACAGAATTGAATCAATTTGCTGACTTTTAAATAGGAAAAAAAAAAAAAATTCTTCATATATTGTTGTCAACCTTGGTTACATAAAATAATAAGCTGATTTTGGAAACCATGGAAGATCTCCACAAAATCAAAATGCAGCAATGCTTCACTTTTCAGATTATTTAAAGAAACAATACCAATAGCAAAAGCAATGGAGAGAACTCTAGTTGTGCCGCCTTTTCATCGTCATCCGAGGATGGAAAATTATGTCAGAGGAAAGCGAATAGGAAAAGGTAAAATGAATTGAAAGTTGAAGTATTATTTTTGAGCTAATAGAGTAAAGACCTTGTCAGAGTCATAGTTTGTAGTTATACTATCTTACTCAAGATTCAAAAAGTTCAATTTTGTTATGAAGTCAGTCTTTAATATATCTTAACTAGGTTTTTTTTTTTTTTAATCAGTAATTGTTCAGGTATTTTTATTTATTTAATACATCTGGGAAGGCTAAAACAATATATGGTATCGATAAATTCCATTCGCAATCTGAAATAATATAAAGACTTTATGGACAATATATAATACATCGAACAGATCGACGACCTGATGTTTTTTCGAAATGGATCATATTGAATATTTTCGGCTACCTTCATTCAGTCAGGTTTCAAGTAGACTGTCGGAAACCAATATAGATTTGTGAATTCGGAATACAAATCGTATTAAAACATTTGTCACGTTTGGTGTCTCGTAATAGTGCTCATTTAAAGATCATCTCGGCCATTTTCTATTTTTGGCTTGACTAATTGTTAACGTTTATTTAACTTACAAAATAATTATCACTTTTGCCTACGCAACTGTACAATTAGTCGACGTAAACGTTTTCTTGGATAGTGTTTTCTATCATGAAGTATAAAACAGTTTTTGAAGCTTTGTGTCTCACAAATACTTTCCTTTGCTTGTTTTGCTCAACACAATTAACAACAGCGGTATTCTAAGTAATGAAAAACAGTAAGTTAACGATTTCGCTTCATTCAAATTTTCGAATGCGTTGCCTTCTTTCGTGGTTTCAAATAACAAATATCAGGTTTTGTCCTGCGGTTTTCTATATAACTATATATAATACAAAGATACGATTGAAACAATTTTTATACTTCAAACCTTGCAATTGGGCCATTAGTTTCATATTTAGGTCCAACTCCCATTAACAGAGAACCAATCTACGAGTATATTGTGAATGTTACGCGTTGAGTAAATATGTAAAGACCAGAAAAACCCTCAAACTGGACGTGTGATTGAAGTTCCGATATTTGACTGAATTAAAGTTTGAATCTGAATTAAGCAAACACAGCAAGCTTATGAGTTGAATTATCACACTTGTGGAAAAGATAGTTTCAACAACCAAGGGTATTTGAAAATATTGCATTGGGTTATTTCAAATGCTTCCTTTATGGCTTTAAATAACACATATATATATATCATGTTTGAGCCGCAGTTTTGTAAAACTAGCATTTTCAATTTTTATTTTGACCGAAACTTGACATTTGGGCAATACAGGTGCCAGCAATTTTGCATATAACCCCCCCCCCCCCCCCTCCCCCCAAAAGCGAGCCAAATTATACAATTATTTTATGAACCTTACTCGTCGAAGGACACACAATACCAGTTAACACTTTGAATTATTTTTAATTTAGAAAACTCTCAAACCTCTCAGTCTGACCGTGTGATTGAAGTTCCAATATTTGATCAAACCTACGTTGTTGGTTTGGAAACGAATCCATCGAAGTCTCTTGATATGAAAGCTCTGCGTTATTTTGTTCCTGTGGAATCCATGGACAAGTGAGTACTTTTAATTGGAAAAGACTTGATTTTACTAAGTTAGCGTGATGGGATATTTGCAGTATGCTTATGCTTAGGCTTACCGTATATACGAAACGGAAAACCGTGACAGTGCGGATTGGACAAAGCTCGGGCCGATGATATATTTATGACTGCCATACTACATGGCCGGGACATTTGAGTCTACGGTCGGGACGCCGAGAGAGCTTGTCTAAACCGGGGCTCATTTACGCTTATAGTTAAGATGCCCACCAAAACTTTTTTTTGTCTTTGTGTAATTTAATTTTAACAAAAGGTCTCATTCTCCAGTAACCCTTACTACGCAGGCACGAAACTTGGATGCTTCTTAAATAAGCACCAACATTTCGATTCCTGAATTGGTGTTATATTTTGTAACTCGTATTATAAACCAATAAGTTAGCGCCTAATTAATAATAGACAAAAATCATTTCGTAAAATAGACCGTTTTAAGTCTCACAACCTTCCGCGTGAAATTGTTGCAAACGTTTTTGTACATAATGTAACGAAATTTCAACCCGCAAAATCTAATATATATCATTACTGTTTCTGTTCATAATTTTCCATCAATAAAATTTGATCAATAATAAAACATTATTTTTAGACAAAGATTAGTGGTGTTAATTTTTGGTTTAAAATACCGGTTTATCCACATTTTTACTTCAATCATAAATAATTAGTATTCTCATACCGGACATTACCACATTGTACGCGTATAGTAATTTGAAATATTTAATATGCTACAACGTAATTTATAAATATATCGTTAAAGAATTTTGGTAATTGATAATTGGTGAATATAAAGCAAAAAATAGAACATTGTATAACGAAAAGTAAAGTCATCATTCGAGATATACTTGGTTGTAAACATATGAATTTAAATGTATATAAATGCATGAAGTTGTGCCGCGGCTCACCAGGTATATAAGCCCTTTGTGAAATGGAACCATTCCGTTAAATATATGATTGAAGTGATTCAAGTTTCTTGCTGCGCACTAATACAAATGTATTTCGGCAAGTTTTCTTCAGACAAGCATGTTCCAACTGTCTCGCGTAACCCCAACGGATATATTGCCTATTTTTCTATACTGTATAATTTGGGCAGCGGTGCGTTTTCACCGAAATATAAATAGATAATAGTAAAAAATAATAACAAGTAAATTGATCTTCTCGGCGGTGTGGCGCATCGTGCTAAGCGTTGGGAATACGCTTGCCACCGCATCTCTGATTACCTTGCGTGGGTTCGCAGGTTCGAATCCCATGCGGGGATGATTATGTGCGAGAGGATTGCTGGACTCCTCGCCGCCGTAGGGTGGTTCACGTAACCGCTGGTCGGTTACGGCTCCATCCTCCATCAAGTCCATGCTTCCGAAAACAAATAACTGTCTAACTAATCCCATATCCGACCTGGACTGGTAACCGGACGAGAGGCCGTGGCGGATTAAGTCGTCTTATCGGCTTTCCTCTCCCCCGGGATAAATATGTAAATCCTATCCTATCAGCAGCAAAGCTCACGTATTCAGCGGTGGTTGGAGTCGAGCAACAGCATCTGACTTCGGCATCGGGCACAATTGAGGCTCAGACTCCACACATCAGTGCATATGCAATGCACAACACCAAAGTCTAAACATGAAATATAAATACAATATAAAACAATGAAAAATAAGACGACTCCAGTCTCGCCACAATAGCAAAAGCAGAGTAATATGTTTCCACAGGTTTACTAAAGGATGTTCAGAAGAATCAAAAACACTACTGGTCTGCGGAGAACTCGATGAGAAGCGAAGAAAAGGAATCCAGCTATTTATAACCGCAGCAAAACTCAAATTTACGAAAACCGTTCACGTTGAATCATTCAGTGATATAATCGAGAATAAAACATGGAAAATGTAATTGTTTTTTTCGTTTATTTTCTACAAAATTGAAGGCTTAGTGGATGAATTTTTGGCGCAATAATAAACGTCTTGAGAAACGTCCATTTACGTCAATATAGTATACTATAAATATACACGTTGTAATTTATTTGTGGCAAGCTGATTCAACCGCCTCTCCCAAAATGATAAACATTCGAATTCTGTCATAATCATAAGTTTAGTTCTAGTTTGATAAAGCAATGGTTTTACATTTAAACAATTTAAATTTTAAACGAAATCTACGAATCATCATCTTTTTTTGTCAATTTTATTCAAAAATCTAAATCAATCTCTAGAAAATTGTGAAATAATGATAAAATCAGAAAGGTATTAAGCAATTGTAAATAATATTCTCATATATTTTGACAAAAACGTACAGATCGAATGGTCTAATCCAGTGTATAAAATCTTTTTTAACGAATATTTGTAATTACTACACCAAATGTATTAACATTTACAGTATTTACAGTATACGGGCCGAGTATTTGTTGTCAAATCTGAAACATCAAGTTTATAGCAATCCTCTTTTATTATTATCTCATAATATATGATGTATTTATTTTCGCACAGAAATCTAGCAAGTGCCAATGAACAGCTTGAAGATTCGAAGTGCGCTGGACTGGCTATAGGACGTGGATGTCTTGGGTCTAAGGAAGCCTGGCTGAAGCAATATAAATCTATCTCGCCTTTTATTAGAAGACCAGTCCCAGTCAAGGTCAGTTATTGTTTTGCTGTCACATGTTTGATTTATTTTATTCAAAAGCCAAACAGTACAGTGCGATGAACGGTAATAAAAGATATTGCATGGAAAAAAAAGTAGGCTAATACAGTTTTCTAGCATCTTTGCTTTTTATACACATCACGAATAATCAAATAAGTTAAGATTCTGTCAATTGTGGTGTTCACTTTACTTTCAATATTTAGATTTTGGCAAAGAAATTTATTTCCGACATGATGTCAAATCAAGATTTTCTTGCAATACATTGGAGATATGATCAGATCGACTGGAACGATATGTAAGTATATAGCAGAATGGCAACAGCCTTTTTATGCGACATTTTTATAATCCTTTCGTCCCGAACAAGGGTGTGTACAAGCATACACTTCTTGATAAGTTGTGGAACAACTGAAATATTTTTCAGTTCGGTATTGCCTATCCAATTTTTCACACCCTGAGTGGGGTGCTGGGCATGAAATTTAAAACCCCGAAATTTCCAACCTGTATTATTCATAAACCCTATCTCTTTAAATGTATATTTTCTTAAAACCTAATGACGGCGTGTAAAAATTATATTGTTGTTCATCAACCCAAAGTCTTCAATCACTCCTGAAATCCAAACTTTCCCAGGGATAGTCATCTTTCACATTTCGAAACAGCCTTCTAAGCGGTGGATTGGTTTAGGTATTTCGCACGAACCCGTTCTACGAATGTATTGATAATCAGCAGACCCGATCTTATTATTAAAGCTCGACATGCTTTTCTAAAATGAAAGAACTTGTTATTAGTGAATTCTATACAAATGAGAACCTGTTCCTAATTCTAAGTTACCATAAATCATTGTTTAGGTGTAAACCAACACGTCCTGAAAGTGCCAGGAAAAGAAACGCACAAATTTGTGAACTTGCATCAAAGCTAGATTCCGAAGAAGGAGCTCTACTACAAATGGGAAAGAAAATAGTTCGATACATGAGGAAAAGAGGATTAAGAAAGGCTTATCTTGCTGGACCCCCACAGGTACATACATGATCAATATGCAAGACCGCCAATTTGTTTTGTTTTTTCATTTGTCAAAAATTTTTGGTTAAAAAAGATACTTTTTGTTGTTCCGAATGTTAATTTAAAGAACGGGATATCTTTTTAGCAAAATATCTGTATCCCATTGACATTTGCCAGCTTTTTAAATATGGCTTATCCACGTCTTTCGCTCAAAAAAAAAGGCTGCCCTAACCCAATTATATTTAACGACGGGCAGGGGACTACTATTTCTAGGAAATACTGGATTCTTTCCGGTTCGGATTTGCCTACCCATTTATTACTCCCTGCGTGCAGTGAGGTTTGAATCAAGAATCATAAATAATGTATGTTCAAGGTAACACGGATGGTCATGATACGCCAAAAACCCCTAAGTACATAAGTTCACCTCAACTACGTAAACGCTTATGTATGTTTAGGTATGTTTGCTTTTTAAAGAATTTTAGGGCAATAAACAGACCTCTTTGTTTAGTATTCAAATTATATTTTAAGTGATTATTTATATTGCAGATGAACGACACAATTCATAAACTACGGGCTAAAACCCCTGGACTGTTCACTATTCATGACGTCAGAGAGTATGCTGCAACGAGAAGATCGAGTACTGGATTTTTTGAAACCAATTACATGATGTCATTCTTAGAACAAGAGATATGCTACTGTAAGTATAAAACTGTATATATATATATCAAACTACAATAAACTGTGCTCCAGTAAAAACTTGTCAAAGTAAAGTTTTTTAATTTTTTTTTTTCTAGAAAAGCCATAGTGTTTTCGAAATAAAAAGTTTCTCCAATTTTTTTTAAATAGACTATAGAAAATACTCTTTTGTAGGTAAAGTAATCTTTACGAATTATTTGAGAATTATCTCGGTTCCTACCAAAGTTGTGTCAATTTGGCGTGCACTGAACAACAATTACATATATTAATCCTTAATATACGACCATGCCTACCTCAAAGTGGATTCTAAAAACGAAAAATAATTCTGGTAATAACAAATTTTCATAATGGAATTTTGTGCAGTGTCATTAATGTCGTGTATTATGTATACTGTGGGATTGGTAATCAGAATGTCAATATCAGAATATATACTCTGGATCCAATCGATTCCCTTTTCTCACATAATTTTTGATATAGGATCTTTTGAATGTGATATTATAAATAGCTAAATGTTCTATTTTTGATACTGTAATTCATTTGTCTTGAATATATTTTAATATCTTTGCAGTGAGCAAAACATTTCTGGCAAGCCCATTATCTTCATGGTCTCAATCGGTGCTTCTTGATCGAATGTCAGAAGGAAGATCAACATTTGAAAGTGTGCTGGATGTACTGGTGGATGGTAAGAAAGTGCAATTATTGTATTCAATGGTTAATCTAGATTGCATTTAGTAGGAAGCTATGCAAATTCGAATAATAAAGGCTCTCCAAAGCCAACAGTTTCGTGAGCTCTAGCGACGCAAATATTACTATTTCCTGACTAAACATTCAGATTGTGGTGACCGATAGCCTGTAATAAGGATTGTATTTTTATATTTATTCAGCGATAGAAAAGTCGATTATAAAATTGTATCGTATAAAGAACAACGGACTCTCGTCCTTTTACTAGTCCATGTCGAGTACGGGATAACTGACCAGTTCAGATGCATGGACTTGATGGTGGGGGAAGCAGTAACCGATCATAACGTGGACAAGTTACGTGTTCACCCTACGACGGCGAGGAGTCCAGATATACTCTCGCACATTAATATCTACGGCGGGATCCGAACCTGCGAACCCGTGGGTAGTCAGAAGTGAAATGGCAAGCGTGATTCTATTGCTTATCGCGATTCGCCAACCGCCGAGCCGCTTTTCAGAAATGCATAAAAAAACTTTTTGTTTCCACCCAAATCAACTCGACTATTCTAATGCTCTGTCAATGTAATATCTACTTCAATTAGGTATACCCGGACTTCCAAAGCTCACATGGTTGTTCCCAGAAGGAAGTTGGAGATGACGAGATAAACACCAACCACTATGCGGGACTTTTTCATTAAAGACGAATGAAGCATTAGCAATGATGAACCTTCCACTGTATTGAGACAAGGGACCGAGGAAAATATTTATGTGGCTGTATCTGAACGATGCGAGAACAATGATTTATTCGAATGATAATATTGAGCAAAGCTGATAGCTTGTCGATTTATATTCTGATTTCCGATTGAATGTTCACTGATATAGAGACCGAAAGTATGGACTTTGGCGTGTGGGAGATATGTCCTAAAGAAAGGTCGAGTTTCTTTTTTCGGTATGTCATTCGAGGTTAACATAATCATAATAATGGCATCAGAAAACAACACCGTACCATAAATAAGTAGTTCATTGCAGAATTATGATAGTCGCTGAATGTCAGTTGTTGAATTTGACATTTATTCTCAACGATATTTATATCATATCGCATACATACTTTTAAAACGTAATTTAGGTTTATACCAAACAAATTGCTTGATATTTTTTCTGCTTTAAATTTTCGATGACAATCATAAATAACGACATCTCTCGTAATATGAGTAAATTTTATAGTCTTTCAAGTATGGGATAGTTAGGTGTGTTTTATTTAGCTTCAATTGTAGGAATAAGTTTATTTATTTTTTGTTTTATTTTAATCGCTGTTATCGTATGACCTCTAATTAGAGACAAATATGAATTCCAATTCTAATTTCCCATCGTTATAGAAACCAAAGGAATCAGTCCGCTTTGGCGAAAAATGTCTTTATATAAATTCACAAAAAATTATGACTGTTATTAAAATTTAGCTGCAGGATTGGAATCAGCTTCACTTTTTAAGACGGGAAACTACAACTTAGAACCCTTACTTTTAAGCGCAAACTATACTCAAAAGTCGAAATAATGCAAAAACCAACCGCTCTAAGCATCTTTGATGTTTCATCGCTGTGAAAGAATGGTATGATTCAAAATAAATTTTTACTCTCAATTCCCGATGTGAATTCTGCCCGAAAGGTAGCAAAACAAACAAACAAACAAGAAAAGATTCCATATTATCAACGTATGATTATATTTTCAAAATAAAAAAGAAGAAAATTATAATCGTGATTTGAATCAATTTGTCAATAAATATCAATCTGAAGTTGAAGGTCATAGTTGTTTCAGGGTAAAAAGAGAAAACTATTGCCAAAAAAGTAAAAAAATACGCATAATCAACTTCAACGATGCTCTTAGTCCAGGGTGTCCATAATGTCTCTTTACGATTTCAATTCTGTTGTATATCTTAACCAGGTTTTTGTTTTTCAATCAGTAATTGTGTAGGTATTTTTAATTTGCCTATTAAGTCTGTGAGGGTCAAAACAATATATGATATCGATAATTTTCCTTCACAACTTTAAGAAATTTCAAGACTTTATGGACACCCTATATATTAGCCAATAATAGCCAATAGCGGAGTTAAAATCATCAAGAAGCATGGTGAATAACTTTAGTTTGTGATATTCTAATATTGGTAATAAAGGGAAATTTATTTAAATTGATTTTGTAGGCTTTATTCGTTTGGACACTATTGCTAGAATAATATAGAAAAACAAGAAATTAAAAAATGTCATAACATATGGTAGCAAGAGGTCATGGTCATGGCGAGGATTGAAATTTGTTCAAATTTGTTTTATATGTGGAGAGCATCCAGTTCAGTAATTTGAAAATGAAGAAGATTTACACAAATTTTTGTTAGCTCAATACCTCAATGGCTTTTCGCAATCTGACCTATGGAAGAACTTCCTTATTTCTGAACAGGACCCAGCGACCCTGCCAATTTAAAAAAACTATATTTTCATGAATTAATGCGAATATTAGCAAGGAAAAAGTAGGCAAAGTTCAGGACTCATCAGAATACTACCAACCAACAAAATAGCAACTAATTTGTTTCAAGACCAGTATGAACTAGTTGTTCAATTATTCAAATGTCAGATTTGTAACAAAGAAGTTATTATGCTCCTACACAAATGACAACATTACAAGACAACATGTGACGCATGACAAGCAATTATCTTGAAATCATATTTCGCCCACATCCTTGAATAATAAAATAAATATAAGATTATTACGTAGTAGCAACCACAGTGAGGTGTTTTATAGTCACTGATTCATATTAACAAGGAGAGATTCTGAATGTAAATCAGAAGCTTGTTACATCGAGTGTTGAGACAGGTCTTGTATTTTGTAAGTGGGATCTATATCAGTACTGTGTAATGGATTAAGGGACTGGGGGGAAAGCATAGAGAAGTTTAAAGAAGTTTCTGAAGATAAACACAACATGTGGAAACAATCAAAACTCTTCAATTGCAAATGGTTGTTTATGCAGATAATTGGTGAGATCTTGCGTACAAAAATGAACAAATAGGTCAACATTTGTCAACTAAAAACATAATAGCACAATGAATTATCATCCAAATTCAATCATTAGATTTTCATTAATAATAGATTGCTAAATTGTTTAGAAAGAAGAGAGTTTTATACATTATAAGTTTCAACCCGGCAATATGAAAAAATCCGAAGGGTTTTTAAATGATAATTTGAGACTTTTTATAGCACTCAGCATCAGTTTGAATGAAGCAGTGCGATGCACTGATTGTTCACCTACAATACTCGAATCAGAGAGCAAGAATATCACATATGGACCAGGTAATGAATACAACTGCAACTGTGATTGGACAATACCAACAAGTATTGAGACAGATCACGAAACAGCAGTTGTTCTGTTGTTGCAGAATGTTTCATTGCCAATGACAACTGGTACTGGAAGTATAGAATGCTCTGCAGAAATCAGATTCCCAAGTAAGCTATATGATACTATTTTACTTATACTATTCTAATATACAGCAATAATTAATTATAAAAAAACACTAGTAAATACATAATTGTATCAATACTTTTACAGACGCTGGTTATCATAAATGTGATTTTTCGAGCATCTACTGTCTTGCATTTGCAACTGCATCAACCATTTGCAACATCAATAAAATCAGAGAGAAAATTTTAGTTGCAAATTACACCTGTGATTCAATCATTCCCTGGAATAAAGCTGGAGGAAGCCCATACAAGATATCATACTATGCAAAAAACTTTCGGGGTTACACAAAACATTTCAGAATACAATATCTTGTGATCAATTGTAGACCAACAACCACATCTCTACTAAGCAAGTGATACAACTGTCTGAAGTTGAATCAACCAATAACATAATATAAACAAATCTCATTTAAAATTTCAGCCACAGTACCAGAGCGAGCAACAACTCATTCAGAAGAAACATCATCCTATCAAATGCTGTATTCAGACTTGGCAACTGAAAGGATAAAAACATTAGACAACACTCAAAACACCACTTATGAAATTGAATGCACCAGTTCCCAAGCATCACTGATCATTGCTATTCCAGTGTCGGGAATCATGGGTTTGATCATTGGAGCTTTGTTGATGTTCATAATACCAAGGTAAGCATAGATATTGTATATTGAAAAGAATAAAATTGAAAATGAATAATAACATGAGTATTAGCACATGCAATCAAGATAAAAAAAATGGTCCAATAACTGCATAAATGAATGACATACAACATGTATCAACTATCGATGATTAACAATGAACAAAAAGTAAAAGGTTATCTCTCAGCAATTCGAAATGGCCACTTGGAAGCGACAAGGTTCAAAATCTTACTCCGGAGATGAAAAAAAATTAACTGTGGAAACTTTAGAAATGTGCATGACCTGTTTCTCATTATTCGTCATCAAATTGTATCTGACCCATCAAATACCAAGTATTGCAACAACCACAACAAGAAACCAAGGAACAAAGATTCAATGGAAATTGGACGCATTCAACATCCACATCCAACTGTCGATGAACGAACCACATATGAAAACTACACACCAACATCAGATGAAAATGGATATGAAGTTCCGATTCAAGTTGATAACAAAAATGAACAACAATATGAGGTTGTGAGAAGTGGACGAGAGTATCAATATGAAAATGCATAAATGAGTAGAATAAGTTCATCTGAACCATTTTTTGTTCACTCTCATATTTTGGAATAAAGATAAATGAGTAGTGGACCTCCCCATGAAAAAAGCATTTCCAGACTTTACTAAAGCCATAACATTTATTAAATAAAGTTTATTACAATCAGACTTCAAATTGCAGTAATAGCAACAATATCAAATACCAATTTACTTTTCAAAATATTTTATAATTTATTGTATTTTCATATTATGTCAGGGGTTGTTATCATTACTCTTTCACATTATATATGGCAGAAGATACTAGGGAAGGGGTTTGAATAAAAGTAGACTTTCACGTCCATCTTCCCACACATTTCTCCTTATCCGGTAAAAAAGATTTTCTTAAATTCCCATTTTGAACCCCCATTTCTTTTGAGAATCTCGGCTGCGCCCATGCTTATAAATATTGTCGTTTTTGAATTCCGCCTACGCCATATTTCGAGGCTATACAGTTGTCAAATTTCATTGAAGAGTTTTTAATTTGCTTTTTTGGACAGTTACAAATCAGCCATGTTAGGAATTTGAAAAGTAATCGAATAGCTTACGTAGCCCCTAGGTTTCTCTAGCGGAGCCCTGGGGCTCCGTACGGAGCACTTTGAGAGCACCATGAGTTAGGGGACTGTCTGTGCTAGCCACGTTAGGTCATAATTTCATTCTGATTTTCCTTATTTAAGTTCTATTACAAGTTCGGAGACGGTCTGTGTTAGCTAAGTGAATATACCCCCTGTTTATAGGTTTCAATTCCTTTACACCACTTGATGTGAAGTAGGCAAATAAAATTTGTTACCTCCATATTGGTACACATACTTCTGAAGCACCCACATTTTAGCTGGAAAGGTACCACTAACTATGTGATATTCTACATCATCCAGGCGAACCTCCCAGAGTTCCACAGCGCGAATTCAGGAGGATCCACAGATAAAGTGCTACTTGCATTAAATGAGTATATTTAAATAAAGTTTTTATATGTTGTTGGATAAACTGAAATAAACGAAAGAGCATGTGTTTAATTGAATAAATGCTTGGATTAGTGTTAAATTGGACAATACCAATAAATTTTGTTAAAAAATATTTGTTTTAGGTAGTAGGAAACCAGTGGGCAGCAGAAGAATAAAACTGCCCCAATCTATGCGAGAGTTCTGAATTGAAAAGAGAAATGATAAAAAAAATTAGAAACCTATGATTGCTGCTACTTTAATTAAAGTGCTTTCTTTGATCATAGAAAATTTAAAATTGGAATCGAAATGAATATGTAAACTTTGTACCAGAACCAAACATAATGCTCAAAGTCCCAAAAGCAAGGTCCACAGGCATACCTTCCTGGCAGTCCAAATTTGAATATGATGATAATACTGAGGACACTAAAATTAAATAATTCTGTTAGTACAGCAAGTGATTTAACATGGATGGTGATTTAACATGCAAGTGATTTAACATGGATCTCTAATAAATACTTGGGGGCCCATACGGCTTTGAATAAAAATTTAGGAACTCTAGGGAAAAAGGTAGGGAAGTCCTAAATTAGACATATCAACAAAGCATACAACAGTCTTTTATATAAAGCCTTTAACTGTTGAATCTTGTAACATATTATAGTAAAGATTTATCCTTCACACAAATTTTTTCGACTTTCGACTTCCAGGTTTTTTCACAATAACTTCTAATTGTTTCGAGTCTCATGTCAGCGGCTATCTCAACTGCATTTATGATTTAATTGATTCAGATTGGATAGGAGGTAAATCTGACTAGCAGATAGGCAAATACATTATTGAGCAATCATAGCACAAAATCATCCTCCCTACAACACCCATGAATAAGCAATTAGTTGTGTAATGACAAAGACAAACTGTTGAATATTGATAGTTCACATAAGACTAATTAACTACTGTGCATATTATTATTGTTTGAACTTAAATCAATAAATTTGTAATAAAATGTTGTGAGCTCTTACACAATGAGTCAGAAGAATCTGCACTAAAGAGTTTCAAGAAGAAATCGAGGCCTGATTACAAATGGCTATCACGTCTATCTAGCACTTGTTATTACTTGACAATCCGTTCCTAAGTATTGTGACACCAGGAAACGTGATTTCCTATTCGCCACAATTAGTAACAATTGGAGATTCGGAACAAAAGTAATTGAAAAGCGAAACAGAAATCCACAACTATGATTCAATCATATCCATAAAACTGGCTTCTGAAGTCATAAAGCAGTTGAAAGGTATAGAATATGTCTGTATGAAGATTATATGCAAACATAACTAAACAGTAGGTATACCAAAAATTTGTTGAAAGATGAGGGAAAAGGGAATTAAGATTGTGGAAATTTAAAAAGCTTATTTTACTGGGTGAAATACGTTTGTATCAGTGTACATATATCTTGCATTTTAAATTATATTCTATTAAAAAGTCAATTGTTGAAATAAGGTATCAAATTATTCGGTATTTCAGCAAACTATTTAAATGAAGATTGTTGTAAAAACAAAAAATATAGAGAAATCCAAATTAAATTGACTGCAATCTTATAGGCAGACAATCAGCTCAATGCAAAGTACTGAATAAACTTTGGGAAATGGACAACATTTACACATTGATTTTAGTGATTTCAGGTGAGTTTTGAGGAACTAAATAAAGCAATAATACAAACTATAATAATCCAGTGACATCATATGGATCATGTAAGAATGTAACTTGGGATAACTATGTGGGAGGATTGATGACTACTCGCTGTCGTGGGGTGGTTCATGTAACCGCTGGTCAGTTATGGGCTTATGGCCATCTGTAATCTACCATCAACGTCAAGTCCATGTATCCAAAATGAATAACTGGTTAATATACTTACCTATACTAACTTATCCAAAACCAGACATGGACTGGTAACCAGGCAAGAGGTCATGGTACGCCACATAATTGAGCCATTTTATTAGCTTACCTATCCACTCAATAACAAGCATTTAGAGCATTGAAATCTGTACAATAAAATCAATCTCAAAAATGAATATCTAAGATAAGCAAGGATGCGCCAAATACCTACATCGAACTTTTCAAACCCGACTTTCCATGTATACCAGTGGTTTTATTCCAGAAATGAGGCAAACAAACCACAAATGGGAAAAAAAGGTAAAAACCCGAGTTTTAAAACTTACATATAGATACATGGACATTGAGACAATGCAACTTTTTTTTAATCTTCTTTTGGTTTAGTCAAGCCTTAAAAACATTGTACAAGTCATATGAAACTGTTTCTCATCCCTTCCCGAAGGATATGGCTGATATCAACCCAAGATGACATCCATCATTTATATGTTATAAAATATTAATAGCGATCGACGGTCATGGACGATATTGACAAACGCTGCCACTAATTGTACAAGCAAAAAAGGAAAGATCCTTTATGGCACTTTACAATGGAGCATCAATCTGAAGTTTTGAGCTGACTCATGACACATCGATGTTTGGCCTATTCAGTGTTTTTACTTCAATTGATATAAGCTATAAGTTATGGTAAAAAAATTACAATGCAATGGTACAAAAATATTATCATTTTGTAGTGATCTGCAATTGTCTGAATGGAGTCCAAACATGCAAAGATTGTCCAAATACAATACTTGGAACAGAGAGCAAGAATGTCTCATATGGACCAAGTAATGAACACAACTGCAATTGTGATTGAACAATACCCATAAGTATGGACACAGATCATGAAACTGCAGTTGTTTTGTTGTTACAAAATATCTCATTGCCAAAGACTACTGATACTGGAAGTACAGACTGCTCTGGAAGAATCAGATTTCCAAGTAAGTGGACTGACTATTAAATGATGCTATCTATATTATCAAACACATATTAAAAGCCAAAACATCACTTTATTTCACAATTCTAATATGTTTTACACAGGCACTGATGGATACAAATGTGAGTTTGCAAGCAACTACTGTCTTGCATTTGCAACTGTATCAACCATTTGCAACATCAGCAAAATCAGACAGAAAATTCCAGTTACAAATCACACTTGTGATTCAATCATTCCATGGAATGAAGCTGGAGGAGGCCAATATAGAATCATGTACAATGCAGGAAACTTTGCTGGTTACACAAAATACTTCACATTTCAATATCTTGTAATAGATTGTATACCAACAACGACTACACCTGCACTGAGTGAGTTATATAAATGCGCTCAAAATAACATCCAATAAGATCTTATTCCATTAGCAAGAATTATATGTGAAACAACAACAACAACTGCAACCACCAAAACTACTGGTATAGATGAATTACCAAGTACATATTTTTGATTGTACGTTTGAGATATTTTGTGATTTGTTTGCAATGTTTAGCAGTTTATCAGAAGTTGCCATTATTGGGGAGGCAATGACGAAGCAAAAATATTCCGGTCTTTTCCAACAATAGTAGATTCTTATCCAGCAGTGGCAGCTTTTGCAGAGCCTTATTCTTACTAAAATTGTATAAAAAATAGCCCAATAATTTTATCTTAGAAATGACTACAAACACTAAAGAAACTGCCAGCGATCAAAAATGTATTAAAATTTGTGAAAATTTGTACAGAGGGCAGTTTTGGGTGCTAAATTAGAATTAGATTAGAAAATAGGTTATCCTTTTCAGACATATCAGCTAGAGAAATACTATTAGGTACATTCCTCATTTCACTTAGATGCATGATGAAAAAGGGTGAATTACCTGTACTTCAGATTCCTGAAAAAAGAAAAACAAGAGAAAACCTCAAGAGAAATGAAACGCAGTCAACATCATCACCACGGCACCATAGCACCACGGAACATGCAACATATGGCAATCATGAACCAACAACAAACAAAAACGAATACGAAATTCCAATTCCAGTTGACAATATGAATGAAAATGAAAGACCATATGAATAGATAATACATTGGAAGGAATCTGAATATGAAAAATAGGAAGAAAAAATAACAAACCTACTTAAACAAGAAAACATAGTTTTCTCTATCTCAACATGAACTATAATTGTTTATCTAAAAATGAATATATTGCAATATTTTATTAATATTGCAATATATTATATTGGCTGTGCAATCATATAATAAGGGTATCCACCTTCTATAATGTCTTCATGAGTGCGATGGCCTAGCGAAGGGGTCGGCAACCTACAGGCCGCGGGCCGGATTCGGCCCGCTGAGCACTATAATCCGGCCCGCGACGCTTCACTAAATTATAGTAACAAAACATCCGTTTTGACAAATATATTCTTTAGACTAAATTATATTATAACCTAACAATTATATAATTCACAATTACTCGTTTAATGAGCATATAAATCAATTATAATTAAGCAAATGGCAACTAAACACAGAAAAGTTCATGCTAAGGGCAAAGGGTTCAATGGCGCTAAAAATATTTAAATGAAATTTTATGAGATGCAATGAGGAAATAAATCTATATTCTATTCGAGAGATGTATCACTGCTCGATTTTTATTATAAAAAGCATCATCCGTTCGGTTTTTCAACTTTCTAAAAATGTGTGCGGCCCGCCAATGACTTGCAACCTTATTTTGGCCAGCGAGCGACAAAAGGTTGCCGCCCCTTGGCCTAGCGGATTAAAATGTTACACTCGACTGTGCTGGCATGATACATATGTCGGGTTCAAACCCATGCCCACCACCTTACCCAGGATGTAATAAATTGGGAAAACAGTGCTGACTTGGATGATTATAATTCTTCTAAAAATAATCTTCCTACTATCATTGAATATTAGCAGTTGCTTGATTGCAGTACAGTGCCTTGCTCAAAGTGAAATGCATCACATAAAAAAGTATTCATTGTAAGAAAAAATAATAAGCACAACATCAGTAAGCTGGACTATGTCTATCCATATTAATGCAGTTTGTTATTCTAGATTTAGCCTTTGCAATCAATTAAATATTTGATCATTACAAATCAGTCTATTTTAAGGCAAAGCCATGGAACGATGAGGTCTTTAGCAGTAATCCTTTCACATCTAACTATCTTATATTAGATTCGAACCTGCGAACACACACAGGGTAATCAGAGGTAAGCCTATTCCTCACACTTAGCTGACTCATATTTGACATAAATACTAATGATCAGAACAAATCTGACAACAATGGCTAATCAGTACAATGTCATAGGCGTCGGTCGTACCAATTGAAATTTTAGCACACACCCAAATACTTTTTACATTATAGCAAATTATCAAACAAGGTCTTAAACATCAGCTCTTTCTCATGATTTCGCTAGCTATTTGTCATTTTTAGGTTGTGTTACTGAAATTTACCGTGGGTATAAATCGAAAATCTGAATAGTCAATATATCTCCCAAGGAGCTTTTGTGTAACTGCACCAATCAAAATATAGTCCCAAAAAGTAAAGATAGACTAGGCTAAAATTGATTCTTAGTTCTTTCAAATGGTAGGTGTTATTATATTTTAAATCAAAACAATGGCTATTAATTAGTAAATGAGATCTTTAGCACCACTTTATTTATTTATTGAACTTCCGGAATTTACGTTTCAGAATATTTTTCATAATTCATTATAGAAAGTAAAACTTGTGTATGAGGGTCCTTGAAACTCGAGAACTGGCTTTAAGCAGGATGACTGCTCCACTTTTTGTCATATTAACATCATCAGCATTTGATTACTGTGCTTTCAGTAAATAGTTAGTAAACAGTAAAATTGTTCATAAAATCAAAAATATCACTGTTTGATATTTTTTGCTTTCTTGGAATGGATATGACCAGAAAGTGAAGTTAGTTTCACAAATCAGCTATGAAGCTACCTTTAAACAATTATACATTTTACCAAAGCATATAGCAGTGGCTCAGAAGTCCCTTATCTAAAGGCAAATCATGCAAACTATCATAGATACACACTATAGATTTTACCCTCCACACAAAATCTTCGGCTGACGATTTTTTTTGTACTAAGAACTTCTAATTGTACCAAGTTTCACATCAAACGCTATCGCAACATATTCAGTCGGTTCAGATTGGGTAGTCACGAAGATGATGAATTAACCTGTCAATCGAGGAAGTCATTTAGGAAAACCACATAATTACTCTGAGAAATTGAGCAATCCTTGCACTCAATCATCCTCTCTCAAATCCCTATGGACAAGTAACACTGTTGCAGTGAGCAATGACAAACACCAACTGATCAACATTTATGGTTTACATAATAATATTTACACCGATTGTGAAATACTATTCATATGATTCATAATGATAAATAAATCAATAAATTTGCCAAAAAAATATTGCAAGTTCCTTGCATAATCAGTTACAATTTGCTCTAATGAATTTCAAGAAGCCCATGGCCTGATTACAGATGGCTATTGTGTCAATTTAGTGCTTATCATTACCAAACAATCTGTTTATAAAATAAGTTTTCATGACATCAGGAAGCGTGATTTCCTATTCGCCCACAAAGAGACACAATAATAGGCTTAGAACGAAAGTAATTAAAATACAAATTAGCAACCCACAACTATGATTCAAGCATAGTCACAAGACTGGCTGTCTGGTTGTTGTAGTCACAAAGCAGTTAAGAGTATAGAATATGCATGTATAGAGTTCATATAAAAACATAACTAGAATTTGAGTATATTAAAGGTGTGTTGAAAGATGAGGAAAAATAAATTTAATATTGTGGAAAGTTAAAAGCTTATTTCACGGATGTATTATGTTCGTAAAGGAGTGTGTAAATGAAATATACGGTAGTCCTCCATACAGGGATGTCAAAAAATAAAGCTGAAAATAGGGACAATAACAATTTTAAAAAGTATTCTAATAAAAAGCAGAAGTCAATCGTTATATTTAGACATCAATATATTTGTCATAATGTTGAGCCAAACTCATACGAAGATTGTTGTGTAAAAACAGGTTTAAATTAATTAAAATTAAATTGCCTACAGGTTCATACAGATAATCAGCTCAATGCAAGATATGAAATGAACATGCACAGCATTTATGCATTGATTTTAGTGATTATAGGTGAGTTCTGAAGAAATAAATAAAGATTGATACAAACTATAAAAATGCAATGGTATTTCCTAGTTCATGTAATAATATGATATACCGGTAACTAAAAGCAAATGAAAAAAATGGGAAAACCTGAGTTTCGAAACTTGCATATATATGAACGCTGGTGACATCCCAACTTTTGTAAAGTTGCAAGTCATTAAATTGCCCAACTTCCATTATGCTATCTTTGATTTTAGTATATTTGGAATAGTCCCACCCTACAAAGATTATACAAGTCATCTGAAACTATTACTTATCTCCTCGCGAAGTATATGACTGATATCAACACACAATGGTGTTTATTATTTATATGTCACAATATACCAGTAGGAATTGATAGTCAAACTTGACGAATACTGTTACAGTAATACAAATCAGGAAAACCGAGATTCCGAGCCTTGAAAACTGTACAGTGAAGCAATAACCTAAATTTTTTACCCTGTGACATCTCAACAACTAGTCGATTTAGTATTTGGATCAAATAGTATGAATTAAAATTAGCTATGGTATATTCCCAAATTTTGAATATCAGCAATGACTAAAATTGATCATTGGTAAGATAATTCATCAAAAAATCTAACAAACAATTACAATTTTGCAGCCTTATGTGATTACCTGAATGGAGCAGCACCATGTACTGGTTGTACAACAAGAACACTTGGTACACAGAGCGTATATATATCATATGGACTAAGTAGTGAGTACAGCTGTAACTGTGATTGGACAATACCAACAAGTATGGACACAGATCATGAAACAGCAGTTGTTCTGTTGTTACAAAATGTTTCATTACCAAAGACAACTGGTAGTGGAAGTATAGACTGCACTGGAGAAATCAGATTCCCAAGTAAGTATTAAGTACAAGTACTACTAAACTGTTAGAAATCATTACAAAACAATATACCGCAATGCACTTATTACAGGCACTGCTACACACAAATGTGATTTTCCAGGAAACTACTGTCTTGCATTTGCAACTGCATCAACCATTTGCAACATCAGCAAAATCAGAGAAAAAATTCCAGTTGTAAATCACACCTGTGATTCAATCATTCCATGGAATACAGCTGGAGGAAGCCCATACGAGATACAATACTATGCAAAAAACTTTGCTGGTTACACAAAATATTTCACACTAAAATATCTTGTCATAGATTGTCAAAATCCAACTACAGCTCCAAAGCTAAGTAAGTTCTTTTGTGCTCTGATCATGAAACAACAAGTGATATTAGTAATATAATTAAATTCAAAATGTGTGATATAATATTTAGTTACATGTGGAATAACAGGAAGTTGTATTATTTTTGATTCTGGGTAACCTAATAATAAGTAAGACTTTTTGTTCCCACCCAAAAAAACTTACATTTGTAACAAAATTGCTAAATTATACAGGGTGTCCATTAATTCCCTTTGCAATTTCAATTTTGTTATGAAGTCAGTTGTCAATATATCTTAACCAGGTTTGTTGTTTTTCAATCAGAAATTGTTTAAAAAATTTTACTTCATTAAATACATCTGTGTGAAACTGTGATAGTTCAAGAAGACCCTTCATGTGTTTATGCTGTAGTGCAAAAATAATAGAGTTCTATTCGGTTGTATTAATATGAAGGGTTCTCACAACTAAAATGTATGAACAACTAACACATTGAAAAAGGAAAAATTATCGATACCAATAGTATAACTATTAGCATACATTATAAATTTTTACATCTTCTGTGAATTTCAAAATCAATTTTTTTAATTATCAATTTTTTGGTGTTTATTGTGGCAAGCTAAAAAAGGTGTAGGTTTTCCGAGGCAATAAAAGCTTGAGAAATGTATGTATTTATTTATCCATGTATTTATATTTCACTTCAATAATTATACAGTAATCTATATTTCATTTTTAATGAAAGATTATATGCTTTTTGCTCCTATAATTTCTTGACAATATTTATTGCAATATATTGTGTTCCTGTATTTATATCATCAATACTCATTAGCGAACTTTTTTTTATTTTAAATTAATTTTTTTTTGTTCCCACCCAAAAAAACTTACATTTGTAACAAAATTGCTAAATTATACAGGGTGTCCATTAATTCCCTTTGCAATTTCAATTTTGTTATGAAGTCAGTTCTCACTATATCTTAACCAGGTTTGTTGTTTTTTAATCAGAAATTGTTTAAAAAATTTTACCTTAATAAATACATCTGTGAGGGCCAAAACAATATATGGTATCAATAAATTGCCTTTGTAATTTCAATTTTGTTATGAAGTCAGTTGTCAATATATCTTAACCAGGTTTGTTGTTTTTTAATCAGAAATTGTTTAAAAAATTTTACTTCATTAAATACATCTGTGAGGGTCAAAACAATATATGGTATCGATAAATTGCCTTTGTAATTTCAATTTTGTTATGAAGTCAGTTGTCAATATATCTTAACCAGGTTTGTTGTTTTTTAATCAGAAATTGTTTAAAAATTTTTACTTCATTCAATACATCTATGAGGGCCAAAACAATATATGGTATCGATAAATTGCCTTTGCAATTTTTAAAAAATTTTAAGACTTAATGGACACCCTATATATATCATTATTCGATATACCATTAAATTTTACTATCCCTGTTCAATTTGAAAACTGCATTGAGCATCAAACAATAGTGTTCATAATTAAATATCTCGAATTCATACTCCATGCCCACCACCTCAACCAAGACAAAATAAATTAAGTCGAACTGTAAAGATTCTGGTCTGAAAGTACCTCTTCATTATATATGGAGTGGCTTCTTGTTTAGAGCCATGTTTGGAGTAAAAGTGTGAAATCGACCCATAAATCATGCTTTTTTACTATTCATTCACTTTTAAGAAATCAGATTATCGTAACCAAGAGTTATGTTAAACATAGATCAATTCAGTTATTGCTCAAAGTTGAGTCTTCTTTAAATGAGGGTGCGTGTCTGGACCATCCATGTTTACACATAAACACATTAGAGACTAAATAATTTCAATAACAGCAACAACACCAATTGCAACAACATTTTCAAAACTCCAGTCGTCCACCCAAACAAGTCTAGAAGAAACAAGCATAGCCGGAAGAGAGAAAACTACTGGTGGTGAGAACAAAACCATAAAATTTAAATTTTTATAGAATCTATCATGAATATATTGTCACAGCAACGCATCATATACACTTGTATATCATATCAACCTATATTTCGCTGACTAACCTGCGCGAGTTCGCATGTTCAAACCTTGTGAGAGATTTATAAGTGAACGAATTTGTAGAATTCTTGCAGTCATATGGTGGTTTACGTAATCCTTTCATTAAGCTCCATACCTGACATTGACCAGTAAATTGACGAAAAGATGTGGTTCTCAATATGATCAAGCCATCTTATCAGATTACTTTCTCCCAGGATGAATGAGAAGATTCCATTTAATGCTATTCTAAAAATTCAAACACATACCGGTAGTTTATATAAATTAAAATTTTTTACTTCCTCAGAAATCACCAATGGAATCACTCCAAAAAGACAAGGCCAAAAATCAAATGATACTTCCACACCATTAACAACTAAAACAGAATCTGATTCAACAACAGTCATTATTATTGTTGTCTGCATAATAGTGTTGCTTGTGATTGGCATTGTCATATTGCTGATATTAAGGTGAGAAGTTTTTTTTTCTAGTGATACAGTGGACTCAATTTAAGAGATTCTTTCCCAAACACTGGTTATGTGCAAGAGGAATGCTGGCTCTTTGCCGCATCAGAGTAATTTGTAATGGTTGACATTATTATATTGGCATTTGTATATATACATCATATATAGTGGCCCTGTTTAATGTAATAAAACAAGATTGGTAACTTCTACCCCTTCTTTTGGGATATGCTGTACAGAGCAAAAAATATTTGACCATTAAGCATGTAAATTTCCAACCAGTTTGCGACTTCACTAACTGGTCAACCCAAGGAAACATTTCTCAAAATTATCATCATTAAAATCATTATCATCAAAACATCTTTAGTGTTATGGAATCAAGTTTGACCAAATTGATTTGAGTTAAACTTGACCCATGTATTACTGTTTTTAAAATATTGGATGCGGATCTGTGAATGAAAGTTGCCTGAAAGCACTTTATTACCAGATCATTATAGATTAAAAATGGCTCAATTCTACTGTTAATCTATAATACCGCTTGGAAACAAATTTATCAATTACATGAATACAGCTCAATCCACTGCACAATTTTTTTTTTGACGACTTCCACTTCAAGGATAGCTCAGTAAAAGAATCCACTGATATGTTAAAAGTGAAATTTTTAATGAGGAAAGAATGAAATCTTTCCGATTTGGCATTGCCTACTCAATTTATTATACTTTGGTTGAAGTATGAGGTATTAATCGTATTTGATAGAAATGCAACTCACAATTCATTCGAATTGAGTTGATCACTCACGTAATGGTGGGCGGTTAGTTGATAACAAGTTTTTCCATTTAGTTGGCAAGAGCTACATAGTAACACGAGTCCAACAAGAGTCGAGTTGGTGACATGAGCTTCCCCAACTCTGAATATGCCCTTGAGATTTTTAGCTTTCGATGCCAACAACAAGTCAAGTCTAACACTTTAACCAATATGAAACTGACTGTTCATTCGATTTCATACAGATACTGCAAGTCCAAAAAAACAACTCCAGAGGAACCTATCAAACTCACACAGAAGAAGGGAAGCAACCGTAGCAGTGAAAAAGTAATGGTTGACAACATACTTTACAGCACAGCAGACGCCAATAGTGTCCCAGAGAAAAAAGAAGTCAATGGCAATGATGACACAGATGTTGCAGCTTTATACTCAGTTGTGCAAAAGAATAAAACTGAACCAGATGGAAATAGAATAGTCAGAGAAAATAAAGATACTGTGACAGTTCAAGAAGACCCGTCATGTGTTTATGCTGTAGTGCAAAAATGAAAAGTGCTATTTGGTTGTATTAATATGAAGGGTTCTCACAACTGAAATGTACGAACAACTAGCATATTGAAAAAGGAAAAACTATAAGTAACAACAGTATAACTATTAGCATACATTACGAATTTTTACATCTTCTGTGAATTTGAAAATCAATTTTTATATTATCAATTTTACCTTTTAATATTTGGTGTTCCGCAAGGTGAGATAAAAGCGTAGGTGTTCCGAGGCAAAAAAGTTTGAGTAACGCTGGCCCTAAAAATATAATATCAAGTATTTATATATATTTCACTTCAATAAATCTACAGTAATCTATATTTCTTTTATTATGAAAGATTATATGCCTTTCGCTCCTATATTTTCTTGACATTATTCATTATAATATAATGTGTTCCTTTATTTATATTGTTTACATATTTAAGCATTATTCGATTGTAATATTTGTTTTTCTCTCCAATTTCTATTTCTGTAGCGTTCCATGATTGATTAACAAGCTCTTATATATTCCAACAATCATTAATGCACTGACAAAAATAATATTATTTGCCTTTATTATTTTTTAGTATAGAAAATAGATCAGCGTTTCTTAATTCTTTAATCCAATTACCGGTAAGTTCAGCCATTTCTTATGAAGGTTACCACTGTCAATTTGTTAGAAAACCGACTACTTGCATTACAAATTATTCTAATTGAAATTACATAATTAAAGATATAAAAATATCACAAAAGGTTAACTGTGTTATGGACTATATTAGGTTATTCAGGGTTTTCCGCACTAGCACATTAGATAACGAGGTAATAATACTAAGTTTAAATCTTTTTCTAATATTAGTCATAAAATATGAATAACATCAAGCGCTCAAATTAGACAATGAATGATGGTTCAAGTCTATACACAGTTTAAATTTGTAGGTCCTTAATCAGTAATCAGTAGTTTATTTTTCACCATACGTAAAATAGGCACAAACATACAAATTGCAATAAATTAAATTATAAATAGGCCATATTTCAGGGTGAAGGAGATGCGAGAAACCAATACTGGTTATCGAGCAGCGGCACCTATAAAATAAGCCTACCACTATATTATATAGAAGAAGAAGTCGAACTAAGTTTAAATAAACTGAGAAAAAAATACATAAAATATCTCGAGGCGATCTGCTGCTGTAGTCACTTTGGCTCCGCTTCAACAAAAAAAAGCTGCCCCCGAACACCACTGACTCGGTAATCATGGAGATGGCGTTAGTGGACTGTATCACAACAATACCATTGTGATGCGCATTCGCTAATCAGGTAATACTTTTATAATGTTTAATAAAAGTATAATGCCAATCAAATAAGCAGTTTAGGCTTTACTGCCTGTAAGAGGAAACAAGTCACAATGTTAGCTATTAAATCAAGATCTTGAGCAGGTAGGCTTATAATTTCAATGTGGTTCAATTCGTACAAAGCTTCATGAACCATCTCAAATATAAGAAAAGTAGTTTACTATATTGTGCAGGTTACAAACGAATACAGGTCATGCAATTAGCATGGCACACTTTACATACCTGATTCAAATCATTGGCAAAAATGCAATTTAGAGGAGGACATGAAACAAATGGAAAAAAAGGTATTTTTATGCAATAAGGTATTTAAGGTATTTAACTCACTGACATCATTCCAAAATAGAAAGTCAATTACCGTAGTTTTTGTTTGATATGTAGTTTCTCATCAAACAGTTGCCAGTAATGCGACCAATACCAAGTTTTGTATCTCAATCATTTCTTACAAACTGACCTATGAGAGTATTTACTAATTTCTGGACAGCGGCAAGTGCCCTGATAACAGGTGTAATATAAGTAATTTCTTTCTGCGATACCACAATCCGCAGGCAAGGTTCAAGATTTACTTGGGGAATAATTCAACAAGTATCTACAATTCTGACTGACAACTATTAATGGTGAAGATATGTTGAAAAAATGTATAAACCATACTTGCACGGTGAATCTTCAATGGACTTGTGGACTGTTTACTTGGGCCAGTTAGTTTTACATTTGTAACTTTGAAGCCAGAATATAATATATATTAGAAGAACCTGAAATATGCATAAAAAACACTTACACAACTTCACAAAACTCACTGCCCACATATGCTTGATAACATAAAAAAGGAAATTCGATTGGTCAAGTTAATTAATTAGTCCACCATTTATGGCGCTTGCAGACATTGGTTCGACTAAAACTAAAGTTTACTAACAGAATATATAAATCAATAAAGATAGATTGAAAGATAGAAAATACCTAACAGTTAGGAATAGAGGGAAATAGGTAGTTACGATCACCAAATGAATGGCATGCATGTTAGAGAACCCTCTATTCCCAAACTTGTCACGCTTGTGCTCTTTTTAGTGCACTTGTCCCACTGTTCAGATTTAGGGTAATATCTATTATGGGGTTATGGTCAATCAGAGTAAGCATGTGTAGTGGATTCATGCTATGTTTTGGGTTAGAGTAGTTATAATACTTTGCTCAGAAAGACTATCCACGAATAAATATGAGAACCACCTTCCTACATTAAACATAATACCATATCTAAAATCCATTCACATCTATCAGTATGACGAAGGCGTCAACTAGTCTCTAGTCCAATATTAAAAAGTGTTAATACATAATATATAAGATAATTTAGGAATCTTTTAAGAGCTATGAAAAAAATCTTAAGCGGCCCACATGTTATTCATCTAAATTAATGTAGCATAATGCTAAAAAATGTTCAAGACCTCTACAATTAAGAATCAGATTTTACGAATTAGGAAATGTCACATGTTATGATAACAACCAACATAATTATGCAGAAGGGTAAATATGAGAGTGTAAATTGGAAAGATACAACAGGCATTAATCAGTATTTTGATGTAATTATGGGCAGACTGCAGCTCTGTCAGGGTGTGAAGCAAAAACAGGGATTTCAATAAGTTATTGAGTTTGGGAGAAGAATTAATAGACAAGGAAAAGAAATTCACCATGGCGGTAAAGATTGAACAATTTAAGATCTTCAAATGGATGTTTATTCAGATAATCGGTGAGACCTTATTTTCAATAAAGTACAGTAGCCAAAAACACTCAGGACAAGGCTGACAACACAAAGCAAGCACAGCAAAAGGCGTGCTCTATATATTTATCTCGAGATCCAATTAGTACATTAAAAAAGCTTTTTCATTAACTACCGTATTTTACAGTCCATTAGATGCACTGTCGATATATTGCTTAGATTAGACGTGTCGACTTATAAGGCGCATCATCAATTTTTATGACAAAAAGTATTTAAAGCGTGCCTTATGGTCCACAAAACATGATAATACCAATTTCAAATATTCTGGGTTTCGGTCAGTATTCAAATTTATTGTGGGTTGTTAAATCTGATACAAATCATGATTTTACCTAACATTGGACAAAGATGAAAAACAATCTAATTTGACTTAATATTCCTATAATATGTGAATGTACAGTTTTATAACTTTGGGTAACATTAACTATAAGAACTCAACTGGACAATTTTAGTTTGTAAAATGTATATAATTGTAACAAATGTTTTCCATTAGCGATATGTATTAGACCGAGGAACGCACTGATGCACTGATTGCTCCAATATCACACTTGGATTCTGAAACACTAGTCCCACACTCTCTGGAGTTGAAATAGATTGTGCGGAGAATGGTTAATGTAAGCATGTAGAATGGATTCATAATATGTCCTGGGTTAGTATAAATATAACACTTTTTGCAGAAGGTTAGAGTATCCATACTAAGTGAAATTTGTACAATTGGGACAAGTGTGGAACAACTGTGGCAACAGACAAAAGCTACTATGGATAGACAAAATACTTCATACAATATATCATATACGGTAGCAGACCAACAACCACATTTCAACCATTTAATTCATAATAAGCCAAAGCCACAAAGTTCAGCAGAAATAAACTTTTCTTTCAAATTACTGCAACAACAATGAAATGGGGAACAACAACAAAAATTCCAGAAACAGTTTTGCAAACAATCAGAGCAGAAGAAAGCACAACAGATATATCGGGAGAAATTGAAACAACAACAATCGAATCACAAGAGACTACAGACCACATAAGTAATTAAAGCTATATTATTAATGTGACAATAACTAGCACTGAACATGTAATATTACAATCATAGATGAAATAATCTCAAAAAGATGAGCAGCAAAATACACTATCACAAATGTTTCAGATATTTGTGTCACGGTACCATGTAAATCATGCAGCATAAAATTACACTTCAAGTGTAATTTGTATTTCACCACAATACTTTTTTGGTACCGGTACTCATGTAGTATGTGAACCAAGATGGCCGGAACGTAGTATGTGTACCAGGTTAGGGTTGGGACATACCGTAAGTTTATTTCAATTTTCCTTATTTCAGTTCTATTAAGAGTTCAGGGACGAGCCAAGTGACTCCCGTAGTATTTGTACCTCAAATTATGGCCTAACCTGGTATACTTACTACGTTTCGGTGTCCGCCATCTTGGTTCACATACTAACATGAGTACCAAAAAAGTATTGTGTTGAAATACAAATTACACTTGAAGTGTCTTTAAACATTCTTTTTTAATCATTACCAGGATCAGATTTGCAATACCACAATCGGTACCTGCATGATGATATCTTAAATAAATGTTACTATATAAATTTCAGTTACCGAAGCTGAGCAGCAAACAACACTATCTGATTCGAACAGAACTGAATCTCAATCTACAACTGATTTGGACAAAAACATCACCGTTACCACAGGAACCAATGCAAGTTCTGCTTCACTGATGATTACAATTCCAGTGTCAGGAATAGGAATGTTTTCCATACAAAAGTAAGAAGTGAAACAACACATGGTGGCAATATTTTCCTCACATACTCCAACTTTGTATATTGGTATTGAATATTGTGTTAATTGAGAATTACCGTAAGTATTCGTATATACTTGCATATAAGCCGACCCCCTGAAACGTCCCTAAAATGGTGAATTTATAAAAATTCGCATAAATGCAGACACTAAAAATCGTGACCAGTTTGCACCTATCACAGCAAATGGTTGTGGAAGAGAATTAATAAAAATGATAACCATTATCGCTATGAGCATATAACATTAGCTGCCAACTGTACATGAACGTGGGTATTCAGTTCCGATTCAAGTTGATAACAAGGATGAACAACAATATGAGATTATAACAAGTGGAAAATAATATCAGTAAAACAATTAACGGCACAGACAGATTTTTTTCACAGTCACAAAACAACGCTACAGATATTTTCCAATTTAATTTTGGCAAAAAATGAACTAAACTTCTCTACTGAACATTTTAGAAGTTATTTGCATACGTAATATATCCATCAACAACATTTTACATACCGGTATGTTATATCAATTTAAAATAACCATAATCCATACTTTCAACGAAGTTTTTCATGCAGTGTCTTATCTGCGCAAATTTCTAGATAAGCAGCCACTCAGCACATCCTACTAATATAGACTCAGTGAGTGAATGTGTAAGAGTAGCTAATCAATGGACCAATCAGGATTTTTTGCAAGACATATCAAGATGGCCATGTTTCTAAGACAATAACAGCCTACAATTAAAACCTAAAAGTGAATACAAACAAACACTCAAGGACTACTGAATAATTAAATATTCAACCACTGCTGAGTAAGTAGAAGTGTAAATTTACAACCATTCCTCATTTAGGACTATTTGGTAAATGGCAAGTGTCAGTATTTTTACAAGTTTTCTAGGAATGCTTGCATGATTTCTGATTTTTCTTGCACTTCTCTTTTAATTTTTCAACTCCAACTCCCTCCCTCCTAACAATTATTTTATCTCAAAAATTCTGTAAAATGAATGAAATAAAATATACATGTCCAATATATACTTTATTCAAATCAAGTTAATGTTTTTATTCAAAAAAGTCTTCTTCTGGTTTGTAAATTAGTTTTAATCAAAGTAAGAAGCAGGTCATAGTATAAACCCTTTTCACTCCAACCAAGGCTTCGAACAAGCAGTCAATGGAGCATCAATTATTTTTTTATTAGATTATAATATTTTGTTAAAAACTATATCTCTCTAAACAAAGAAACCAGTGAGACAGATATGACTGCTGAAATCATAAACATCATAATCCTTGAAATACCCTAAATATACTCATATTATCTAAGCCAGCGTTTCCCAAACTGTGTTGTGGGCGTCTTTCGAGTGTTCCGTGGAAAATGAATCAAAAATACATCTGAATGGGTCGCCATGGCGATCTAGCGATTGTGAAGTTGTCGCCAAACTGACCTTTCAATACTGCGTCACCGTCGGCCTAAAGCGGACTAACTAAGGTAGGGTAGTGGCATTTTCGTTAACTGTCGTCCTAGCTTTTTATCAAGTTTGCATCAATCCTTTCGGTTTTGCTATAGATAGGCAAACAAGTAGGTATAATGAATGAAGGCAAATGGTCAACTTTTTTCCGCCATCTCTGCCTGGTTTTACTTTGAAATGCTGAAAAAATTACTCTTGTTCGCTGAACTCGATTCAGCAGATAAATAAACTGCAGCTCGCAAATTGCAGCAAGTACGTCTATCTCCATTAGACGTAACATTAGGCAAACACTGCGTAATGGAAAGTAAACGACGTAGAAAGGTAAAATAAATTTGTTGATTCATATAGACAGCATTCAAATTGGGAAGCAATAAAACATTTATAAAAAATGAAATATGTAAAATATATTATCATATATATCAATCATAATATATCAATCATATTTTAGGTATGTTTTACACAATTCTGTTAGTTTCAACTCGCCACGACGAACCCATTGGGAACCGCTATATTGCACTGCTTTTTTTTATCAATTTTCCCTTCCATTTTTTGGTATTCCGCGAGGCGAGATAAAAAGTGTAAGTGCTCCGCGGCCGAAAAAGTTTGGGAAACTCTGCTCTAAGCAATACATAACTAATTGGGTTAAGTTAAGGAATGAATGATAAATAGAACAGAATGAGAGCAAAATGAAAATTTACGTTTATTCCCCACTAGAAACCCCTGATTTCCTCACAAGTGAGGAATTACCCACTGGTGGGACACACTGGTATAGGAAGATAACTATATAAAACATAGGTAACCACCCTGATACATGGACCTATGATTTCAGCTTAGACTATCTTAGAAAAACTGATTTTGTAAATCCATTGTTTACACTTATCTTCATTTCAGACACGAAATATTTATTTATAAATAATTGTCAATATTAATAGAAGAATTACATACAGTATGTCTTATAATGTAAGAATATCTGAAGCCGCCATACTTCCTGATGACATTTTGACATCAGACACTTTCTTCACCTATGAGCCATAATTCAATTTCTTACATACCATAATCAATATAATAAAACAAATATCTTGAACATTTTTTTTAAAGATGACACACATCACACGCATTTGACAGTTTCTTCACCTATGAGTCATAATTCAACAAATATCTTATAAAATCTTGAAGATGACACACTTCCTTTTTGAAAGGTTTTCCAGTTTGGAGTAGTAATGAATCATTTTATATACTCCTATCAATGGTAATATATATGACATACTAAAAGATAACTATAGTCTGAATGAGAAGAGGTTGATACTAAGCATCAGTAGAGTTCTGAGTTGGCACAAATTGAATATGCATTGAAGACTCATAATAATAATACACATCAAGCAATAACAATTAAACTTTCAAATTAGTTGGTCTATGACTCAAATGTTAGGTTTATAACAAGGAAATTGTTGTGCTCCTATACGAATCGCAACATAATACATGACAGGCAGATTATCGCTATGTTGTAATAATATTTCAACCAGAGTTTTAATTATAATAATAAATATAGGTCAGTAATCATCACGTAGTAGCAACCAGAGAAAGGTGTTCCATAGTAGAAGATTCCCATTAACAAGAAGAGAGGCTAAATATAAATCAGAAGATGGTTACATCAAGTCTTGAAACAAGTCTCGTTCGTATTTTGTCAGTTTGGATCTTGTCTTTATCTATGTCAGTACTTTATAATGAATTAAGTGATTGAAGAAAGAAAGCAAAGAAAATTTAGAGAGGTTGCTGAAGATAAACTCAACATGTGGAAACATTCAAAACTCTTCAATTACAAATGGTTGTTTAAGCAGATAATTGGTGAGATCTTACTTACTGTACATAAAAAGTTACAAATAATTCCAACTGCGTTCAAATAATTTGATATTAGGAATATTAAAATTCCCCTTTTTTCTAGATTTTTTGAAAAGCATTATTACAACTCTTTAAATATTGATTGACGTTAATGGGCTAATAAAGCAGACTTTCATTTTCCAATTAACTTAGAAATATTTCGTCAAATCAGCTCTCATCCATCTTCGACAAAAAATTAAAAATTCTGATAACTCACACTCAATGATTTTATTAAAATCTAAGTTCTTTTTTTAAATTGTGAAACTACTTTTTTGTAGCACTTGGAATTATTCTGAATGAAGCATCAATATGCAATGGTTGTAAAAGTGTAAAACAACTTGGAATACAGAGCAAGAGAATCATGTATGGACCAAGTAATGAATACAACTGCTGGTATGACTGGTCCATACCACCAAGTATATACACAGATCATGAAACAGCAGTTGTTCTGTTGTTACAAAATGTTTCACTGCCAAAGAGAACAGATACTGCAAGAATAGAATGCTCTGGAGAAATCAGTCTTCCGAGTGAGTAGTACACTGACACAGTTATTATGGTAATTACTAATAAATTTGAATTCACATTCCATGCATAAAGGGCATTAAATTGTTTAAATTATACCAAAATGTTTTGCCAAATTGATGAAAGATACTACACACTTTATCAGGCACCAATGACTACAAATGTGAATTTGCAAGCAACTATTGTCTTGCATTTGCAACTGCATCAACCACTTGCAACATCAGCAAAATCAGAGAGGAAATTCCAGTTGCAAATCACACCTGTGATTCAATCATTCAATGGAATAAAGCTGGAGGAAGCCCTTACAAAATACAATACCATGCAAAAAACTATACTGGTTACACAAAACATTTCACAATACAATATCTTGTTATCGATTGTAGATCGGCAACCACACCTCCACTAAGTAAGATATACAGTTGTTTAAAGTTAAATCAACCAATAACATAAGATAAACAAATCTCATTTAAAATTTTACCTACAGCAACTGAACGAGCAACAACTTATTCAGAAGAAATATCATCCTATAAAATGCTGTATTCAGACTTGACAACTGAAACAACTAAAACATCTGACAACACTCAACACACCACTTATGAAATAGAATGCATCAGCACTCAAACATCACTGATCATTGCTATTCCAGTATCAGGAACTATTGGTTTGATCATTGGAGCTTTGTTGATGTTCAGTATATCGAGGTAGGTATATGGTTATATATTAGATCAGTGATTATCACATAATATATATTGAATGTCAATGAACGGGTGCATAATTACATAAGTATGTCTGAATTCGAGATAACAAGAACTGTTTCAACATAGATCTTATTAGAGCAGCATAGTCAAGAGCTATTTTTAATCGATTTAAGTGTGTCAAAAGAAATTTTAAAAGATGAACTCAGCCTCCTACTCTACAATAAAAATTTCCCCAATGTTTGAGCTCAATCTGAATATTGTCTCTCAGAAAAATTCCGACTCTAAAACTGGCTTCGTGAATAATCAATTCCATATGCAGCTGAAAAACATAATTTTTGCAAAGAAAACATTTTTGATTCATTTGCAAACTTTAATTCCAACTTTTGGAATTTTGAAACTTTTACTCCAGTTCGACAAAGACTGTTAAAGTTGAAAAACAGAATGAATGTGGCTAGTTTTCTAATATCCACTAAAATTACTCGACTCGATTTCAGCCCTGAATACAGTAATTTAAGGACTGTAATTCTTAATTACTGTATTCAGTCTGAATCACTCCAGCAAGCAAGTAATACACAAATCATCAACTAATATTTTCCATCAAACCCAGGTACTGCAACAGCAACAAGAAGAAAACAAAGAACAAAGATTCAATGGAAATGGAAAGCATTCAACATCAGCAGCAAACTGGCCATAAACGAACAACATATGAAAACTACACACCAACATCAGATGAAAGTGGATATGAAGTTCCGAATCGAGTTGATAACAAGAATGAACATAAATATGAGGTTGTGAAAAGCGGTGCAGAATACCAATATGAAAATTAACAGCTTGGACAACATTTTTCACAGTTACAAAACTTATACCACAGAAATTTTGCAACTGAAAAAATTCAGCAGTTGTTTGCATCTGTAACATATTCATCAACATATATTATATCAATTAAAATTATCTATAATTACCACAATACTTTTAAAGAACTTTTCCATGCAGTATCTTATCTGGCCTAAGGCTCTTCTAGCCTAAGCAACCACCCAGCATATCCTACCAATATATATATATATACTGAGTGAGTGTACATGACTAAATAACTGCTGAGTAGAAATGTGAAATTACAAACATTTCTAATTCATGGTCATCTGATAACTGGAAAATTCCAGTATTTTTACGTGTTTTTCAATAGCAAGAACTCAAAATTACTCCAACATTCTGCAAATACTAGCTTTATTTATTTTTGTTCACTGTGTAAGGGGCTATGTTACTGCAGTATAGATAACAATGGGGATTTATTTTACCACACACGTACCTACAATTCTAACAGACAAACATTACTATTATTAATAGCAGAGGAGTACCAGAGAAATATGTGAAACCCTCTTGCACAATAAATCCTCATTGTGTGGATTGATTACTTGGATTCAATTAGTTGAACATTGAAACCAAAATATGTAAATACGATCTGTGACAATCTAATAAATAGTGCTTACAAAAACTTTATAAAAAACAATTGACCAGATTTCCACTAGTCCTAAATCCTTGTTCCACATTTGTCAACTTTTTGGCACACATTTGTCCAACTTATCCCACTACTATATTTTCCCACACTCGCCCCACTGTTTGTTCATTAATAAGATAGATAAATATTGCTAGTTAGATGGTTACAATAAACTACTTTGATAGTTTAGAGTATTCATCTAATGAGAAATTCATACAATTAGAACAAGTGGCAGAAGTGTGGGACAAGTGTGACAATTAGGAAAAGTGTGGGATAAGTGTGACAGGAGGCAGAAGGGTAGAAAATCTGGAAAATGAGAGACAAGATATTTTTGAGACACCCTGTAGAGAACCATTACGCTCTCATATTAACAGGATGGTAGATTTTTGAAATAGACGTTTACATAGTAAGATGGAACGGGATAAAAATGATGTTTCCATGAATCAAAATACTGGATCTCATAGAAAATTTTTGAACAAATAGAAGCAATAGCGTGCTAGCGACAACAATAATCTTCAGCTACTGAAAATTACTTAGCTTACTAAGCTTATCGTTGACATTGAAGTGTACTATACCACCAATTTGAATAAGTTAACAGCAACGATGAATATTCAAATATCCCTTTGCATTTCATTATCAAAGTCTAGATATTTTTACGAATTGACATATTAAAAACAGCGCCTCCAATTTCAAGTTTTAAAGAAACCTGGGTTTTGTATGTTGAGTTCCAATTTGATAGTTTTTTTAATTTCAGTGTTCACTCTTGATTGAAGAACATCAGGAGACTTATCACTAATTTTGAAAAATAATATGGTGCTTTGAGTAAGGTCACTGATGAAAATTAGGAATGATATCGGCCATATGCAAGAATCCAGTGAGACCCCATGAAAACAGAAAAGGCGAGTGAACAATATTCACCCATTTGAGCATATTGAGATCCATTGGTCAAGTAACTAGCAAGGAGTTGATTTTGCACACTTCTAAACCATACCGGTACCATACCGGTAGTTCCACAGCTTATAAAAAAATAATTTTGCGATCAACAATATCAAAATATATTAGGGTTCTAAGAATGTGGCACTAAGCCCTTAAAATTCTCACCATCTTAGTTATTTCCACCACTTTGTCCAGTTCAGCATTCCTGAATTTTGTTCGCTCGTCCAATCGGGGAATACCCTACAAGTCACCTGGCTGGCTTTGCGGTTGCTGCATATACTCTCGTTGATGCCTCGCACATTGCCGTTCTCGTCTGGATAGTTGCCAAAGACTTACTTAACAACAATAACAGTACAATGAATTCTAGATTTCTAAACTTCATAAATTATATTTAGATATTAGAACCTAGGGTGTTACTCGAGGACTGCGTCCTCTCCTTCCCTAGTTCTGTAACTAGTACCGGTACCGTACCCGGTACCGTAGGCTATAACTATGTTCCATTTTTAGCAGATAGAATGAGGTTTTTTTTTTACTTAGTGGCAAACGAATTGTATTACCTAATATTTCACCGTTTGTTTTCCAACACTAGGCCCCTTAACACACCGCCATTACATATATTTACATATTATTCAGCACCATTTTATTTGTCCAGCTAGCATTTTGGAATTTTATTAGGTAGTTCAATCGGGGAATACCCTACAAGCCATCTGGCGGCTTGTCCCTATTTGTGTGGTTGGTTGGTGTCCGAGACACTCTCGTCAACAATAACAATACGTACTCTGAGCACTAAAATACCAGATTCTATTACACCCGTGGGTATCGCTGCTTGATGACCATCGGCTTCCATTCCCTAGTACAAATGTGTTCATTTTTTTATATCTCATATATTCCCGATATTCCTAATCGTACTTGGCGCCTCAATTTTCTTGCTTTCCTTCAGGGTAAATATTTCTATTATTAATTGATTCAGTGTTGCTGGACTTCGGAATATGAATTGGTTTACTCGTTTGCCAAGATACACTTTAAAGCCATCCATATCGTTGGAAAATTGACCCAATAGCTGAGAAGTACTTATTGGAGTTATTGCGCAATGAAATTATCATCGTTAATGATACAGCCATTTTCCATGTGGATTTCATCAACATTATGCCACGAAAAATATTTATTGGATGCTATTTGATTAATTATTCGCCATATAAAGGTGGGGTTGTCTTTGCTTTGAGTAATCACATTTTCGTGATACATTTGTTTTATAATACCAATTTTATGCGTCCGTTAGTTAGGTACAATAGTAACTATTGCCCCTAAAATCATTATCCTATCCGTCACTCGATCAGCTAATAGATTCCGCTATTACAGGAACACAAACAAAGACAGATTCAGTATTTTCAATGCATGATTATATTTTCAAAATAAAAAAAGAATAAAATCATAGTCGTAGTTTAAATCAATCCGTCAACAAAGATCAGTACGAAGTTCATGGTCATAGTTCATTTCCGGGTCATAAGTCAAAATCATTAAATGTAAAAAGTAAGCAGTTACAACACAACTTTCTACCACAAACTAAAGAAAGGAGTCTGACTGCAGTCACCACCACTGAATCCATAAGGACAATAACACGTATTAGGACCAATGCATCTTCCTCCGTTTTGACAAGGTTTCGAGCAAATCGCTGAAAATAAGAAACTCGAATTACTGTTTAAATCAGGGTTGTCCAACCTTTTTGGACGAAGGGCCACATTTAGTTTATGAAAGATTGCACGGGCCACTTGACATGAAAGTTATGTTCTAGTTTTCATTACATCGACTCCAGATCAATGAAAAAACAAACAAAGAACCCTAATTATGAGAACAATGGAAAGACGAAGATGCAGTGAAGTCAAAAGTTTTAACCACACATAGATATTTCAATGGGAAGTATGGCACTGCGTTTATCTAACAAGTTTGTCAATAGCAGATACAAGGGACGATGTAGCAATGCGGAGCGGATTTTCCACTTGGCTTTCAGAAATTAGTGTCTCACGACAGAATTTTACATGGATCATCTGTAAAAAAAACTTGCTTGTAGAAGTAAAAATATTGAGGTCATAAAACTGCCTCTTCTAGCTTCACAGAAAAAAGACAGGAAAACAGATTGAAATACATAGCAGACGATAAAAATAAATTCGAACATGTCTCACTAGCAGTAACGACCACAAATGGACATAAAACAAGCTTTCGATAGCTGGGTGGTGCTTCTCCCGCGTTTGAACGACACTTCTTTCATTAGAGGTTCCAATAATGGCTCAGATTTGTGAAATACATTGGGATTCGAATAATACCGCGCGGGCCACTCGGAAACTTTCGGCGAGCCACGGGTTGGACGACCCTGGTTTAAATACGGTCACAGGTGTCACAGAATTTAGCAAAACAATCCATAGGTGAAATTCGTCTAAAACAAAGAGCTTAAAATTGATTAAAACGTCATCTCACCTGTTTGACATCTAGATCCTGTCCATCCGTGTTTGCAAGAACATAGGAAAGGTCCGGAACAGAATCCGCCATTCAAGCATGGAAGAGTGCAAACTGGTTTGTGACATCGAGAACCAGTCCACCCATGGGAACAGGTACATCTGTCTCTGCCTGAACATCGACCACGGTTACGACATTTGTGTCGACATTGATCTGTATAGAAAAATGAACACATAATTAAATAGATGATGAATAAGGCTATAGTAAAGATAGATGATAGATAAAAAAAATACTTTGTAAAATTTGGGCTCTTTTTGCAGAAGCGTAGCTTTATGAGAGTTTAAAAGTCCTGTTCAATTGAAAATAATAATATAGTAAAATCTATTTTTACAGAAAATATTTAATGCATAGCAAAGACAAATTTACTTTCATACAATTGAAACACATCGCTAAAAACCTATTTCACAAAAAGATTATGTGGACCTCACTAATTCCCTCACTAAGGATAAAAATTTACTAAACCAATTATAATTGGTAATTGGTAAAATGATAATTATAATTTAAAGTACATCACTGTGTTAGATTACTGTATTTACAATCCATTTGAATAGTTTTTCAATATTTCTTTCCATATGTGTGAAATATATTTGTTATATTATTTATTTGATACTTGATATAATATAACTAGATGGAAAATCCTACGAATGCAGCTTGGTTGTCCTATCCACGCTCCATCTTTACATTCCATAATCATATTCGAAGTCGGAATATATCCTGCCGCACAACAATATTCTATTTTCTCTCCTTCATTGTATAATTCTTTCAACTCTGTTCCTTCGATCACCTAACCAAACAAATGGTTGTATATCAGTTAACAGTAACATAAGGCCTTACAGGCACAGTGAACGAGGCTACGCGATATGCTTTCACAGTTCACATGCTTTCTGTAATATCTCCGAGAGCACATTCGATGGTCCGGAACAAAATTATTACTAATCCACGACTAAATAGTCTGTTTTCCTATTATTTTTGTGTGATTTTTTTTACCTTTTTTATTAGCTAAAAGATTAGAATTCCATGTGAAATCGCGATTTGAAGAGGTCATATAAAATAGATAGAAACACCGGCTTAGCCAAAAGGCATACTAGATCGTTCGAATACTAGACCATGTTTTATTGGCTGGACTAGATCTATGTACTACAAGCAGGTAAACTATCGTCAAAGTCGTTATTGCTAATATGATTATACTTCAGCGAAGTATAAAACAAGAATTCAATTGGATAATTCCTATTCATTGTGAAAATATTACAAATCCATGGTCCATTTGGAATGGAATATTTGAATATTGATCTCTTAAAACAATATGCGTAATGTGGAGCAATAATATACCTTGACTTTAGTGCTATTCATGACAGGAGGTTCACATTTGAGAATAGAAAAACGTGCAATTTCAGGGATATCGAATCTTTTCTTCTCAACAAGATAACATTCTGGGTTGATTCCTTCCCATTCACCTTCGCTTTCACAAATACGAACTGCATCACCTGAAAAACGTAAAATAATATTTGTAATTCGAAAAATCCAAACAAAAAACGGAGATAATATAAAAAAATTCCTCTTTGAACTACTGACATTTTGAGGGCGATTGTTCCAAAAGGTGAAAAGAGAGGTGTTTTTTTTTTGTAATAAACAGGATCAAATGCCGTGAAACAATGCATAGGTCAACTTCGTGTTCATCTTATGGCCAATTAACAACGGTGATGATCAGCTATGATATGATCCCTTATTACATTCAACATTTTCATATTTCAATATATGATTTATTTTTACCAATATTAAATGCTCGGTTTCATTTCAAGCTGATTATATTTATCATAATATAAAGCAAACTTTGCGCTATCTTTAGAGAGGCAATATTTTGAATGAAAGGATCAGACGTACTCGACTAGCTCCTCTATTGTCTTGATTAGCTATTGCTATAAACTTGTGTAGTCGGTCTAAGATAAGTATCATTCGTGACGAATCAAACAAAAATAAACATGAAAGTGATTAGATTTTGCATTTTAAACTATTTCACCTACCAAACAGTTCATATCCATCTTCACATGTGATCACAACTTCATCTTGATAATGAGAAGCATTGTTTGGTTCAACAAATCCGTGCTCAACTTGAGGATGAATTCCACAATTTATTCTTTCACAAACCGATTCCATTCCTGACCATGATCCATCAGATTGACATATTCTGTAAAGTGAATGTTAGCAGTAACATTTTAATTTTAACTCGAGAAATCGGTAGTAAGTACGTTATTTTTCATCATTCTGAAATATAATCTATACTGTCACAAACGCCCAAAAACAAAATCCTGGATGAAATCTAACAAGATAATGGTAAAAGAAAATCCAAACAAACTATATTAGAAAAGATGTAATCGTGTCGAGACTGGTTTGGTATACCCAGAAATCATTTGTTAATCAAAAAAAGGAGACTCGAGCACCGTAAAGAGTGGCAACCATGGAAACAGCAGTGCAGAGACACTAAATATAGCTAGTACATAAGATATTCATGAAAATGTTTTTTGTTTGACTTTAAGAAATAGATGAAACTACCACACCTCATTTCTTCTCCAACAGTCATAACATGGCCGACATTGCACACGATACCTATTTCACTTTCGTAAGTGTATGCATAGCTTTCAACATCTGCGTTTTCAACGGGCAGAGGAGGTCCACAAGTTACGACTGAAGTAGAATTATAACAAATTACTATGAAATACAATATGATTGTCGAAAGATTCTTTTTTAATTTTTGAAAATCAATAACTACACAAATATGAATCTATCAACCAATTTACATACCTATTTTAGCATTTACTAACAACTTACTTGTACATAAGGGGTGTCTTCCAGTCCATGATCCCATTTCATTGCAAACTCTCCTGGAACTTCTTTCTGGTTCTAATTTATATCCAACATCACATTCATATGTTATTTCATTGCCATAGCTCGACCTTATAAAATGATTATATTTAGAACAGAAAAAATATAGAATATAGAAAATATATCACTGGACTTTGGGTAATTTATCCAATATATTAACGAAATGATTTAAATCTATATTAAAATAAATTAGTCCACTTTCATTTTCTTGTTTACTACCCCTTGCCAAAATTCACCCACCCGGCCTAAAATGTTGCATATGAATTTGATAGTGAATGGTACAATATTTGAAAAAAAGAATACTTTTTGCTTCTGCAACAACTTGAATAACTAGTAAATACCATCGGCATCGGTTTATTGAATAAACCCACAATGTGTTAATAACCCAAGTTTAAAGTTGAAACCTAAAAATTTCAATATCCTACTTATTTCCTCCTAAAATCGTTCCATGCAATATAAATGGTGGACTTCCACATTCCACTGGATCACACAATGGTAAGGATCCTGTCCACGTACCATCTGGTAAGCACTGTTGTTTGGAGATACCCTAAACAAAGTTGCAATGCAAGTGATTGCAAACAGATTCAAGTGTCGTAAGTTGAAGTGCGTATATGGTTACTGAATATGCTTTATAATTCTGAGTAGGTACAGAACAAATAAATTAAAATTAGCATCTTCCAAAATATGTAAACGAGACCAAGATATGTCAAGCCTCTTCATCCTTGATGATAAGTTAATGCATTCGTAACGCCACATACTAAATTGCTAAATAAATGGAATTGAATAAATTAAATTATTGTATATTAAATGTTCACATGAAATTAATTATTTCTGTATCGGCTTTTACTATTTCTATAAAAAATTGACTCTGAGACACTAATTACTTTAAAATAGTTGAATATGTTATAAAGCTGGATCATTGTATGGGTCTATTAATGTAAAATGATATGCTTAGCTTTATAAAAATGTTATTATTAAGAATATTACTTTGCAAAATTAGCTTAATTTATGATTAAACTGTATAGACTACGTTGTTTAAATACACAGGCAGTTCAAACTTGTTTCTCTTGATTGGTAGCGCTTGAGTTTATACATTATTAATAGAGTGTGCCATAAGCAAGTGGGCTATGCATTATATTTCTGTAAAGTGTAGGTTTTATGAACTGGATCATGTATTACTGAGTTATCCGTATTTAGTTTTAAACTGGTAAGCAATTCTATTACATACAAATACACAATACCTTCAGTGTGTATCCTCTGCTGCATTTGTATCTTATAGTTGAGTTGTACAATAACAAGCCATCATCTTCAAATGAATTCTTCTGTATTGCATCATCCAACAAAATTACTCCATTTTCAAGCATCTCCAACCGTTCACATGTCAGTGGATGACAAACTAATGCAGAAATATCTCTGGACCAAAAACCTTCAGCCTAAAAATCATTGACATTCAAATTCAGCAAATTTGAAGTGGAACTTTAATTTTGATTCAACAATTTATATGTAGAATTTGTGCCCAAAAACCAAAAGATGATTCAGTAATAAATTGTGATCAAAATCATTGAGTAAAAGATCTCACCTCACAAGTTACAACAGCCTGATCAGATTGAAGTTCTTCAATTTCATATCCTGTGTCGCAGGTTATTGTTAATTTTTCTCCAAATAACACTGAGTGACTTGAAATAGAACCTGTAATTACAGATCTACAGGTTTACAAGAGAATAAGGATTTGGCTTTTGCATTTGATATTTATCATTGAAAATCATTGCTAACTTAATATTTTTGTTGGAAATTAAAATTTGAATCAAAAATATATTGGCTACCTTCTGTCTAGCCATAACAATGTCTATGGCACATGGGTCATGGGTCACAAAAGTTCCGGACATACGGTAACAGTTTTGCTTGACTTGTAGGATTGTTTATGTTTTTTATACTTTTAACACTATCACCATATGACACTATTTTGTTTTTTTAAATTTTCATAACTTTACACAGTTTTTGCCAAGTATATTACTATTATTTTAATCAGACCAAGGACATTTTAACACATTACAAGGAACACGTTTTTATGTGAACATTGTCTGTGATTGGCAAAACACATTTTATGTGGCTGCCCTACAAATCAAATCTGTTGCTTATATGTCAGCCCAATGTTCCTTCCCTTTATAGAGTAGACCATTCAGATGGAGATTGGATCATATAACCATCATTACACTAACTAATGAACTTGGTAAAGTTATTCAATGTTATTAGGTTTACCGTGTTTGATGTCAGTATCTACAACACACGAAGAAGGAGTACATAATTCCATATCTGCATCGGCAAACATTCCATTCGATTGGCAAGTTATAACAGTTTCTGGATCAATCAACATGTATCCTTCATCACAAATATATTTCACTGTTCCTTGGTATTTATAAATGTAGTTTGCATCTGTAAAACATAAAAATTTAAATTAGTGTTGAAGCAGTAATAGATGTTATAAAATTACTAAACGCCTCGTTCAAAGTGGATTAGCATTCCGAAAAATTAAAAGCAACAATAATATTTAAACACGATTTCATCGAAAAATTTGTCACAAGTCATTGGTACTTTATTTAATATGGAAACATTTATTCCATCACGATTTCCGCCAATCTTTCCAGCTGAGCTTTTAATGCAACGGTACCAATAATACCAATGTGGTAATCGGTTCCAAATGAGCATTGATATTTTGTTTTCTTATAATTATGACATAGATTCATTCTACTTACCCAATACTGGTGTTGCATGTGTTATATTCGGTGCTGTACCACAATCTATAATCTGACATCCAGCTCCAACAAATTCCCATTCACCATTTTCAGTGCAAAGGACATCTTCCGACCCTGTGCTTGTGTATCTAAAAATACATATCCTTCATGTTATAGTTTGTTATACATAGTTAGTTCGTTGAACCTAATTGGAGAGCGTTTTAAGTTAGGAATATTTGAATAGAGATATCTTCCCCCGTATCTGACCAAGGAAGTAATAAAATTGGGTAACAATTTGAAATAGTCTTTTCCTATCAGTAATTACTTAAGCAGAGATTTTATTGCCCATAACAAACAGACCATAATAATAGCCACATTAGCAAGTTTGTTTTCAATTTTTGGATTCAATTTGGCAACTAAATAATATTTTATTCTATGCATGAGAGTGATAGATATCTGTCTAAAAATTCAAATAAAGAAATCTAGGATGTTTGTTTTTTGTAAATCTCATATTTCTAATCTGTGCAATAATTCGATAATCGAAGAATCAATTGTTCAATAAGCATTTAGTTTCGACACATACCTCCTTTTTTGATCATTAGTATATGCACATTGATATATAATCAAAATGGCCGAAGCAGTATACTTTCAAAAGTTTTTTTGCAACTGAGTTGGCGAATTAGTTAGATAAAATTCCCTTATTTTGATACTAACCCTTCATCACAAATCATTAGAGCTGCATCTCCAAATGTAGTGAATCCATCTGGATGAAATAATCTGCCATTTTCTATTTCCATATCAAGATTACAATGCACTGGTGCACATAAATATTCTGGTTGTGCAAAAGAGCCATTTTCAGTGCAAACCAGTTTAAACTGGTTTGTTCCATCCGGAAGAACATATCCAGTGTTGCAGATATAATGAGCAAACGTTCCATAAACAAACTCTGAATCTATAATGCAATCAAACAATAAGGGTTTGCGACAGAATTTCATCAGAGAGGTTGCATGGTTTTACATTTAGATTTACAATGAATGTGAGTCTATTGATGGCCAAAAGCCACTGCAGTTTTAAAAAGTCGGTTTATCTTATTGTATTTCTAAATCCAGAAGAAATATTAGCCACATAAATGTTTTATTTTCAACATAAATAAACACATAAATTGCAAAATCCAAATATCAATTTCTGGATTCAACGTGAAACAATCTGAATATTCAAGTAATTATGGAAAAAATATATAATGGTGAATTCATGAAAAGTAATAAGGAGAAAAATATAACATGAAAATACGAAAGTTGTTCAAATGAAATTTAAACTTGATTGAAACTGACCTTCTACAAGGCTAGCTGTTTCGAACACAGGTGGGAAATCACATTCAACTGGTAAGCAAGGGTTTAATTCTGAATCCCATTGACCAGACGAAAGACAAATGAAGCTTGAATGAGATTCATATCTGGAAAAGAAAAAAATTATAGTTATAAAGCGGTTGCAAGTATATTTTTGTGTGAGATTTTTGCCAAGTTTTAGTATTCAATTAATGTTTCCAAATAATGTATTGTATTACTTTGCTCTATTGTATGCGTCGGGGCTTTTCGAATACGAATTTCTAATATATTTCAAAAGTTATAAATATGATTGCTAATATCACTGTATCAGGGATAAACTGATGTATGAACATTTATCGCATCAGTGGTGAATTGATGTGAATTTTGATGGAATTGCAACAGTTGCTACATTTCTTGTCAGGAACACATAGATTTGGATTCCGAGGTAGTTGAGCATGCTCATGACGATTGCTGAATCCTATGATCTGACCCCATGAATTCACCCCCGAACATGATCTATAATCTCAACGAATTTACTCCCCTAAAATATATGTAAAATTGACTCTATTATCCATCTATGTTACTATCTTTTTCATTTTGTGTCATCTCACAATTGTGCATTTTTTATACAGCGTTTCCGCTTCAAACCAAGCTTGGGATAAACAAGCTTATGAGATAGCAACTATTAAATTAATTACTATTGAAAGAACCAAAAAGCTACTAGTTGGAATTGAATACTCAATCACACAAGTTAAGGGGTGCATATAGTCATGTGACTTGAACCTGAAATCTTCAACATGTGATTCCAACTCGGATAAGGACAGCGCTTCAAGTGAAAATCATAAAAAATTCATGCCACTAACGTACCCAGGTTCACAAATGTAGAAATTCATATCTCCAACAAATGATTTTTCAAGCAAAGGTGTTCCATGATCCGTGTTTGGGACAGATGGGCATTGAATTTTCTCACACACAATTTCCTCTGTTGAAAATGTGCCATCAGCTTGACAAAGTCTAGACTTTGCTCCAGTAGCAAGTATGTAATCATCAATACATTGATACTCAGCGACCATTTCAAACGTGAATACGGAATCTGAACAATAGGAATTTTCAATAACAATAATCCTAATCATATACCAACAAAATATTCCTATATACTTGGTAACTAAAACATTGACGGACCAAGGATAAATCAATAGACAACCTCTGGTAATTTTCTTTCAAAAAACCTTAGATGTCAAGGAATAACACTTGCACGAGAAAAAAATATTTGCCTTACGAAATACACAAAAAATATTCTAATCATGTTAGGCAGCTTTTCCTGAAGTGATCATATAACTAGGCAAAGTCTCAAACCCTTGGGAGATAATTGTAAGGTTTAACTGCGAGAAATATTGAGAATTGAAAGATAATTTATGACTCAAAACAGCTGTTACGACCCATGCAATATGTGTAAGCAATTCTTCTCCATGCAAAATATGATGTATTATAATTCACTCGCATACTAAACAGTAAGTTACGGATGCCTACTGAAATGCCATGAACTACCAAAAAAATATAGTATTTTGGTGGTACATTACACGCCAGTAAATATAGGTTTGCATGAGACTTTAAGTAGTCCAGATCAATACGATTATGTTGTACCAGCTATGAGGTAGTTAATTCGGTATTCCGATTTTTCTTATTTTCGTTCTATTACGAGTTCGGGGGCGGCCTGTGTTAGCCAAGTGAATATCCCCCCTGTTCATAGGTTTCAGTCCGATTACACAACTTGATGTAAAGTAGGCGAACAAAATTAGTTACCTCCACATTGGTACACATACATAACTGAATTTCCTTTAAAAAAAATTACAAAAGTATACAAAATGTTATCTTTAACAGACACATACCTAGAGGAACAGAATTTTCAACCACTGGTGCTTCTCCACATGATACAGATACACACGTTGGTTGAGTGTGCGACCATCTTCCATTTGTATCACAACTAACTGTTGAAGAGCCCTTGAAAATAAATTGGCATTAAACACATTCACAATGGGTCTGTCAAAATATTCAAATTTTGTTGTCAATTGTTAAAAATTGTTTCAAAGAGCGAATAAATATAGTTAGAGAGCTGTACATAATTATTTTGGCATACCATGCCCGCCAGCTCACCCAGGATATAAATAGGGTAGGCAATGCCGAACTGAGAAGAATCTGATCCGTCAATGAACTTTAGCTCCTAAGGAATCAGAGTTTAAAAGTGAAGATGTGAAAATGCTATATAGAAAAAAGACCGCCAAAACAAGTAATAAAATTTCAGTTCATACCTCAAGTGTATAGCCTTCCAGACATGAGAACTGGGCAATGGCTCCATAAACATGAATGTGATCTTCGTGAGAACTATCGTTCAAGGATCTGAAAACAAAACAGTAGTATGTGAGTAACAAGTTGTTTCATTGGACAAGAAATAAGAAATAATTGTGAGTGTTGGATATACTTGAGACACCTTTTCTATGTAACTGTGTAACAAACTATTTTGACCAAAACTAACTGGACTTGACTAACCACTAGAGATATTTGAATTGAGACCCAAAGAAAATTCAAGAAGAGCCTTTGAAATAGTAAAAAATCGGAAAAATTTGATTTACCATGTAAATTAATGTTGAATTGAAAATGTCAAATTTCAATAGTTTGTCATAGGAATACCTCAAAATTGGCTTCACGGCCAAGGGAAACTTGGACGAATTGTAACTTGACTCATAACTTTGGGTTTATGTAACTTGATTGCAGTGCAATGTACAACAACAGCAACTTAATAACTTCCCTCTAATCATTGCATTCTGAACTCACAATTTGCAGTACAAAATAGGCATTCACCTATGTTACATTTTTATTATTTAGTCACTGTGTTGTGCAGAATTGAATTGCTATTATAAAATTTTGAACATAACACAATACACTATTACCTATATGGTGAATGTGTGAATTCAACTTCTCCATTTCTGAAAACATTTAGTTCGGAACATTCGACTGGAAGACAATTGTACTCTGTAATGTCTTTAGACCATTTCTTATTTGCCTGAAAATGTTGGTAATGGAGAATAGAGATGTTCAGAATTACAACAGAGCTGGAGCTGTTTTGAATGTGTGTGAGAGTATACCAGGGTCCTTTAAGCATGTTCAGGTTTATTTCAAACTAAGATTTGTGAACCATGTAATAAACTGGCTGAACAATAAATAGTTGACCAAAACTGTATTTTTGTATTATTTTGGTTTCTTACTCATTCCAAACATTAAGAGAGTGTACCAGTATAGTACTAAGAGGTAAAGAATCAGTTTTAAGCACATAACAAATGATGAAAAATCGGAGTGCGAAGAAAATATCACAAACCTGACAAATGAATTGTTCTTCATCATTACTAGAGGATAGCTCAAACCCAGGTTCACAAGTCAGAATTCCTTCACTCAGGAAAGTAATTTCTTCAGCATTGAATATTCCTGAGAAATTATAAAGTACAGCAAGTATGTTTACCAATAGTAAATAACATTTGTTTGAATTAAGATCATGAACAATGGTGTCATCAGAATGAATAAAACATCCCAAATCATATCGAAAATCAGAAATTGTATCTAAAGCTACATAAAGTTGAATAATATAATGGTCAAGTTATAATATAAAATTGTAAATCAAAAATTGATTTTGCAAAACAAAAGTATAATACATATTGTATAGACTGCGCTTTTTCCACAGTGACATCATGTGTCATTAATTTATTCAATCCATCATCAATACCAAATGTTTTGAAAATATAAAAATTGCAACATTAGAAAATCTTTATGTAACAAATATTGCAACTGATAAACATACCATGTGTAATGCTTATGATTTCTTCACATCTCACTGGTAAGCATTGAACATCAGTGTCATCAAATGTTCCATCAGATAAGCAATGCTTTGTTTGTAAACCATTCATTTCATATCCTTTTATACATTCATAAACTACGTCCTCATCAAAAACATATTCTTCTGTTTCTAAAACAAAGAAAAATGTTGCCATGTTTTAATTTGATGATAATTTAAAATCACAGCAAATACTTCATAAGCAGACATACTGTTAACTTTGATTAAGGTTGATGTAAGGATGTATAATAAAGTTACTTTTGCATAATCTGAAATGAAACAAAATATGCTATCAATATAGTGGAAACAGAGATTATGATCGTTGATATGAGTTACACATTCACATGAATAAGACTTGAGATAACGCATAATGCACTTCAATAAATCTTCGTAGTATTTTGGTCACTCATGAGGTGAATCTGCTTTACTTCTGGGCTTTATTTTTGAGCGAATTCTACCAATTGAAAATTTTAAATTACCTGAAACAGCCATTGCATTTTCCACCACAGGTGCTGCACCACAAGATATAGGTTCACATGTTGGGGAAGGATCTATCCATGTTCCCAGAATTCCACATCTGATAATGTCAACTCCAACAATGCGGTGACTAATAAATAAAGCAAACAATAAATGATTTAAAGTTAATCATTGGCTGATAAGCTCCCTCACCATCATTTTAGTTTTTCAAGCTGGGTAGAAAGCCTACAACAATCTGCAATGACTCATTTTCACACAAAAAATAAAAGCTGTAGTCCAATTGTCGTGTCCAACACTTGTCCTGCTGGTATGATTTAGATTTACTTTGATAAGTCATGATATGGGTTAAGACAGATATAATACTTTGACAAAAAGTTCAGCATATTCATATAAAGTGAGATTCATACAAATATAACAAGTGTGGGGCAAGTGGAGCAAGTATGGGACATAAAATAGTTCAACTAAATACTAAACATGTGGTTTATCGTACCCTTCATTGCAAGTGTAAGTGACATTATCTCCATAAGATGCATTCAGCATTGATGAAGAACCTTGAGCAATTTCTGGCACTGGTGGGCATGGTATTCTTTCGCAAGTTATAACTTCACTAGAAAATGTACCATCAGCTTGGCAAGCTTTTGTGTTCATATCAGTACCAAGCTGATAACCAGGGTTACATGCATAAAACACCAGCTGACCATATCTCAAAACATCATTGTTTTCTGTAAATAAAGAAGTTTAATATAAATAAAATGAGTCATGCCAAAGGGAAACACGGAACAAATTTGTGTAGAAATGTTGATCAGATTTGCTTTTCAAAGTGATTTGATAACATCAATTACAAGAAAAATTGATTCCTCAACGCGGAGGAGGACAAGTAACTGCTGTCTTATATTTCTGAAAAAACAGTGCTATATCTGATTTTGTAGTCTTGTGTAATTCGTTTCTATTCGATTTTCTGGAGTTTTGACATCGGTTCAACCTGTATTTTATCCTTTTATTTGATGACTGGTGAAGTATCAGAAATAATTGTAAATCCATGATATTATCAAAGTTTCCAGTTTCAATTTTTCAATCAAAGTATACAATCAAAATAGGAACATAAATAAATATTACCATTTTCAAATAGTGAATTAGGAACAGTTGGGATGCCCGAACATTTTATTGTTCTACACCGAGGTACACTTGTCCATGTTCCATTTGCTTGGCAAGTGATGACAGGATTACCTCTTATTTCATATCTAAGAAATACAAAGTTTAGTATAAAGCATTTGGAAAATACAATAATTTGGGTCAGTAACAGGAAATATATCACAGAATTTATATGTAAAATGCCACATTAAATTTATATCAACTAATGTCTTGGTACAATATCCTGAATGAAATATTATTCCAAATGATTTGCTCCCTAAACCATATTGCTAATAGATTCTTGATGTATAGAAAAAATAGTCAAATCAATATCAACAAAATTATAAGCAAATTCGTGTTTTTTACAGAAAATTGAAAGATTAAAGTAGTTATCATTAAAAGGCCAGTTTTTCCCTCAATTATATACGGTTATTGTACAATGATGTTACGAACAAAGAATTCAAAAGGCAAAACTGCATATTACCCTTCCATACACTTAAATTGAACTTCATCTTCATATCTTGGAAAAATTAAATTAGCTGATGGAATCCCATGTTTTATACTTGGTACTTGTTCACACAACCTACGAACACAAACTGGTGTATTTGCTGTCCAATTACCAGTTGAATCACATGATATCACTTCTTTACCAACAAGATCAAAACCTGGTGGAACCATGAATATAATCAAGTGTTAACGGAAGGTACAATTTCTATTGTATCATTTTTGATAATGATAAACAATACAGGTCCAAGAATGTTGTGATTGCATTGAAGGTTTTATTATATAACAAATTCAGTACGTACAAATTTGAAAACAATTCTGTATTCTCATGGCAGAAAACTGATTATGTATGAATAATATATCACAAAGTAACTTGTATAACATTTAACATACGCATTATGCAAATATTCCTTGTGCGATATTTTATCTCACACCTGTCTAGAATGTGCAATAGCGTATATCAAATTGTACATAATAATCATTATTTGGTTGCGAATGGCAGAGTGCTCTATCGCGCAAACCATATTTTAATATCTGCAGTAATAGAGATGTAGCCCTTATAGTAGAGTGTACGCTTTGCATGCCTAAGGTAATATATCGATACCAGAGTTTCTAAAACCTTGGTTGTAATAACAGATAAGATAATATTCAGGGTTCGCACTCTGTATTTTAATTGTTGACCCCAATATCATCACATTGCGTTATGCACAAGAAGACCAGTAATTTATTCTAAAAAGGGTACAACAACTACTCATACTAAAATGAATGTTGTGATTCACCCACCTTCATTGCAAGAAAACACAACTGCACTTCCAAACGTGACTCCTTGGAATGAAACAATTTCTCCATGTTCAGGTGAATCAACATTGGTACAGTTGACAGGATCACATTTTACACACTCGTTTGACCAGGTTCCATCAGACTGACAAACGCTGGCTTTATCTTTTTTCATGTGTAGGAAACCAGGATAACATTCATATTTCACAATATCAGTGTATTTTATTCCACTTTCCACTGAATAAGAAATGTTTCAGCCATAAGAAAATAGTTGTTATTGAGGTATTTGGATATTTTTGCATCATTTCATTCTTGAATGTTAGCAAGACTAAAATAGCATATTATAAAAGCTAATGAATTTGAGAATGTGCATTTGAGATAATCAACATAAATTTTGATACAAGAAAGGCTTCCGAATTTCAAAGTAATACTGATTTGAGTTAAATTCATTCAAGCTAAAAGTGTCAGAAGTGTGATATCATGTTAACAGTTTTAATCTAGTTAGGCCTCTGTCATAAGGAATGATTGCAATATTCATTGATAATTTAGAAATTTTAAACAACAAAATTACTTCGATTTTGTGTATTGAAAAATAAATGTAAAATTGTTTGAATAAACTTACAAATTGAAGCAGCGTTGTCTACTGGAGGTGGAACACCACATGATATTCTTTCACATATTGGTAGAGAAGGTTTGTATTTTCCATTAGCACGACATTGAATTTCTGAACTTCCTTTCAACAAATATCCTTCCAAGCAAGTGTACGAAATAGTATCCTACAAAGACAGAAATAATGAAATACCATTTTCTATAAATATAATCTAAATTGAATAATGAATAAAAGATTTATTTTTTGATTTGTTAATGAGGTATTATAAGCGATGATGTTTTTTGTTATGTTAAGTGAAATAACTAAATTTGAAAACCTGATTCGTGGCAAGTAATTATGATAAAAGTTCCACTTTCATACTGGAAGAAAAACTATAAAAGCCACTGTTTGGCCAATATTAGATACAAGGCTTCTACAGAACTAGTAAATATGATAAAAATCTTGACAATCCAGAAAGCAGGCACCTTGAAGCTGGCCCTTTATTAGGCCGGATTCAACTTACCTCAAACAAGTAATGATCCTGCTTATCACCCATTAAGCTATTTTCCACATCAGGTGCAGACCCACATGATATTCTTTCACACTGTGGCAATGACCTTCTACAAAGACTGCTGTTTTCAGATGAGGATACTGGCGCAAAATGACCATCTGCACCACAGATACAATCAAATGATTTGTCACCAGATGTTAAAGCATAACCTTCGTCACAAACATAAGAGATTGTTTCATTGAATGTCATGAGATCACCAACACGGTCTGAATGATTTCTGTGGAAAATAAGATGAAAATACATTGTTGAGTCTATTGTTAAATGCATTCATATTAACTCATTTTATATTCTTTTAGTAATAAATGGCAATTGAAGATAATAATTACTTTTTATGAACAAGTTTTACTGGGAGATGCAATTAATCGAATCGGCCTAAATGATGAAACTGTAAGCAAAGAATTTGTAACTGCTACTTGCTGAAATATTTCCTCATGTTCAGTCCAACTAGTTTTTAAGCGTCCCAAAAATGTTTTGTCTCAATTATTCTACATTTGTTTCCTGGCCCCACAACATGTATCATTTATAACTCAGAACAGTGGAACAAGTGTATCAAGTGGGACACAATATCTTAGAGATGTCGCTTGGTCTGCCTCTATTGGCAATATCGGGTCAATTTGTAGATGTGTTTTTACTATTTTTCAACTATTCGGGGCTCAAATCTGATGCATGACTATAATTAAAACATCATATTCGTAGGAATTAAACAATAGTCCATTGCATCTAAGACATGTCGGTAGCATTGGGGTTAAATATGTAGGCACTTTTCATACTAACAAAAACATATCAAATACACTAAAAATACTCACTTAGATGGTATCGCTTCACATGTTACCAAAGTACATGTTGGCATATTTGCCCATTTACCATTCTGATCACATTGTGCAAAATCCTTTTTAAAATCAGCTATTTTGTATCCTGTTTCACATTCATAATGCACGTTGTCTCCAAAAACATGACGTTTAACGGACGATAAATCTCTCTTCTCAATACTACCAGGGTCTAACTGTGTAGGTGCTTTCTCACTCGGTATATGCATATCGGGTGGTGGTAGTTCGATTGTTGGTATTCTAATTGATGTTGTTGGTGTTTCCAATATTGCGTAGCCATGTAATATTGGAGGCGGTGATGAACATGGTACTGGATTACATGTTGGGATAGAAGGCTTCCATGACTTGTTAGCTTGACAAGACAAAACACCTGAAAATCATATAATTTACAAATGTCACTGGGTTGATGCTAATAAAATTCTGCATGCTTTCCACCAATTAAATTAATTTTTAAGAACATCGAATTGGGTCAATCTTATATGTTTTACACTACCTAGGTCAAGGTTTTTATACCTTCACTCTCTTACATGCCCTGATCTAAATGTACCCCATTTGTTTTTTCAAATTCTCGATTCTACGAGTACTTTAAACTACACATTGAATGAAAACAGCTATAGAAGAATGAATTTCAATGCATAATCTTGGATGTAGATGTTTTCGTTATTCATTAAATCTTCAATGAATCCTTAACTAGTGTTATGTGCAACTTGCATCCCGCGTTGCGCACACTATGAATAGTTGATGTTTCCGTAAATATGTATTACAATATTACTAAGTGCAATGAAAAGGAACCAATGGTGTAGTAGAGAAAGATTAGATTGACTTGATTGTAATATTGACCAATATATTTGGAAACACTGACCTAGGCCATGAGGCCATTACAAATCGCTGTGTTACTTTATTGAACTTTGCATTCAAATTATATAAAAATTCTCATACCTTCTCCTGACATTTCATATCCAGAATCACACTGGTATTCTACTTCGCTTCTATAAATCATCAACTCATTGTTCAATGTATACGATCCATGTTCTATACTTTCTGGTATTACACATCTAATTGGTTCACATGCTGGTAGTTCTGTATGTGACCAGATTCTTAATTCAATAAAAAAATATATTTGGGCTTACTTTTATAATATTGATTGATTGAAGTCAAATATTTTCATAATGCTATATTCTCAGTAAGTCTGAGAAGAGAATATTATTTGTGTGTGTGTGAGAATTTATGAACTCATCATCATCACAGGATGTTTTATGTCATCCTCAGTCGCTTACAGCATAATTCACCTTCCATGCACTTAGTATTCATCAGTAAGATAAAACGCTAAATTATATATGCCCATAGCATGTTGGACTGATAATTGGACAACAGTCTAAGATTCGCCCTATTACAGGTGTCCTAGAAATAAATATGAAATACTTATCCAAATGCTGACAAACTGGATGTGAAGAAGATTGCAAAATACTACTTAATATAATCAAAGTGGTAATATCCAAAGTCCAAACATTATTGCCCGCCAGAACCCTAGCTAGAGGATATCATCAAAATTGAAAGTTCATCTTTCACATGCATCTATTCAATGATTGTGATATAGTTGTTGTTCATGTCATATATAATACAAATGAATAGCTCACCCATCAGCAGTGCAAGACAATGTATTATCTGCTTCGCTTCCATCATACTCATAACCATTATCACATGTATATACAACGATGTTGTTAAAAGTTGTTTCAATATTTTCAGAATCCACCAAATATCCATGTTTCCTTGTTGGAGGTTGTCCACAATCAACTGGTCTGCAACTTGGTACGTCGGTGTCCCATAACTTATTGGCACCACATGTTACATTTTCTTGAGCTGAAAATATTGATATTTCCTACTGCTACTTGGCAAATAAAAAGTATCAACTGCGTGCATTAGTGGTGATTTACTCGCAAAATAATTTCAAGCGTTATGATAATATCAAAGAATTTCTTAAAAATGTGCTTCATGTCGGCTTGTGTTTAGAAGACCCAGCATAGTCTATGCAATTAGGTTACAATTACACATAACATATAAACAAAGTGAATTATTTCACAGGTGTTGTGCCAAACTTAGAAATATTGTAAAGTACAATAGTTTTAATGTAGAAATTTCCTTTAATATTGTAGAAAAATTAGGTAAACACATCTAATCGTCCAAAACATTGTGTTTGACTAGACCAGTGTGGAATGGCACGTAGTATTATGGTGATTTAGTATTATGAAGAACCATAAACTACGAATAACTGTAAATACCTGTTACAATGTATCCATGTTCACACTCATATGTGATTATATCTTCAAACACAAGCTCTTCAGAATCTGCAGACTTTTTGTAAACAATTCGTGTATTCCCGTTTGCAATTTCCACTGGGGGAGGACAAATCACTCTCTCGCATTCAGGTAGTGGTAAAGGACCCCATTGTGCATTTGACCAGCAATCCAAAGATATCATTGAGCATGGTAGGCCTTCGATTGCAGTAATCTCAAATCCTTCATTACAGGTGTAGTTTGTAACGCCTCGATATACGTGATTGTCTGTTTCGGACCTGCAGAGATGTAAGGGCTTATAAACTGATTGATTTTCAACAGATCGATAGGCTAAATTATTCTAGAAGAACTATAAACCGAGAAAAGAACTAGATCAAACTCGACAGGGCCCCTTGCCTCCTTAGGTACACAGAGCGAAAGGCCTTCGCTAGATATCATTTGCGATGGCGATGGCTATATAAGTTTAGCCCGTGGCACATAAAATACCTGATCAAATAAAATGCAAAACTATATAAGTTTATAGTAGAGCATGAGGTCATAAATGTTGAGATTTTTTGGAAAGAAGAAAAAGATCATAAAAATTCGAAGAACACTGAACTAGATCGATTTTTGTAGGAAGACTTACTGTTATTACACTATCATCATTTTTATTGGTCGGTTCAAAATGTTTGTTTCGATTCTCCCAGAAGTGTTATATGAAAAATCGATTTAGAGAAATCGTGAAGTTTGGGAATAAGTATGTCCGTTATGTGCAGAGGTCTGAAGTTGATTGAGAATAATTGAGAATGCAATTCTCTAATTACCTTGCATTTTCTAATGCTGGCGGCTCCCCACATGATACAGGAATACAAATTGGTAATTCTTGCTGGATTTCAGAATTTCCTGTTCCCCATAATCCATTTGCTTGACAGACTCTACATATGTGAGTGTCCAAGCAGTATCCAAGTTTGGTTGAATTTCCTTGTATTTCGTAGCCTGGTATAGAAATCATACCAAGTTCAAATTTATGTCTGAGAAATTGCACTAGAAAGGTGAGAAGGGTAAATCATGTCAGGTTAAACTAGCACTAGTATCTGTGCCTCAAACAGTAAGAGAATTGAGATTTGAAATAGCAAATAAACTTGGCTAGGTTGTCAATGTCACGATTAACTCTCTCCCTATAAATAAAATTCTATAAATCTATATATAAGCTCTTATGCAACTTTTATATTCCTTTCATTCCGAACAAAGCTCTGTATAAGCAGTTACTGCTAGGTTAAGAGATGCTATACTTTTTAAGGATTTTTACAATTCGTCAATGTACTACCCTCTGATTAGGTGATTCAGAGATTCACTATGCTATCACGTCTATTCCACCCCAGCGCTCAGTTTATGATTATGTTTCTGCTTCAAGTTGATTTGTATAAGAAACATTTAAATATAATTGACCTAGCAACAAATGCGTTATCTTATATATGTGTGTCCAATTATTATTATAATCAATTTATACCTAGTTCACATGAAAAAGCAACGAGTGATCCAAATGTTGTTGCAACAAAATCAGCATATCCATTTTCCAATGTCCCTGGATCTTCACATGATATTATTTCACATGTAGGAGGTCCACTGGTCCAACTTTTATCCCACTCACATGTAACAGTCTTGAACTGTTTTTCGTCTTCTGAGAATACATCAAATATTAATGATAAAAATTGATTTGTGAATAATACACATCAGGGCTTCTCAACAGAACAGCGGTCCTATTATGGATCTTTAGAGTATTCAATTCGGACCGCATCTGTTTTGCTATTTTAGCAGCATTAACTCGATTAAATTTTGATGGGTGATTTATTCAGGTTCCTTTTCAATTTTATACGTTTTGCACTGATCCACACATGGAAATTATTGTGGTTTCATATTGATAGCATTACATAAACATCGTCTTCAGGGAGCAAATAATCAGTTGCCAGAAAACTGCAGTGTGCATTGAGGATGTTGAATTTGGCACAGTGCCTTTGTTTTGTTATTTGTTGACCCTTGTAACATCAAACATTTCAAGTTTCTTTGCATGATTGTAAAAAGTCTTGTAAATATATCTTTGGTATAAACAGTTGAGTAACCCTGACATGAATACTAAAATTAGGAAAAATTAGAATCAAACCTTCTGATGTCATTTTATATCCAATATCACATCGATATGTAATAGAACTTTTGTAGAAAAATCCTCCTGCATTTTTCATGTATCTTCCAAATTCCAGATCTAGCGGTGGAAGACACTCAACGGGAGTGCAAGTTGGAGTGGGGTAGTCAAACGTTTGGTCCTCTTGGCAAGTCAATGTTGATGCTCCTTCTAATTCATAACCTGAAAAAATTTAAACATATTTAAATTACAAGAAGGTTACAGCAGAAAGTAAGCTAGAAATCAGTGAACATCACTGAAAATCTGACAAAATGCCAACCCAAATTTCTCAGGTTCTCAATTTTTTATTATGTTTAAGATAGGTCCCTTTAAGATTCCTCTTTTAAGATGGGAGGAATCTTTTTCAGAGATACAGGTGCAGAAATACTTCAAATATTATAAGAATTTATCTAATATTTCTAAATCGTAACAGAATGGATAAATGAATATAACTCAAATGAATCATATCTTACCAGGCAGACATTCATAAGTCATACTTTGTCCATAGATCAAAGGAGTGGTGGTGAACTCTTGTCCACTATGCAAAACTCTAGGAGGCAAATCACAAGATACCGGACTGCATATTGGTGGACTGCTTGACCATGATCCAGATGCTTCACACAGCAGTAATGATTCTCCCTGTATGATGAATAACAGAAAATGAGCTTCTTTCAGAAATTATATCTGCGATTTATGTCTATTTCAAAGCGTTCCCAATGTAACCAATACATTTTGGTTTAAACATTTAAATATATTAGTTAAGAAAAATTGACCTAAATCCTTTACTTTAACTGTAGTATTCCATATGTAAAAACTGCATTAGCCATACCAAATTTAAACTGTCACGGTATTTTTACCATTTTGCAATAGATTGAAAGAATTTTGCAATATTGATATCTCCCTGATTAGTACCGGATGAATACCATTGAAAAATATGAAGTATGAATTTGCATATGTTTGACATCAAATTACAGCTCCTTTAAATCTAATCTACTTATTAATTAATAATAACCACTATATCAATATTCAGGCAATAAAATAAGTTACATTCATCGGTGGGTATTGCCTTGAAAAATACATAAACTACACACCTCCATTTCATGGCCGATATCACATTGAAAATAAGATTTTGCACCGAATACTGATTCTCCAGAAATATTGAATTGGCCATGCATAAAAACTGGTAATTCAGGGCATGGAACAGGTACGCACTCTGGTGGTGAAGTATCCCATCTACGATTGTGCTCGCAGTTGATTGTGAAGATACCTTGATCTATAGATGAAAATATATTTCAAGTTTGAAATAAATTTCCAAAATTGCGGAACTTGTCATTCCAATATGTTTTTAGTCATCGTACTCAGTTAGCTCTCAGCTCTCATAAACTTGTTGTCAGTGTACCCACCAGACATAAAAACATTTACACAGAAAGTTTTCTCAAGAACTTCAGTTGGATTTCGAATTCACCACCGCATAGTTGTTTACTTGATGGAATAGAATTGGATCATTTCAAGTCTAGCCTCAATCAGTCCCTATAAAGACGTAATCGCCAAAAATGTGTGATATTTTCAAAAGAACACATAACTGAATATCAATACTAGTTACAAATTAAATTGTATTATAATACAATATTTCAATTCTTTTTCTAATAAATTAGTAGCAATTTCCAAAATTTGACTGCTATTTTTTCAATAATTTCAAATTCAAACAAAATACAATAATACCTTCAACGGAATCAAATCTATATCCTTCATCACATTCATATTTCACTGATTGACCGTAGGAATACGGGTCAAAATTTCCGGAAGAAGTTTTCATTGATCCTAGGTGTAAAGATGGTGGTTGACCACATGATACCGGTCTGCATCCGGGAGCTCTCGGAGACCACTCTCTGTAGGTAAATTATAAAATAGAGAACGTTATAATGATGAAGGTAATGAAGTTATAATAATAAATATTTTAGAAATCAGAAATGCATTTATCGTATGGTCATTAATTTTATTTGTATTCATAATCAAGACATTGTCTATCATAACTTGCTAGATTAGGGGTGGGCAACTTCTCTAGTCGGTGGGCCACATGTGGAAAAATGAAGTTCTCGGCGGGCCGGATTATAACATGAATAGTATTCAATATCTTAATCACATATTTATTCACTAATGCAAGAAAGAAAATTATAAATCGCGTTCAAAGTAAAGTTTAAACTACAAATAATAGAGACCAAAAAACACATAATTATTTTATCATAATGTACTAAGTGTTATAATGTGATATCATTATGTACAGTCAGCGGGACGCTCAAAATCTCGTCGCGGGCCGGACCCGGCCCGCGGGCTGTATGTTGCCCACCCCTGTGCTAGATAGAGGAATTTGCACACAACAGCACAAGGGTGGCCCACACCTCCTGCTGTATACAGACTCCATCTACAACAATTATACAAATACAGGAGAATTTTTATGCCCGTCCACGAAGACAATGGCATCGGCGTATATTCAGACTGTCTTAAAATTAAATATTTAAAACCAACAATATTCATCTATCCTAACATTACAACAGTGAGCCGTAACATTTCGGACTCGGACATATTATCTGTAAACTATTATTGTAAGCTATTATTGTAGCCAGTATTGGGCTATTATTGTGAGTAAAATTTTAACTTTTTCAGCGAATACTTCAAAGTAAATATACTTTATCTGTAATTAGTTTCATATCTCTAACCCTTGAGGGAACTCCATGCTTATGTCCTCCGATGAGATCATAATGGGAATAAAAAAAAATGTCATGTCACAACAAGTCATGTTTCAATTTATTATGGAAGAAGTTTTAATACAATCATATAATATAACAATATAATAATATAAAAATCATTCAAGACTTTGTTGTTTACCTGGTTGATAAGCATTTTATGATTCCAAGTCCATCTAATTCGTAACCAGCTTCACAACTATATGTTGCTGTTTGTTGGTAAGTTAGACCTGTGGCATTAAACCTTCCATTCAATGGCGTAGGTGGGATGCCACATGACACTGGCGCGCAGTTTGGTAAATCGGTAATGTCACTTCTACCATTCTCCATGCAAGAAATCGAAATGAACTCAGTTTCCGATGAGGCAGAGAATTCATAACCTGCAAAATATTTGAAAACTTATTTGAAAAGGTTGAAAAATAATTGGCACATTCTTGTTTATAGCGTTTGTAGAACATTTTTACAATTTTACAATTGCAGTTTTACTGTTGCACCATTTGTTTGATCCACCTGCATATTAATCACTGGTTTGAAGTCCAAGTATGACAATTCTGTTTGCAAGAAGATGATACCTAGACATCTGATTGATGACTGATTTTAAATTGAATTGGTTAATTGACCCAATGTTCATTTTGCTGAGTACTAAATAATAAAGACTATCTATTCTCGTATTCAATCAAAACCCATATTTCAGGGATGCCTAATAACTAGAATACTGTCATTGTGAATAGAATATCTAGCCTCGTGACACTTTTTTCATATTTTATCCAGTGTGTGGTTAACATATAATTGATATAGCTTTGCTCCATCACGGTATAATTATGAAATGTCATTTCAAATGTCCCAGATCGTAACCCTATAAAAAGCGTTCAAATTCTATACCTTCATTCTAATAAATCCTTACCTTTCAGAGGCCTATAAATTAGAGACCCCTCATATTTGAATATTTCTGGACCAATCATTTCACAATGCTTCTTCACTTCTGGTATGGGACATTGAACACGAACACAAGATGGCGGAGGATTCGGGCCAAATGTTCCAGTAGCTTGACAATGCAAAGTCGCATCTCCTGTATGGGGAAGTTAAATTTGACTGACCCGTAAACAGAAAACAAATATGGCTATTATCGTATTGTAGAATTGTAAATCAGCGAATAGTGAAATTGGTAATTTGCTTTCAAAAATGCACAATGCTTTCAACATAGGCTCGAAACAATTATATGGTAGGAGCTACTATTTCAGAAAGGGGGCCAAATTTTTTTGGGTTTGTATAGTCTGAGTGAATCATATCGCTAAGTTGTTGTTGTTGGTTTTGTTCGGACATTTAGGGGTTGTTGTTTTAAACTAGACTTTGCTTAAAACTGCTACAATAATAGGTTTCAAATTGTTAGTGCTTAAAGATAAACGACATCCCTGAAGGTATACTAATTTTATTTAAATTTTTATATTCAAGTATGAAGTATAATATTTCACAAAAAAATTTACTTTTCTGTTTGAATTCACAGGAACAGTATTTTTACATTCTATATTTAACTCCATATATTTAAGTATTCCACTCTAGTTTTAACTCGAGCTGTTGGTGCCATCAATCTGCTCTCTGTTACCTTGTTTTTATATTTAGCAGTTGTAATTACCTCGAAGTTCAAAGCCTGGTTCACACTTGTATGTAATAAAATCCTTATACACCATCACTACATCACTTTGTGTTTGTGAAGAGTGGGTAACATCAGGTGGAAAACCACAAGATACTGGATGACAGGATGGTGTACGATCCAATGTGTATATGGGTTCTGAAAAAAAAAGACTATTATTTTCCAAATATTTCTATGCAGTATAGAAAGCTGTCATAGTAATATATGCACAACTGGTGAAATACTGACGATATAGTTTAGCCAATGTTTTGAATGTCTACAATTTAAAACTTATTTTTATTAGGAAATTCCAAATTTTGGAAAACAATATATCATTTGATTCTTACCCCATGCATGTTGTACATACATTACTATAATCTAGCCTGGTGACAATCACTCACTATAGAAATCACTCATTGTAACTTTGGACTTTCATTCTGAAATTCCTGCCTCAAACATTTTTTCATTTTGGTGCAGTTCTTGGATTTGTTATTTTGCAGAACTCCATACTTATACATGTTTTTAATATCGATTAAAATCATTTCTTCTCATTTCCATATATTAACTTTTGAAAATTTTATATTGTTATATATTTTTTTCTGTTACTAACCTGCAAAGGCTACTACTACTGATCGTGGAAGTGTTTTTTCAAGAATATTTGACCCTGTAAAATAAAAATCAATTTTATCAATAAATTCAATCAATCAAATGAAATCGTGGAATGATTCAGTTCTAGTAGAAAGTAAAATTCGATGAAAGAAGAAAACTCATGCTAACTTGGTACTTGCAAGGTTATAAAAATGTGATGCAGTTTCAATATTTTAAAAAAAATTAAACTTACAAGTTATGTTTTTCATTTCAGTTCAAAAATCAAATTGAAAAAATGAACCAAAACATATATGAAAAAGATAGCAATAATATTTGAAGTATGTCTGAATAATTCACCTGATCCATGTTCTTCTGCAAAAACAATTTCAACATTTCTTTTAGATCGTGAAGCTGAGTCAACAATTGGTTCCATTTTTGTATTTCTATCAACATTTGTTTGTGAATCCACATTTTCTCTATTCATTCCTGAAGCTTCACTTAGCATTGCCTGTAGCTGACGTGTTGAATAATCTGTGGAAAAATGAATAGTTAACAATTTCACTTCGGCTATTGTAAAATCGGATCATCCTGTATTTCAGAGCAAGTTAGAATGTCATGAATTGGACACATCTAAGCATATTTTATGAATGCATGTTGTTCAACAGCACATACTTGATTGGGAAAATTTCAAAATCGTTTTTCGCAAGTACTGAGGCTAAACATAATACAAAAAGGACATAAAAAATATATTTTCTCTATTTCATTTATGTGGTCATATATGCATTATTGTCCTAATTTATCAACTTGAAGAAGCTTCCTACTTACCAAAAAAAAAAGTAAAACAAACGTATTGCACAAAAGCTAACACCATTAAAGTCATTTTACAACAGTTACCCAATTTTATCACATAACAATATAATGAATTCTCCAAGCGGTGTATACAAATACAACAACATAAAAGCAAAGAGAAACGACCAGTGAATAGATGTTGCAGCCGATCATTCAGTAAGCCAGTGAGCTCAGTGATTGACCTGACTTCGGACTCAGATTACACTAAACTCAATTTTACTTGTGAATCATGAATTAGGGAATTCCAAGTTTGCCAAACATAAGCTAACCAGAAGGAGCTGCCATTCTTCCGAGTGGAACAATGTCTTTTGTGACAGAAACTTTTGTTTTCCATTCTCCATTTGACTCACAAATCCATTGCCTTGCTCCCTCCATGTAATAACCAGGATCACATTGATACGTTGCTTCATGTTCATATGTGTTGCCTGTAAGTAGAGTTATAATGATTTACTATTGTTAACCTTTGGTCAGGTTGTACTTTGCAATTGTGATGAAACAAAATTTCCATATTCCAATAGTATTTTCCCCATATTTTATTATGCGTGAAATAGTTTTATATATTGAAGATGACTCGATTACATTTTTACACAATAGCACAAATAAGCAATCCAATTAAATAATTAAAAAATATTATTTCAACTCTATTTCCAACACCTAATTAAATTTAGACATTTTCTGAGGTTATTTAGCACATTCAATGAAGAGCTGTTAAACAGGCTCTAAACAAGGTTTTAGAAAAGCATTAGTAAATGATACAAAAGGAGATGCTGTTTTCAAAAATACAGATATCTTTTGAGGTAAGCCTACTAGATTCATTATTACGTTGCTAATGACATCAATCATATTATATTATGTTGTACCTGTGGAATCAATTACTCCGTTCACTAATTCTACTGGGTTTCCACAAGACACTGGAAGACATTGTGGTACTTCAGTGTAAGTTCTGTCACTTTGGCAAGCAACCTCAAAGATACCTTCAACGTAATAACCTACATCACATTCATATCCAATCTTTTCCTGATATGTAGGATTGTTTCTGTGAAGATAAAACCAAACATTGCTCAATAAATATAATTGCAATTTTTTTACTTACACATTTTTGTAAGCCGGTAATTAAGAGGCAGTTTGCTTTTGATATGCGCAAGAATATTTGAATTTCAGTTCAACACATCAATATACAAAACAAAAGATAAATGCTCAAATATATGCATACGAAGGTCATTGGTACTGGTGCAGTAAACCATTACATTGTTACCGGTGCGGTAAAGCCTTAGAGCAACAAGTTTGCCAAAAAGATGGTCAAGTAAGCAAAACGGAGACAATTAAGCATAACAGAATAATGAAGTGGCCTCAACTAAAATAAAACAGAACAATTTGGAGTAAAATATGTTTATCACAGTAAAGGATTCAGTGAGAATTTGAAACAGAAATGTAATTAAAGAAAAAACTAAGCCTTCGGGAAACAACAATAGTCACCTAAACAACAACAACAACAGCAATTTAGCAAAACGATCCACATATTCATTCATATATATATACTTCACGTCCAATAAAAAAGTTTCATTTATAGCATGTATGGTGTATATATCAAAATGTAATACATCTGAATTGGAAAAAGAATATCCTTGCCTTGCAATATCCCGTAATGGATGCCCATGTTTTATAGCAGGCAATGCAACACATTCCAATGGTAGACATGCAAAATTTTGTTCCTCTGGTCTCTCCCATTCACCACTTTCACCACATTTCAAATCTTTTACTGGAATGTCTTGTTCTAACTCATATCCTTCGTTACAGGAAACAGTGAATGAGGATTTGAATGTTGTAGTTTCAAAAGTACAATTTGCTAAAAATGTAAAAATTTTATGTTGATTTATTAGTTGACTGAACAGAAAATACTAAAACTAACTGACCAAAAAATTTTAAAATGTCAGTACAATGCAATGAACACAGATTTGCATCAGTTCACTATTCACACAGCACACTGTATAAAACCATAACTGTTTTTACTAGTCTTCAACCTTGGTTAAAATACAGGGCAATGCCAATGTTGAAATTTGAAAGAATCATTTAAAGCATGATTGGCAATATGGAAATGACAGCAAATTGTAAAGTATAGGTTAGAAATTTATATTGTAGTTTATGATAGTAGTAGTTTGAATTTTGCATATTCATGTCTCATGTCCACATGTCCCAAACGTGTCCCACTTTTTCTATCGTTGTCTCACAATTGTCCCATATTTACCATATCACTATTTTGAGTGGATATGTATTGTGACAGCAATGGTGAAAGTGAGCGTATGAAATGGGTTTCGTGCTATGCTCTAGGTTAGCATAGTTATACTACTTTGGTCAGAAAATTAAAGCGAGCAAATAATGTGAGATTTTTACAATTGGGACAAGTGGCACCAGTGGGTAAAGCGTGAGAGGAAAGTGTAGAACCAGTGGAACAAGTGTGGCACAAGTGAGACAATAATCTACAATATTTTTGAGACACCTTCAGTGGGTGCTTGATTTTTCCGGATGAGATGATAACATGATAACATTGTACTTTGAATGTACGTGATAGCAGGAATACATTAACTTACCTTTCTCTATACAAGAAGGTGGATCGCCACAATCTTTTGGTAGACATTCAGGTGGATCAGGAGACCAGGTCCCATTACATACAATACTGTCTTCTGTACCAAGCAACTCGTAGCCTGGATCACAAACATATTGTATTCTAGAACCATAAAGTTGTGCCTCTAGATCGGGTAAATCTGAAATTCCTCTTCCGTGTTTGATAGTTGGGTGAGGACCACATGACATACGAGTGCATTCTTCAAAAGTATCTGAATATTGAGTGAAAATACGATTATTTGGGAACTGACATGGAAAATGCTAATGGTGTTATTGTGTTAGTCTAATATAGTGGTTCGCAACCGGAGGACAATGAGACCCAGGATCGCACTGAAAAGCTTTGAGGAATTCATGAGCTCCGTGTGCATAAAATAAAAACAAAACAGCATATTAAACTACTCGCCCTCGTGGTTTAAATTGCGCATGGCAACAGATCTAAGGCATGTTATAAATGTTTCCATAGGCCTTAAATTCAAATTGTCATCTGGTCGAGTTTAATGGAAAATTCACACTGTTTTTTATTCAGTATCTCATCTAGTTTCTGACAAGGCACATATTATATCATTATCCGAATTTTGTGAATTAAAGCATGGGAAAAAATAGACCAGGCTTTTATGTAACTGTCTTGTATAGCTTGCTTCATATAAGTAAATTCAATACAAAATACTTGTTGCATATAAAATGTATATCCGTCCGACTGCAATGTTATTTACCGGTATGCAAGTTACCTGTATTTTCAGGCATGCTCCAACTTGCATCAGCCAAGCATTCAACTGTAAATTCTCTGATATTAGGTTCAAATTCATAGCCAGTATCACATCTTGCAGTAAAAGTACGTTGAAATATAGTTCCAGTGTTCTCACAGAATCCATTATCTGGGCATTCTCTAAGCCCACAATCAACAGGTTGACAATCAGGTCCAGTTGACCATTCTCCATATCTCTAAAATATAGAATAAAAATATTTTACTACAGAGAATATTAAATATCAATTCATATTTGTATCCGTGAGCCTGGCGTAATTATTCATCATTTTTTTGAGCTTTATATTTTTGCTAAAAGCTGGAATGTATTTCACTTGAAATAACGCACACACAATTAACGTACTTAACAAAATTAATAAATATTAATGAAATTGTTAATGCGGGTATGAATACCACACACAGTGACTTGCACAGAGTCTTCTCGGCATTCATCCAGTTGTAAAAACCTAAAAGAGATACGCAGAACCAAAAATATATGATAAATCTATATGACCAGTTAATTTTCATAACCTTTTTGGGAGAACAATACAACTGCAAAAATATAAATAAAATTTCACAATTACCAACAAAAAAATATTGCTTGCCCATTTTTAACTAAGTTATTGTGTTGTTTATTTTCCTGGCATACTTAATAACGCATTTATTGTTGTTTTTGTTTTTTATAAATATTCCCTTTATGCTAATTGTAGAGTCGAAATAAACTTACTAAACCAATTATCAATAGAATCCGCTCAAAGAAGCGTCACATGCACTCACTAATACAAAGTAAATGAAGTAAATTCACCTCTGAAAAAACTATAAGCTACCACTAAATGGCTACAAAATTACATCTGTACAAAATTATTGCAGTTTCTTGCTTGAAAATGTCAAAATGAATTCGACCTCACCTTGCAAGTGACTGTTGTGCTGTTTTCAGCAGCTTCATGACCTTCCACACAAGTATATGTAAACAGATCACCAAAATATGTATTTTCAGTGTAAGGTGGAGTTTCCGCATTCTGCAGTATAAGTGGAGGTCCACACTGATAAGGCACGCAACCTTCATGTGGTGGTAATGGCTTCCAAACTCCAGAAGAAGTGCATTGAGACCGGAAAATTTCCGCTAATCCATAATCGTCATCACTAAATGAGTAAAGTGCAACTTGATTAGCTGGCCTAGTTATTGGTTAGAGCATTGGTTTTTAACCTTTTTGTGGAGCGGAGCTTTATTGAAATTTTCCAGAAGGTTGAAGAACCCTGTGCAATAATTTAATTGTCTGATTTGTATAAGCTATGAATCTAAGAAGAAACACAATAATGGTAAGTACATAAATCAATACAGACTCTCAGTTTGAATGTGAACTTGCGGGACCCCTCATATGTACTGTCAGAACCCCTGTTAAAAACCATTGGATTTAGAGCACTGAAACTTAAATAAAAGTCTTTGGTTTAAATCCCATGTCAATCATGTTACCCAATATGTAATGAATTTGGTTAGGAATGGAAAATATTCCATTACCTTCAAAAATAAAAAGTTTCTTACATAGTCCGAGACCAACAATCTCCAGCTCCAGTAAAGACAATTTTTTACAACAAAAGCAACATCACCACCCACAACAAAAATTCACAATCAATCAGCAGGTCTTCTACAGGTCAAAAAAAAGTTTCTTACCTCATAACATATCCATACAAGCAAGTATAAGTTGCAATATTCTGGAATGTGTATGCATCAGCGGCAACTATTGCATTATTCAAGGATCTTGGAGTTCCGCAAGAAACTGGGAAACATTGTGGAGCAGACCCAGAAAATGTACCTGGGCAAAACAATTTTGTTTAGCTTGTTTTTTTATTCATTAACAAGATAAAAGTATAGTTTCACATAGTCGTGGACAAAATTTAATACAGAAAACTTGGAATTAAATCCCGAAAAAAAAGTGTTTTTCTTATTTATTTTGAAAATATTTTTAAGCACGAAAATTTATTCAAGAAGAATTTATTCAAAATATTTTCATGTTCTTAATGGGTCAAACGAAGATGTAAGTAGTACCTTCAGCAGTGCATTCAATCTCTGTCTGAGCAAACCAACCAAAACTATATCCTTCATTACATTCATATTGAACTCTTTGAAGAAATGAAACTGAAATGTTGGGATCGCTGGAAATAAATAAAAAAAGAGTGAGCTCGCAAAAATGTTTAAGTGAAAAGAATTGCAATGATATTTATTGAGCAATGATTGTGTTTTATTTTTTCACATAATGTTATAAAAGCATCCTAAAATAGCGGCCACGAATAATTATATAATAATATTTATTTATAATGTATCTGACAAAATTCACCCGACACCATTCTCTATAGTAGGAGGAACTCCGCATACAACAGGATCACATAAAGGTAACCCGGCTTCCCATGTTGCATCAGACTGACATCTTAGAGTGACAGCGTTGCCGACTGAGTCGACTCCTCGTGAAATCAAGTTGTATCCCGGCAAACACTCATATACTACCTGGAATTATAATCATGTATCGAGAAAAGGCAACTCGTTTTATTGGAAACCAAGTAGAACATTAAAACGTTTTGAAAAATTCATATTGCTGTTGTGGCAAAAACATTGTCTTGTTTTCCTGTCAAATATGTGGGTTTATCACCAAACAAATTCAAATACAAAAACGAGAAATACCATTCATGAAAATAGAAACAAATATGACATAGAGTATGTTTCCAGCGTTTTTTCTTGTTCAACAGTAAGTACAACAGTCTAACCTTATTTTAAAAATAATTGCCCACTCCTACTTCTGCGTTGTAGTGACGAGTATTTTAGAGCTTGATTAAATACGAACATTATAGAATGATTGTTCTATGGAAATTCTATGAAATAAAAATTATAAAATATGGTCTGCATTGTTTCCAGTTGTAAACTAACAATTTAAAGTAGAGAAGTAATTAAAATGGAGCATGAGTGAGAGCTTACTGTATTTTTAAACAATGTTCCTTGAACAGTTTTAACTCCATTTTCGAGATTGTCCGGTTCGCCACATGATACTGGAGCACAAGCAAACATGTTCTCATTTGACCAAATACCTGCAGATGTGCATTGCATTCTGTCTTCTCCTGAAATCAGTTTTTTGAAGAACAAAAATTGTTAAAATAGCAAAGAAATAACTGTCGCTCATTTTATAAATTTTTTGGCAAAAATTTAGAATGAAAACTCAAATTAAATATCTTCACAATAAAGGTCACATCCCACTATAAACAACAAACTTGTATGCTTCAATGCTAGCATGAAATTTGAAAAAAAAAACGTTATTTTTAGACTAGTTTGTTTGAAATGTCAAAATTCATGTGTCGAATGTAAGTTTTGTGAATTATCCATTTGGTCTCAGAAGAATTTTGAATTTTGAAAGTTTGACCACTCAATGTGAAAAGTCGCGGTACAGCAACATTGAAATATGAGTTATATTTAATGGTTCTCAAAAATATAGATATCCATTAAAGCTGTTCGAACCAAGTAATTCATATCCATCTTCACATTTTGCTTCTAATGTCGTTGGAAATAAAGTAGAAGTTACAGTAATGTTTGAATTGACTGGTAGCGTAGGAGTTCCACAATTCTTGGGTTCACACTTAGGAAAAGATGACCAACGTTTGTTAGCCATACACATTGCCGCTGTGTTCCCTTTAGAAAAACAAAAAGTTTTTTGAGCATTTGGTATAAAAAGTACACAAAAATCCACTCACTTCTCACTTGAGAATAAAGCAATAGTTTATTAAAAACTAAGTGATAAAAAAGAGGAATGCTTAAATTCATGGACAAAAATAGTATTCCTATGAATTAAAATGAAAGAGTTAAAATTTTGTGGGAAAAAATTGAGCTCAGTAATTAAGTAATAGTCTTCCCGTGATTGCTTACATCTTTGAGCACTGATACCTCAAGATCCGTTGGTTCAGTAGTTGCAGAGAAGAGCAATTTTATTTACCACAACAACATCCCAACAAGACTAACAACAAGAACAGTATTTAATAAAACAATCCATATGTACACTTCGCATCAAATAACCGTTAGTTTTATCCATGTCTTACCAATTGTGTTATATCCATCATTACAAGAGTAATCTGCAATACTTTCATATGTAATTTCATCATAAGAAACATGCCCATGATCAATTTCTTTCGGATTTCCACAAGATACTGGGTTGCAAGATGGTGCTTCTCCAATATAAATTCCCTGAAAATTGAAAAAACGCCCAATCTTAAATATATATTATCAAATATTCAAATATTTATTATTGAAAAAAAGAGATAAGGCCAAAACTAATGGCAATTTTTCAACTACAACTGACATGGACATGTATAAATTTATTTTCGACTTCGAGTTCGTCACACATCAAGAGCTCTAAACAAGCAACCGTCGTATGTGGCTGTGTGTATTCAATCAGCTTCGTTTTGTTGTAGTTAAAGCCACACAGCAGTATCATAAAAATGCTTTTCATCTTTAAATTTCCTCCTCTTATACAATATAGGAACCCTGGCACCGATACCACTTTTTATTCATTAAAAATTCAAAAACCTACCAATGATGTTGAATCATTTCCAGTACATAAAACAACTTCAGTTTCCACTTTTTCATATCCTTCATCACATTCATAAACGACTTGATGTCCATATGTATAATTCTTAGTTTTATAAGAACCATGTTCAATCACAGGAGGGTCTGGACAACGAATAATTTCACATGTTGGAACTTGAACTTTTTCACCATAACTCGATGCATCTTCATCGTAGTAATTGAAGTCGTAAATCCATTCACCGTCTTCACTGCATTCAGCACCCGATCCTCCGTGCAGGTGATATCCTGATATAAATAAATATGCAGTCGTGAGCGTCAGAAAATAGTGACCAGGGGTGGCAAGAACAAGAAGGGGTGACAAGTTCCCAGGCCAAGAACAGCAAATTTCAGGTGAAATATTGGGGGCACCGTCGATTGTTGCTGTTATTCTGGAGAAATTTAATTTTCAAAGAAGAAAAATCCCGATAGCAGCAACAAGCTGAACAACAATTAATGTATGAGTTTTGATGGTCGAATCACTAAGTAGCTAATCGATAAATTTCTATCCTACCGTTTTAGGTCATGACTCAATACTGCATCTTAATAAATCAAAAAGGCAGCTTGTTTAGATCTTTGTTTTGAGCATTTTTGACATTGAATAACAAAACTTTACTATAACAAGATGACAGTTAGACATCATACAAAAACATACAAACTGACCTGTTTTACAGGCGAAGAGAATGTGGCTTTCAAAAGTCCAGTCATCAGGAGTTTCAGATCCAGATATCGTTCCATGTCCCAGGTGCGGTGGTTTACCACAACTTACTTTATGACATGTAGGAGGAAGTACATTCCATTCACCAGTGTGTAAGCATTCAAGAGATGAATTTCCAAGCAGATAGTATCTTAGAAAATATTGAAAAAGTAATCACAAAAGCAGCTCAGACACTTTTTTACTCACTTAGATGTAAAAGCATGGTTATTAAAATTAACTCGTTTTGTCATTTTGACTGCTATTTGGCAGTTTTTAGTTATGTGTCAAAAGTTTAGGTGTTAATAACTAAGCAGTCATTTATTCAAAAATTGCCCCAAAATGTTGCGGTAGATTGGGCTAAAAAATAATGAGTATTTGGATATGAACGTGCAAACCAGTTCGAGTGTGTCAACTGGCAATAGCACTTGCAAAATAACCATAGACAATTTTGCAATGATATAGTATAAGAAAAACTTTTTTTGATAATGGCAGTGATGGGTAGAAGTTACTAATCCATCAAATGAAGATGATTTGAGTTTATCAAGTCTCGAGTCTAAACTGAAATCGTGGTTGTCACTGAGTTTTATTAGTAGTGGTTAGATGATGATTATTCCAAGCCATCTGATTTAGTCGATTTGAGTATTTGATTGGTGATTATAGTAGAGTCAATAAGTAGAATCTCATCCATACTGGGCAATAGGCCAAGAAAATATTCATTGATCAGTTTGGATCGGAATAGCGCAATACAAAAAAGAATAGATCTTGGATAATATTGCATATCTGTCTTGAAAAGTCCCTAAAACTGTGTGAGATACACTGATAAATTGCTAACAAAGCCCATCACTGTACCTACAATGTAGTTTGTAAATAGACTCACCCAGGCAAGCAAGAATATGTAATGACGCTCATGAAGGTGCTCTTCCGTCCAGATTTTAGTCCATGCTCAACATCTGGTGGTCCATCGCAGTCTACTGGATGACATACAGGGGGTGGTCTAACAAAAATTAACAAAGTTATTTTTTTTAAATAAATTGGATTTTTGAATCTGCATCATAAATTCGTTCAATTAAGACTTTGAAGAGACAGTGAAAGAAAGACATCTCAGGTTGGAAGGCCTCTCTTGTAAATTTGGCAAGATGATGAATTTGGGGAACCAATGAAGTAAACAATATGAGGCTAAGATGGAAAGAAAACTAATTTAATCTGGTCAGAATGTTATCTAAGAAGAGAACGTATGAGTTGTCAGGATAGCAGTAAAATGCAAATTTAGCGTTATATTTACCTAAAAATGCAGTCAGGCTAATTTTCAAAACGTAATTTGGTATACGAAAGCAAAGTTAATAAAGATGCAATCTTTGTAAGGTCATAACTATACTATCAAGTTATGTAATACTGATGAGTGTTTTAAAACTTGAAGTTTAATTAGTCTTCCTTATTTTTGAATTGACAATACATTAATTGCTACTCACTCCATCCATGATCGTTCTGCTGTGCATCTTGTTGTTGTTCCACCACTGGGAATATAACCTTGGTTACAGGAATACTCGATCATATCTTGGTATCTGTATTCTGTACTTATTCCTACTGAAATCTAAAAATTGAGTCAATTTTTAATGATTCAAAGCTAAAACAACAGCCTGGGCATAAAGATGGCTTACTTACATAGAAATGGTTTATATTCAATGAGACATTTGTTACACAAAGCAATGTCAAAATAAAATATAAGCATAACGAAGGCATCTACTAAAAAAATGAATACCTACCTGTCCAAATTCTGGTCGTCTTGGTGATGGACATTTTACTCTTGTACATGCTGGCAATTTAGACCACGTAGCTGAAGACTAAATATGCGATATTTGATAAGATAAAATTTGTTTTCAAATGGCATAATTAATGAAAGGAAATTAGTAGTTCGATGTTCAATAGCAAGTATGAGAGCACTTGAACGAAAAGCAGGTAAACCAGATTACTAAATACAAAAATAAACAAAAATGATAATGAAATGAAATTATGATGTTGAAAGTTTTTGGTGTAAATTGGTATTTGAACGCCCAGAGGTTTAACAACTTACCCCTATGATTTCAGAATAAGATATTTTGTATCTCATCATTATTTGTTGGCTTTATACAAACTTTAACAAAATAGATCAAAACAATAACCTTACCATGCACAAAACAACATCTTTCCCTTTCATTTCGTATCCTATATTGCATTCATATTTTCTTCTAGATAAAAATGTTGTTCCTAATTCATCAGAAACTATTTCCGAGTTCTCAACTATCCCAATAACTCCACAGTCTACAGGTTGACAGGAAGGTGGCATGGAAGACCAGCTTGCACTTGATAAACATTCTATACTGCTTTCTCCAATCAAATCATACCCGGGTGAACAAGAGTAATTTGCTGTGTGTTTGAATACATGCCCAGTCGCTGGAAACAATAAATATTGTATATTTTCGTGATTCAAGGTATACGCTATATACATGTGGATCCAGAAATGCGAAAACATAAAAATAGAATAAGTAGTTGGTCTCACAGAAAGATTTAGAAGATTTAGTAAATATAATTTTCAGAATTGTTCGAAGTGATTTCAAACTAGTTCAACGAACCGAGTCTAGTATGATATTTTCTAGGATAAAAAATGTCCTGGGTTTTTAAAAATAGTTTGACAAAACAATATACTGCATAATCAAAAAAGCACTAAATTTTATTTTGTCACAATTCCCCAGGTAGTAAAACCTTAAGATAGAAGTTTCAATGTTTATAAATATGAAGAAAACAAGTCAACCTTTTACACTTCCATTCATAGGAGCAACAAGTTCTCCGCAATCAACAGGCAAACATGTAGGTGGTTGAGGGTGAGACCATTTGCCAGATGACATGCATTCAATTACTGGGTTTCCTTCCATGTAATAACCAAGAACACAAGAGTAGATTGCTTCTTCCCCAAGAATCGTATCTAACAAAATACAACACATAATAATTTGTTAAATATTGAATAAAAATTCTAATTTTTAGCTATTTCAAATTGTTTACTGATTGTTTGCCTGTTTGTGAAAAGTATAACTACCACTGGCCATAATTTAAATTCATGTAAAATGACTGAAATTTCAAATATTGTTTGTCCCAATTTAATTCTGGATGTCCACTAGGAATATTGCCAAAACTTATTTGTACATTCGTGATTGAATAATTGAGAGCTTCCAACAATAAAAATACAATTAAAACTGCTATAAAATAATGCTAAGAAAGATATAATTTTAACGCTTTAGACCTAATTTGAATAACAAAAATTCTTCCATTTGACTTCAACTAACCTTCAAATTCCAATTCACCATGCTTAATGAGTGGAAGCCTCCCACAATCCACAGGTTCACAGATAGGTGGTGTGCCATCCCATCCAGCTGAAAATATAACTTCATTTAGACAAACGTAACAATATCCAGCAAACGCAGAAACCAATTTTCAATGCTTCTATAATTTGTGCCATTATATTTAATACCAAAAAATGTATAATAAGAATGAGGGTATAAAAGATTGAGGAAAGTTTACAGTTCGAAAATAATTTTTTCGAATTATTATTAGAAAAAAGATAAAAAATGCATCATGCGTCTTATTTCAAGTTATAGATTGCGTCTTTATGCAAGATAATAAGGAAATTAATTTTTAGTTTCAATATTGTGATGAGAAGAAACTCTACAATCGATTTTACAAAATTTGATATTATGATAATTATTTATAATTCAAGTGACATAATTTAACTTCACTTAAGTCGAACTAACTTCCTCGTGGTTTCTTTCCTGATAATATTATTGTTTCAAGTCACGCTTCAATCAGTTTTTACTAATGGCTAATGCTAGTATAGTAAGTATAGTAGATACTTCTATATAATTTATGTGTCCCTCAGTACTTCCGTGGTCGCTTGCAATTTGCTTGGAGATCAGTATCCATGAGTGAATGTGCATGACCTTGCTTTGCGCAACTTTTCTTTTAAAAATATGATGTCAGTCTGAGTATTACTAAGAACATTCATTTTTATGTTAGCCACAAATATCCTTATAAAATACACTAGCTGAGCAAGAATTGTAAACTTGTCAAATTACCTGTTGCTTGGCATCTTAGTGTTTGTGTTCCAACAAGATCATATCCGACATCGCATCCATACTCAACAATCTCTTGATATGTGTAGACAGTTCCATTGTAATATCCATGCTTCGGTGTTCCTGGTTCACCACAAGACACTGGCAGACAACTAGGAGACAACAGTTTTGACCAACCACCTGAATCAATAGAAATTATTAATTATACAACAAAAATTATATGAAAGATAAAAATTTTCCTCAATCACAACATGTACTGCAATAATTGGAGAACTGAAATATTGTGGGTCGTATGCAATAAATTATTCTGTATATTTTGGAAGTTTTTTGACGGGGTTTGCGAAAAATATATTCTAAACTAGATTTCTCAAGTTGGGCTCTCATAAGGAGCCACGAAGGAGGTGAAGCGCAAAGGTTTTATAGGGTACCATTTACGATGACTAAGTTACTTTACTGTGATTTATCTAAGTCTTTGACAGTAAAGCAAATATGCTTTTAATTTAAGTTGCTGGATTTTCATTATTAAACGTGGCACATAAAATAAATGATGGAAAAATGTTACAAGCAAGACTAGATATTTTTATAGAAAATTAGAGAGCAACAAATGTTGATAGTCATTAGAAGGGGCAAAACAAATCATGTAAGCTTGAAAACCAATAATTTAATTTTTTAGCAACTTACCATGTGCTAGGCATGTTGCAGTTGTATCCCAGTCTAATGTGTAATAACCATTCTTGCAGCGATAATGAACAGTGTGATTGAAAGTTGTTTCAGTTCCAAACATCAATCCATTCTTATGTGGGGAAGGAGGTGGACCACAATCTTTTGCTGTGCATACAGGAGGCCATCCTAGTAGACAAAATACAAAATCAAGTCAGACAACTTTATTGTAAAATCAAATGTAGTCGATCACAGCAATAAATTTAAACTTTTATTAATATTTATACCACTGGGGTTTGTGACTAGGTTCCAAGCAAATTTGCATTAAAAGAACAATAACTGAGCGATTTGTCGTACGATTTTTAGAATATAATAAAACCTATTATGACCACAATCACAAAACAAAATCTGGACTACAATTAATATTTTAGTTGTCAGACTTGGATAATATATGATCATATGCATGCACATATATAGAATCAATGACACAACGTATTACTGATAGAGATTTAATGAGCTGTTATAGAAAATTTGAAGACTTGCATCCATAAAATCTAGTGCTTGTTATTTTTGCCGACCACCAATGTGGTGATTGTAATTGGGTTATAATATTATGTGACATCCCATCGCAATTTTAGTTTGGTCGATATTTTTTACATTGAATAAAACTTCTGCATTAAATATGTTTTACTTGGCCTTAACCCAAGGGTGTGGGGTTGGAGTCGAAGCCATATTCGGACTATGAAGAGTCAAGAGAGGGTGAAATCAAACATTCTAAACCAGAATTCAAAATTTTAACTTAAAAAAATGATGATTTCTAATTTAAATGATTTTATGGTATAAATTTATGTAATTCTGAATCGATTGGAGACATAAATTTTGTAAGCGAATGCCGAGATTTGGCCTATTGGGTTGAATTGGAGTCTGGTATCTAGTATTTGCCTATCTCGAACTGTAATAACTGGTTGTAAAATCAGATGCACACTCACAAACCTAAATCCCACTTGTGCAATATTTATCATTATTGAACTATTAATATTCATACTTGACCAATATCCATCAATCACATCAGTTACATAATCAATGTGTCCATCGCAAGTTGGAATGTTTGGAATATTTTCTCCAGTGAGACAAACTGCAGACAAATCGTTTTTATCATGGGTCTCATATCCTTCTTTGCATGAATATGTTACAACATCATCATAAATATAATTGCCACTGAAACAAAAAGAGGATTGTAAATTAAGAAGATCTTACATGTAGCTTTTTTAATAATTTTCCATAGTCACATGAGTAGGTATTTAGACACATTGACAAATACTTGTATTTTAATTAAAAGCCTGTGCTCAAATCCTATCATGATATGATATTGACACATGTCTGCCATATCACAGTGTAAAAGTAAAAAGCCTTGGTCTTACAGTAGATTGGTGCCTATGGATGGATAACAGCAGAGGGTTTCTGATGCATATTCACCATAGCACACTAAATTGTAATAAACAAAATCTGAGACAAAGATGACATTGTGAACAACAAGATTCAAAAACAATGTAAGCTAGAAAATATGGTATCTCACAATTTCCTACTTGTACCACCTTTCAACATCCTATCAATTCCAGTTTATATGCTCACTTTAGCATTTGTGCGACATTTTATATCCACCCTAACTTAGACCTTACCAATAATCATAAATTTTTATATCCACACAAATCCAAAACAAGTGGAACATATGATACCATTGGTACAAATGTGGTACATGCTTTGGTACACACCTGGTACAAGTGGAATGAGTGGTACAAGTATGGGAAATGGGGTACAAGTGGCATACGTCATTTACGACATGCATATTTTCCGATAATAAAGCATTTTTTACACCGTCTGGCTTACCTTGATCTATCAGAGAACAGAGTTGACAAAACCGAATCGGCAAAGACTACATGTGAAGTAACTGGAGGTTTAGGACACAACATGAAATTACAAGTTGGAAGATTTTTCTGCCAATGTCCTGCAGCAGTACATCGAAGCTTTGGATATCCGTTCAAGTAGAAACCATGTTTGCACCTTAAAAATTAGATGGCGATCATGAGGTTACTTCGGTGAATGTTCTAGCACAATATTTCATTAAAGGAGAGCAGACATCGCGCAAAGAAAGAGAAAAGAGTCATCAATAAAAGTAACAGATATAGATATATATGAAATTTCATTATGCCGGTTCAAGTCACAAGGCACTTCGGTGGATGTTCTAGCACAATATTTCATTAAAGGAGAGCAGACATCCCGCAAATAAAGAGAAAAGAGTCATCAATAAAAGTAACAGATATAGAAAATATTAGGATGAAAATATTAGATGCGGAGTTCAGAAAGTAGAGAGATAAACTTACTATAATCTTTGTGGTCTTGCTTTGTTTTAGTGTATCAAATCACAATTATATTACAGTCTATTAGGACTCTACAATAGAAATCATTCAAATGGCGTATTTCTTATGCGTTAATTTCATCTTGAGTATCATTATTAGCAAATAGTCTCATACGTGTAAATGGCACATCCTTTAAAAACTTCTGAAGTAGTAAACACATTTGAGTTTTCGACTTCAGGAGGTTCACCACATGGCACTGGATCACAAACTGCAAACGGGGCCGACCAAGTTCTATCCGATTGACATGTCAAGTTTCTTGTACCGTTCAAGTTATAACCTCTGTCACATCTGAAATTAAAAGTATATCGTGTTTGTTTTGTTTAAGAAAATATTATTGTTCAATTTTGACGGATTTAAAGGTAAGTTATGATAGACTGAGCTAGTCGTTAAAAAAATCTTACTGCACATATTGACTAAGAGAATTATTTTGACTTCTACTCTGGCTCTTGACTCTTACCATAACTTTCTCTGAAGTTTTTACGACTGACTACTCGGGAAGTGAAAATTTTGAAACCTACATTAAATCTGGCAACATTGCCAGAAAAAATCACTAAACTCTGACTACAGTTTCTCAACAAAACCTATCTCTGTCGGAATCCTATGTTTGAGATTGCAAGGTTGCCCGGGCTCCATATCCCCAGATAGAGGAGATTTAGGCTACAATATAGCATTCTTAAAAAATCAGAAAACTGCGAAACAGTTGTCAAAAAAAACGTTTATATCAAAATTTTGTTCACAAAGACGCTTGCATCTCATTGAATATGCAAACATGTATAAAAATTTAGTTTGATTTTACGTTTCCAAGTTCAGTACTCAATGTTCATCATGCTCATCATTTGCAAGCTTATTATTCAAGACAGAAATGACGATAATGAAATTTTTAAACATAGAAATTGTTTAATCAACCATCGAGCCCGGACACTGCTCCATGTTTTTTTTTTTTGAGGTCTGGACACAAAATAGTTGAATTCAAACGGATTCGAGGTGTTGAACAGAAGCTTACTCAAATGTAAGGTTTAAATGAAACATAGAATTCTTGAACAAAAACATACTTGAACGAAATGACAGACTGATAAATCCAAGTCTTTCCTTTCACTCTCCCGTTTATCGGAGCAACTGGTTCAGGACATTTGACAGGAGAGCAAGTAGGTGGATCATTACTCCATGATTGTGATGATTCGCATGTTATCTCAGCTAAACCAGTCATTTCGAAGCTAGAACGAACAAAATATAAATAATTCTTTATTTTAAAAACCCGATATAATATTGCATAGAAAATATCAAAGCCCGGACGAGCGCACTTGCACAAAAGAATAGAGGAAGGATAAGTAGTTGACCCCAAAGAAAATCAATTCCCTGTAACAAAATTTAAATGGATTTGAAACAACTTAACAAAGTAAGAAATCTGTTAAAGATCAATATCTCACCCTTCATCACAAGTATACAATGCCACATCTTTAAAAACAAAGCTTTCCCCATTAGGTTCAGAATAGGAGCCATGATCAATTTCAATTGGGAGTGGACAAGGAAGAGGCAAACATTCAGGAAGAGATGTCAAGTAAACATTCCAAAGGTCATCACTCCAATCACATCGAACTGATCGAATGTCATCAATAGAATCGGAATCGGAAAATTTATAACCTTCGTTGCATTTGTATTGTACCTCAGTGTTGTATGCAGGCCGCTCAGTTTCTTGTGTGTCTGGTAAAATTAAATAAAGTCAGTTTGTACATTATGGGATGAAAAGGTAACTCACAACTAACTGACTAAAATAAAAATAACACATAGTCCTATTGAATATTATATGCTCCTATAGCGCAAGAGTATATATCTTGAATACAACACAAGATTACATTCTTTGAATAGAGTATATATATAAAATGGTACATGGAGCCATGGCAGTTAGATAATTTTCAAGTATTTTTTTTTGCTTAACTGTTAATTTTACTCTAATTGCTCAAGGAAAATTCAAAAATAAAAATATTGAATAACATTAATAACTAACTAACTGTTTCCTGTTGCAAAGAACGTATGACATGTGTAGCTACTCTTAAAATTTGTTTCCTATTTGGAAGTTAATATCCATCTAAAGATGAATTCATTGAGATGCCGATTAGGGGCAGATACGCATACCTACTCCTCTACAGCTAGGGACTAGTTATCAGTTTGACACGGTGTTCAGAAACCATTTCATATATAAGCAACTTACCAATAACAAAGTGTCCATTCTCCAACTCCAGTGGCAATGAACAAAGCATAGGTTTGCATTTAGGTGCTGATTTCAACCAACCAACTGTTTCAGAACATTGCTGAATAAATAACGTTGTTGGCACAGATTGTACAACAAGATCAGATCCAGCTGATTTCAAAGCCATTGGTTGTGGAGATTCATCTAACAATTTTGCCAAGATTTTCTTCACTCTTGCTTGATTAAGATTATTTAGATTTCCTGTAATCAGTGAAGAAGAATAAGATTAGTTTGTGTAAGAATTTCAGTTTTTGTATAGTTTTCTGCAAAGTATTTTGTATTGGCTGGAAGTTTTCTAATAACTCTTGCGAAGCACATAGTTTATATAGGTTAGGATTTACATATTTATCCCGGGGAGAGAAAATCCGATAAGACAACTAAATCCCTATTGCAAACCACGGTCTTTCATCCAGTTACCACTCCATGTCGGGTATGGGATTAGTTAGCCAGTTATTTGTTTTCGGAAGCATGGACTTGGTTGTGGATGAAGCTGTAACCAACCAGCGGTCAGAGCCACCCTATATGAAATAACCATAACCAGTAGTTTAATTCTAAGCTTTCATTCTCTACGTTCCATCAAGTTTAAGGCTTTCGAAATTGCATATTTATTATTGAAACTTATATTATTAAAATTACAATCATTTAACAATATATTTGTGTATCTCCCAACTCAGTATGTGATTTAATTAATCATTTCAAAACTCTTCTGCCGTTCGTCATATTCTTCTTGAATATATATATTTCAGGACTTTAAGAATATAATAATATGATTGTATTTAATGCTAATATCTAATCACTATAATACAGAAAAAGTCTTATACCGATTGATTCTTCAGTTATTCCTCGAGCCAATTCTTTATCACTAATTGAGCGTGCTGATTTCAAGTAAGCAACTGCTTCTTGTATCTAGAATAAAAAGGAAAAATTTGACAACATATTAATAATTTTATTGACTATGAATAATAGGCCCAGTTTCTCGAATGAATTTAATATATAATTCTTGTGCTATTTAAATGCACATGATCATAGTGGATATAACCATGATCACATTGAGATATTTATCTGAAAATAATTGTTAGGCATTGTGGAAATAAACATATAAAACACTGTTATTCGGGATTCAACGTTCACACGTACAATGTAATCTCTAACTATTATAGTTTCAATGTTCTCATTGATTGGAAAAAAAACTCTCTAGACAATTCATATTTGATAAAATAAACGTCATATAACAAAATAGAGTTTATCACCTCAAATCCTTTCTCACAAGCCGTAATTGCTGCTGATCTTGGTTGATATTTTCCTGTTTTGTAAATTTCTGGATGAGCTACGTCATCAATTGATGACGAAACAAACTGAATTGCATTAGATACCAAATCTAGAAATAACAAACAAGTTTAAACATTATATCAAGAACGATGAAAAAGAACTTCAATTATAAAAAAAAAGAAATAAACAAGCGATTGCTTAACATCACATCAGCGTTCAACTATGTAATATATTGACAAATACTTGCAAGCAGAATTAATATTATAATTTGAAAACCCGACACTAAGTTAAAATAATGACTAAGATCTGACTGGAGAAAGCATAAATATAGTTAGAAAATGCAGCTGCAAAAGAAAGATAGAAATAGAGACCAAACTTATACGAAATTTAGTGGCACAATAAATCGAATCATGCTAACAATTAAACTGGGCACGTGTTTCGATATGACAATAGTAAAAAAAAAATTGTCATATAAAATCAATTCATTCCTCGAAATATATAGAAACATGTATATTATTTTAATACAATGACAATTGATTCATAAATGAAACTATTAAAATGTTCTGATTCGTTTGCCTACAATTACATGCACAACATTTAAATTTGTAACAACACCACTATTGTGTTTCAAGCCTTGTTGAAATTTACTTCAACTTAGTTAAATGTAATACAATCCTACATTTAAAAAACTTGTAACAAATGGTATACCGGGTTCAATACAGATTATTGGTTCACATATCGTCGGATCATCATTTTCCCAGATTCCAAATTGATTGCAAACGCTGGTTGGATTCCCTTCCATTCTGAAGTCATTTTCACAAATGTATGTTGCAGAACTTTGATAAACGTTTTCTCCGTAGACATCATTCACTGTTAAAGTGGAATATAGAACAGCAGGAGGTGTTCCACATGATACAGGTTGGCATGATGGCAGTTGTGAAAACACTGCTTCCGATGTACACTAAAAATGAGTAAAGTGTATACATCACATAAAGACAAAGTTAAGAAGCAACTGTTATCTTGATCACATTGGCCTAAACTGCTACAAGTCTTGCGCCAGTAAGTATTTCTACTTTGTAATGCACTATCATAACTCGGAAAGATGACATCAGCTTTTGGTAGTTGCGCCCATAAATTAGTTTAGAGGTGAGTCTCATACACTTCTGAAAGTACGCGTAAACTAGCTCTGAGCAAATTTTTATAAAATAGAAGAGAAGTACGACATGTAGAGTTAACTTCGCTGTCAAGACCGTCAACTACTGAACAATTTTAATTTAATTTTTGGCAGTTTTATAAAATATCTTTGTGTGAACCCTTAAATTCAAATTTATTTGAAACAAGCTATAAGATTCATTATTTTTTTTTTCTCCGCGTTCCTAAAAAACTAATGCACAGAGACAATAAATAGGCTATTCATATCGATTACGCCAGGCAAAATAGATTCATTAGAGTAATGATCACTACAATATTGCTCACCTGAACAATGCTTTTTCCAACCATAAAGAACCCAACATCACAAACATATTCAATCTCATCAAGATAATACAAGGTTGCGGCATCGGTGTTCACATCATACAAATTGTAAGTTGCTGTTGAAAACTCTAGTTCAGGAAACGAACCACACCCCACACGACTACAAATTGGGGCAACACCTGTTAAATAAAAACATGAAAATATTTATCGATTTATCACATGATCAGACCTTATAATTTACACAATTCTATTAAAGTGATTTAAGTGTCTTGTTGTACACTAGAACAATCATATTTGAACAAACTTTCTTAGACATACGCCAAGTTATGTGTGTCTCGAGAAGTCTGACTTTGGTCAGAAAAACGATACAGAAATATACAGGTGGAAGTGTGTAGCAAAACTATTGAATCACTTATAGTAGCCTTCTCTCTTGATACAGCATTCTTGCGTTTTACGCTTGCGGCTTTCAAAAAAAATGCATAAAAGACGGATAGGCACAAAAAACAAGTGATGTCATACAATACAACTACCCCAGAAAATATTCAGTTTGATTGGGCTCATTTAGTTGAAACAAGAATGCAGAGACTATTGCTTTGTGCTTATCAATATAAATATCATACCCAAAACTTCATCCTACTTATATGTGACTCCATTCAACAAATAGCACAATTTGAACCAACCAAAACACGACTAAAATATCAGAGCCAAAAACTAACCTGTCCACATAGTTGTGGTTGAGCAATCTCTAATGGAATCACCAGACGAGAGTTGATATCCACTATCACATGTATATTGTATACTGCTACCATAAACCGCACCTTCGCCATACACACCATCAGCGATACTGTATCGAACAAAATTTAAAATAGAATTGATTTTCAGAATTTCTGGAAGAATTTTTCATAGTAAATCAGTTGATTTACGAATTTGATAATCTCAGTCTCAAGTTTCAAACGATATCAACCCTTTTTGGCGCCAGCCTTCTATCTCCAAATGTGACATGTTATAAATAAGGCGGATTGTGTGGAAAAAAACAGATATCTCAAAATCGTACAGTTGTCCCTTCTTTAACAGACTTCTACCAATTTGCCACACTTGACCCACATTTATCCTACTTCTCCCGTTGTTCTGAATTAAGATATATATATATATGTATATATGTACTGTTGAAGAAATGGCATAAGTAAGCATATAAGTAAGCACAACTGGGAAAAGAGTGAGTGAGACAAGTGTGCCACGAGTGTGGGACTAAGTGTGTGAAAAATTTATTCATAATGAAATATGGAACGATCTTGTTCAGCATAATATTTTAAATATTGACAAAAACTTACACAAAGGTAGAATTTACGACATCATCTGGCAAGGGACAAGCAACAGGCAGACAGACAGGGGGAGAATATGACCAAGTACCATGCTCTGTACATCTTGATTCCAATACGCCTTCAGGATAAAATCCGGCGTCGCATGAGTACATGATAGTGTTGTTGTATTCGTAGGTGAAGGCAAAGAAGGGCTGGAATAAATTGTAACAATATTGATATGAACAAAAAGCTAAGTGAAGTGAATTATTGAAAATTGGTTAATATGGTCATGGGTTTCACTATATTTGTGTCACTTTAAAAAACTGTCTTTAAACAAATTTACATTTTTAGTAAGAAACTTCTATTTATATTATTTTTTTTAGACACACTGTTTTATGAGATGTTATCAATACATATAGCATGTATATTGAAAATTTAGGTGAGTGCAAAAGTGAAAAGAGTGAAAAATCTTACAAACAAAACGCACAAGGATTTAGCATATTAATTTGGGAAGATTAAATAAGTTTATTTCCTATTTAGCAATTACTATATTATCAAGCTACTAAACATGTTGTCATCTACCATTCCTCACTTGATTAAACCATGATTTCGGCGTATGTCACTTTCCCTGAACATGCTAAGTTATTCAAATTTCCAAGGTGTTTATAAATAAACATTAGTATATATATGAAAATAAATTCAGATTCCCAACGTACATCAAGTCTTGAAGTGCTTCCATGTTCTGGAGAGTGTGGAACTGAGCAAGTTACCAAATGACATTGAAAGTTTTGTTCTGGCACCCAACTTCCTTCAGTGTTGCAACTGATTGTGTCAATCCCTGTTGGACGATATCCGAGGTCGCATTCAAAACTATAATATTTAATTTATCACTGGTTTGCATTTGAATTTGGATATAGGATTTATATATTTATCCCGGGTAGAGGAAAGCCGATAATACGACTTAATTATATGGCGAACCACAGCCTCTCGTCCGGTTACCATTTCATGTCGGGATATGGGATTAGTTAGTTATTTGTTTTTGGAAGCATGGACTTGATGGTGGAGGAAGCCGTAACCGACCAACGGTTACGTGAACCACCCCACGGCGGCGAGGAGTCCAGCAATCATATCGCACATAACTATCTCTGCACGAATTAGCACAAACCATAATTACCGTTGTGACAACAATAATTATTATATTCAGTTTTGCCTGAGCAAAGTTTCAAAGGGTTACAAAGTTACAAAAGTAAGGATGCAAGAGCCGGGTACACTAGTGCTTTGAAGATGATGCGGAAATTTTATGAATTTATGTTAGTCTACGGTTGCTTTTTTATGAGCCAACTTTCTGAACAAATTATGGCATTATGTTATAATAATATCAATACGCAAATTAAAATTGAAATAAATGATTTGTGTGCACATAAATAAATGAATTATATATGAATGATTATATGAAATTAAAAATATCAAACTTACATCACAACTGCCTTATACACATAACCATCAGCACCAGATAGTGACATTTGAGAATGAGAAACAATGTCGGGTTCTCCACAACTTCTTGGATTGCATGTTGGATTGACTGTTTGATATAAAATGTAAAATTGAGATTGTAATTGGGAGTTGATTAGTGAGCTGGACAAAATACTACAGACTTGTAATATCGGTATATTATAATAAGCGACATCTTATCTACACAGCAAAAAGGTAACAGATACTACTTGTCAACATATATTTAGTAAACATGTATGCCAAGGCTGCCCGACCCGCGGCCCACCAAACTGTTTTTTGCGGCCCGCCCTATAAAGTTTGTAAGCAGACTTTTTATGTTTTTACTATGGTATATATGAAATATATAGGCTAAATTATGTTTCGTGATTCTGGTGTAAATATTTCTGCCATCTATCTACATTCAAATGCCGGTTCTTGTTATTACGTATGTGTCAAGGCTTGCACCCTAGTGGACATCGACGTTAATTTTCTTTTTATTTCTTACAAAACTGAGCGTTCTGTTCGACGAACTCGAAAGATATTGTGCGATCATTGAAACGCTGAGTGCAATTATAAAAATGAATTTGGAGTCTAACTTTGCAAATTAATTTCATTTTGACTGTTTTCTTACATGTCTGCTTTGATCGTATTTATCGACAACGTAAAATTGAAAGTCAACAATATCTTTGGTACTGTCGTTGTCCCTTTATTTATTTTTTTTTTTTTTAATTTTTGGGTTAAATAAGATTTCGGAAATGTCGTCACTGCGTATCCGTCAATATTTTTGATGAAATTGACTTAATGGCATTGCTGCATATTGGTCACAAATCAGTATATATGGACTGTTCGTGCAGAAATCTTTGTAATGTTACTTCATTAAATACTTGTATAGGTGTTTCAAATTTTACGAAACGACCCACTTAAAATTGATACTCCCGCGACATTGTCGCACATTATTATCATCTAAACATTGAGTCAGTATCATAGCTACTGAAAAATGAATGAATAAAAACACTATAACGCAAATATAACAATCAATTTCAACGTGATGTGTATGTTCTCGTGTGGTCGTCAAAAACGCAAGTGTCATGTCCACGCCCCGTGTTACTAGATATTCGAATAGTAAACTGCTATCCTAATATTCGACTTGATATTCGAATAATTTCCCAGCCTTACTCAGTAACCAGAGAGCAATTAATAAATTGATTGATTTTATGTAAACTTGCCCGCAACGAAATTTGTCACGTGAAAGTGGCCCGCGAGACGAAAAAGGTTGGGCAGGTCTGATGTATGCATACCGTATCCTTTCAAATCGTACCCTATACTACGGAACAGTTAGTTGATTTGTCGAACGCTTGATATAAATGTTAAAACGCTCTAAAATAACCTTGCCTAAGCTGAGTTTCCTAAGTTTTAAACAACTCTAAGTACTCAAACATAGATGTAACCTTGATTTTCGTCTGTCCATTTTCCAGATGCAAGGCAAGTGAGAGCGGCAACTCCATCCATAACGTATCCCTGTCTACATATGTAATTGGCAAGATCATTGTATAACACATCGTTATCTAAAAACAAGATTTCCTTTACATGAAACTTCAAAAAATATATTTTTTGTAAATTGTATAATCGAGCGTAGGAAAGGAATTTAAGAAATGTAACAAAATCATATACTCAACATATAAAAAGACAAATTGAGAATATTACCAAGAGAAAGGCATCTCTTTATTACGGAATATTAGAACAGAAATATTGGGATATTGCAACAAATAGTAAATAAAAGATACATCATTATAGCATTAAGACAGAATGTAATAAAGTAACTATGCTAAGTCGGAGCGTCAAAATGATGATTAAAAATGACCACAAAAACAATAGCTGCTCGCTCGTAAGTACTTGCGAGTACAGAGTCTTGTTTAGAGGAAAGATAAAAGACAGCTGAAGAAAACTACAAACTAACACACATTTATGCCTGAAGTAAAATCAGTTTTATGCTTGGCATTGTGGCCCCTCCCCCTTCAAATGCTCTGTGACTTCCTTGGGAGGCCACAGGACCCCAGTTTAGAACAACTGTTATAAAGCAATGTCCAGCATAGACTTACATTCTCGATCAGCATTTTTAACCACTGGTGGAGGACCACATGATACAATGTCACATCTTGGTGTTCTTCTGTCCCAGGCTCCATCTTCTATGCAGTTAAGAATCGATTCACCAGCAATGTTGTATCCAGTACTACATGAGTATTGAACTTGTGTTGCGTATGTATATGTTGCACCGGTTACTGTGTAAATCGAATAATATTAGAACAATGTAAGTTGCTGCAGGTTAATTTCTTTTGCCACAAATTTTATCTATAAAAATCAAAGACTAACAAGTGTTAAGAATAAAACAGATAGAATGTTAAATTAATTTGAAAATTAGGATATTATTGTGTTTAATAGCGTAAAACTAAACTTTACTTGGGATGGGAGCAATGGCTTAGTGATTAAAGCATTAACCATGTTGGCATCCCGCATGAAAAATATCTGGATCCAATCGTGTAAAAGAGCCTGCAATCTACCAAACATAAACAGACAAAAAGATGATCAGAGAAGCACGTTAGATGCGATTATATTGTTTCGTGAGAACGAAGGTTTGATAAAAAAAATCTAATCACAATAAAGAATGAAAAAAGGAGCAAATTGATAAGCAGGAGTGTAGTACCACTAACATAACTAATCAATATTAAAAATGGTGCGAGCTATCATTCGAAAAGTTTTTTAAATCTCTGTTGCATACAGTCAAATCGACTTGTACATATAAAATAAAATATTCAACCAACCTGTAGATTCTCCAACTTGCAATATTTCATATTCTCCATTTATAATGGGCGGTGGTTTGCCGCAAGTTGGATGTTCACAGACAGGATGTTTCCCAGTTTCAGCTTCCCAAATTTTACTCGCATTGCAAGTGAGTTCCGAGTCGCCCAGTTGTCTGTATAATTTGAAACATATGACAAATTTTGAAATGAATGTATGATTGGTTGGTAGAAAATTTTTATGAACATTTGAGATTCGAAGATTAATTCTACATTATATCCATTTGATAAAAAAATAATGATAGTGGACATAAGTACAAATATGAGAGTTTTTAGGTAAAACTCAACTTTCACAATATCTTAACATTTTTATTACCAGTGATATATGAACTTACATGTAGTCTTGTTCACAAACATAGTGAACGATATCCTGATATTTGATTCCGCCATCTTTAATTGTGATTGCATTCGCTACTATTGGTGGATCGGAGCATGACACTCTCTCGCAAGATGGGAGAACGCCTGTCCATTGAGAGTCGGGACCACATTCTGTAACATAATTTGTGTTTTAGTATTGCTAAGAATAGCGATAGACGTTTATTTAGAATCTTTACTGCCAGTGTACCACTTACCACACAAAAATGGAGAACTTTAGTTAGGTATGTAAATTTCACCATCTCATAGTTTTTTTGATGGTCGCAGCAACCTGAACTGCTTCAAGTCCAGCGCAATCGGTATTCACTATGCTAACGCGTAATTATCCGTTATAATTGTTTATAGCACGGGTGTGCAACATATTTCGTCGGTGAGCCACATAACCAACTTCAGATATCTAACTGGACCACACAAATAATCTAGCTGTACCATGTACTTAACGAATTACAGTAATAAAACCACCGGGCAAAAGGCGAAAGATTAAACGCTGCAACAAGAGCAAAAAACGTACGCATTTTTACCCATGTGAGCGCCTTTTTAAGCATAAATTGTCGGATTAGAATTTTATGCTTCTTAATGGAAAAAAATCTGAGCGTTGACAACGGCCGCACTAAATGACTTGGCGGGCCGCGTTCTGACCCGCGGGGCGCCTGTTGCACAACCCTGGTTTATAGTATCAAGAAGTTTTTGGCACTTCAATAGTTGCTCGTAACTTCGCTCAGGAGTCATTTTAGTTTGCTTTTGAGTAAGTGCGCGTGCAAAAGAAGCGATAATTGCACAGAAGTATGCACTGTGCCCGCAGCCTTGTTTGGAGTGTGGTGTACAAACATTATATTGTCATAAGTCATATATTAGAACACATCTGATGTTCAAATTAACGTGAGGCATAACAACAACATGTGAAGATATTATGTATAGACATAGTCAAACCTCTTGTTGCATTTCCGATCATATAATGTCCAGGATGACATCTATAAGTGATTTGACTTTTATAACTTCTTGTTACGTTCTCTGGTCTTTTACTTGCATGTCTGACGTCATCTGGTTCCGCGCATTCAACTTTGACGCAAACTGGCATCTCGCCTGACCAGGTATCTGATTATAGAAATATCATAAATTTGTCATGATTTTGGAATAATAGTTTAACATTTACTATTTTGAACCTAAGACATCACTATAGAATATTTATTTATATTTAGCGTAGAAGGTAAGAACAACGAAATATGCCGGTTAGTTTACAGTAAAAAGCTAGTAATTTTACTCGAAGACTCAGAAATACGTACAATTACCATTCAAAATCATTTATTAGTAATATAGTTCCAACATTACAGCATCGATATTTGACTAACAAAAGACTGAAATATACATGTTATTTCATAGAACAATATATCAGTTATTACTCTAAAGTCTCAGAAAAACCTACAATTATTGTTGAAATTTGTTTAACTGTGTCAATATCACACCACAAACTTAATTTTACCATTAATTTGTCAAATTCCTAATATAATTTGCAGTGTACCAAGCGTGTGATCGGTGGAACACTACTTTGGGATCACATGATGCAATTAAATTGAATAGAAAATTCAGTAATATTCATTACAAATTTTCGAATTTTTGGCTAGATAAGATTCCTAGGATGGAAAAAAGAAGATAATCGTACAAAGTATGTCACATAACATCGGAAAGTCGAGTATATAAATACAATATAACAACGGTTTGATTTAACACTTTTTTGCTAAAAATCAATACAAATTACCGTCTTCGAGACAAGTTCTTTCGTCTGTTCCCTCCAATCTATAGCCATAGTCACAAGAATATCGAACAATTCCGCCGAGTTTGAAATTATTTCCCTGTATAGAACCGAACTGTAGACTCCCTGCACCACCACAATTTATTTCTCGGCATGAGTGGCCGTCACCTAAAAGGAATTGAGTCAAAAAAATCGAATCGTTTAAAAATATAAATGCCAACTTATAATATCAAAAATATTGAATTTTACAACTTTTAAAAAACATAATAATATTGTATTATAACAACTAATCCTATTTTAGATAAAAAAAAATTGTAAAAGGATTACATATTTAAAATAATAGTAAATCATTATTTTAACAAAAAAGAGAGTAATGTACAATAAAAGACACACGAGTCAAATGATTGAGGAAATGCCAGCAGAATCTCAGCCGAATGGTATAGCTAGCTGTCTTATGGAGGTGCGTACATAATATCATATAAAAATGTTACCGTGAATAAAATAAAGCAACAACGTTTTGGATAATTACCGACTAACCTAAAGAAATTAAAGTAATGAACAAAAGTTATAGTCTTTCAGTGACTTCCGCCATCTTCAAGAACTGAAACCGTGTAATCAACTAGTTCATTTGCTATAACAAGAGCGATTTTTATCACAACAATAAAAATAAGTGTCTAAATTCGACAAAACTTGCCTTTCCATCCGTACACACAAGCACACGAATAGCTTCCAATTGAGTTGGTACAACTTGCTTTCCTATGACAGGAATCTTCATAATCGCATTCATCGATATCTCCACATGATGGAATCCTACCAGACCATCTCTGCATTTATAGAAGATTACTCAATAATTGGTATGTGGGTATATAGTTATATTTATCTGGCCAATGAAAGAGTATAAACGTTCGGTCAGTTTGAAATTGGAATAAAAATTATAAATCATAATACAAGTTGTATTGTCCTATTGATATTCGCTCAAATCGAGGTTACACTGAACGGAGTGCACGAATTAATTCGAGGCAGGGAAGCGAATTATAACAATAGAATGTCTCGAAAACAATCATGAAGGTATAAAAGTTGGGAGTATACGTCTACCGTTAAATGGATTAATGCCTATGGTAAATCTTATATAGCAGTGGTTCTCGAACGACGGGCGCGCCTCACAAAAGGGACGTAGACAATTTTTTGAGGGGGCGTGCAGCTAACTAAAAATAAAATAATGTGATAGGATTTATCTTGTCGGCCTTATTTTGAATATTTACATTTCAAAATTTTTATTTATTCCATTATTTACGTTCCATCCACGTATTTTCAACTTTTTTTTTGAATGAAACATACTATCGCCTTACTATATGTTATTTGTAGCTTATTGTTAGCTAGTTATTTTTGAGGTAGCGCACGAGACTTGACAAATTCTAAAAAGGGGGCGCGACCTAAAAAGTTTGAGAACTACTGGTATATAGCATTTCAGTTACGAGTTGGAACAATGTATAGTGATTCTAAGTAGCAGAACGCTTCACAATAATAAACAGTACGGCGTTACGGTGAACGAAAATGAAGAATAAATCTGTTCATTCATAATCAGATATATTCATCATAGTCATAGTAACACGTAAGTTGGCCACGATGACAACAAAGAATATAAAACTTGCTGGCAGGTCTACCACCATCATAAAAGCCAATAAGGTATTTGTAATTATACAACATTTAATGACCTTATACCAGAGTTTCCAAAATGTTTGGGCCGCGGACTACTATTTGTGAATCTTAGTTTCGACGGACCTCCGTCCTATGTCGTATCGATTCTTAGAGCAATTTGTGACAAGCTAACTTGACCTGTAGTTTGTTATCCTATTGGTAGGAACTGGAAATGCTGCTTCACACATGCAATCACTTATAAATTAAGCAACAATCCGTGTAATAATTTTCATTACCTTTTTAGCTTCACATGTCCTAATGGCTTCACCAATTATTTCATATCCACTATCACACGAGTAAGTCGTAACATCGCCGTACTTTGTTCCAGTGGACGACACTGATCCGAGATGTATCTACAATATCAAGCAATGGTACAAGTATAACAAACAATAAGATAATTGAATCGAAGAAACGTGTAGCGAACAAACGGCATCCAAGAATAGGCATCACTCGCGTTCAGTTGATCAGATGTATTACAGAAGCGGATTGTAAAACACGTGCTTGGTTGGGAATGCGTTCACCACCCTAAGTATGTCGCAGCGCATCTTGATATTTTTAAAATTTGGTTTTGTACTGCTATCGATGATAACGTTTTTTTTTTCGCTGGTACCAGGTACATGTCTAACAACTTAAATCACCAAAATAAGAACTTTTAATAATAACTTTTTGCCTCAAAGAGAATTCTTGTTACTGCAAATAGAGTATGATATTTAGAAGTTTGAATCGTCACTTGGTAATTTACTCCGTGGCCGTCTGTCAAAATTGAGGCAAACCTCCAGTACAGCAATTATCAAACAAAATGCATAGACATACAAAATCCAGTGTCAACGTATTATTTTTCAAATTTAAACGCTTTTGGCCGTGTTTAATATTAGGATCCTATTGCATTCAGCTTGAAGTCCCCTTCCGTGAAATCAAAATTAATAATACACTAATTGTTTTCGTAAAAACTTTTTATTTCTGATATCAAAGCTGCCATAGCAAGCGCATGCAAGCAATACAAATTCTTTCTTCAAGCTAAAGCGTTTTAATTGAGCGCAAAAAAATTATTCAAAGACATGGACAGAATACAAAGCAAAATGTCAACTGAAATATGCAAGCCTTACTAAACTGAAAGTTTGATGAAATCAACAAAATACCGTATAAACTAGGAGGTGGACTGCTTTAACTATTACTCTTCAAAACTATGAATTATGGTCGCAAAAGAAATCCCTCCGAAAGGACATATCGGAAAAGCTCGCCCGCTAGAGAACGCAAGCAAGCTTCAAGGGTGATTTGTTTCATCTCGACGGCCGATTCCGCATTCAACCACTACATTTTTGCTATTACTGGTAATGACAAATAAAATGAAAGTTAAAAAATTGTGATTGAAATTAATTCCCGTCTTCCACTAGCTATTGTATCATTTCGGACAATATTATACAGCTTTTACATGGCCGATCCAATAATGATATACAGGGTACCCATAAAGTTCCTTTACAATTTCAATTTTGTTATGAAGTCAGTTTGACCAGGTTTGTTGCTTTTCAGTCAGTAATTGTTTTAGTATTTTTACTTCATTCAACACATCTGTGAGGTCCAAAACAATATAGGGTAGAGATAAATTTCCTTTGTACTTTCGAAAAAATTCAGGACTTTATGAACACCCTATATATATATATAGATATATATTTCTCCATTGTGGGAATTATTGCTAATGGAATTATTTGTGCATACGCATATTTCTGTTTCTTTTCTATTGATGCCCAAAACCAACGTTGTTTTATTTATAACTAAATATCCTTTCCATAAAATGTAAATTATAAAAGCATTCTTCATTCAGCAAGACGACCATAATTTTAAAATAAAAATTGAATAGCTATTATGCCTAAACAAATTAATTTCAACAATCTGTCTCGTAAACTGGGTTTTTCTGTGATACGATCCTTGAGCGTTTTTTACCAATATTAATTTTCTATCAACCCACCTCTTTGGGACTAGGGCAAGATACTTTTAAACATTTAATCAGATCGGCATCCACATTTACTCCTCTTGCTTTCCAAACACTGTCACTCCCACAGCGAAACGTGAACACTTTGATTATTTTCCTGGTTTTATACGCCAGTTCATGCCCAAGATTACATCTCACTTCAATGGTGTAATCATTCTAAATAAAATTTAATAAAAAAAGACTTTGTTGAATATTAAACGAAAATTTGATTTTTTGAGCTATTGAACTCAGATTTTAAACTTTAAAAAATACCAACATTGATTATTATCAGACGTTAAGAACGTTTACTCCTAGGTTTTAGAGTTATCAACTTTCGGATTAAACCAGTTCTAGCCGGTTTTTGTGTGTTTCGAAAATACTATAACCAAAAGTAAGGCAGACAAAACCCCTCAATTGAAATTCAATTATTTCCAGTAATTTGTCAAAAAATGATTCCTATAGCTTACTAAATAACTCACAGGAATGTAAAATTAACGATTACAAAAACGATTAAAGGTTACAAACAAAACATGTAAGTCGTACTAGCAAGCGCGAGACAAGTATAGCAAAGTAAAACAAGTGTGGGGCAAGTGAGACACAACATTTTTGAGACATTAGATAAGAATTAGCGGAACTCCTGTAGTATGCAAACCAAGATGGCGGACACCGGAACATAGTATGTGTACCAGGTTAGGGTTAGGCCATAATGTTATTCAAATATTTCATTTTCAGTTTTATTACGAGTTCGGGGACTAGCCAAGTGACTCCTGTAGTATTCGTACCCAAAATTATAGCCTAACCCTAACCTGGTACACATACTACGTTCCGGTGTCCGCAATCTTGGTTCGCATACTACAGGAGTACCGAACTAGCAACCACTGTTACAGTTTAAGTGACAACTCGACTGATCTCCAGAAATTGTGAGTTTAAACATAATATAAGATAAAATTTCAACTTACTGTGTGTTCTACAACTGTCCCTTCGTCTGATTCAATCGTGGGACAGGGTCGACAAAACTCTGTCGGTCTTCTTTCGATATTTCCAATAATTCCGTCTCCAATGTCTGGCCACGCTCGAACGTTTCCAACATGGTTGGCGCAATTTCTCCAGAGAAGTATTACGTCGTTCGGAGTGAAGGCCCGATCGTGTATGTTGAAGTGTGAGATTGTTCCTGCAATGTAAATGAATAAGTTGTAATGTGTTGGGAGCACAAACGTTATTTGTCACGTAGAATTGGTTATCCATTCAACCCGGAAGGTTTTTCATGCTCTACAGCCGGTTATAGTACAAAGCCTTGTAAAACAATACTCTAACTAAGGGACAAAAGTGAACAACTTAAACAAAATGTGACAAATCAAAAAGAACCACATTTTATCACTCAATGATAACGATAGATTTGTATGAGAACTTTCTTCTTTCGTAAATCAATATTTAAGTTGAGCGATTACTGACGTTTGCTACAGCCAACATAACAGTTTTGTTTACTACTTCATGAAAAGTAACCATAACGTTTAAATAAATGAAATACGTTTTTCTTCAATTGACGAATTTTTTATGAATGGATACTAAATTTAGAATCACGAAATAACTATCTATTTGTAAATTGCACCATTCAGATTTGTAGCTTGACCAAGGTTATTTTATGGTCTAACGATTTTCTCATTTTAATAATTATTTTATGATTTGGTATCCACGTATTCACACTAAAATACCTAAAAATTCTTGAGAAGCAGAGAAGCCTCCACCAAGCGAGTCTTGTTCCTGTCCAATCACTAGAACACCACCTCCAGGTATGGTTTGGCCAGTTGCCAGGCCTTCCCCACTGTCTTCCAACAAACCATCTAGGTAAATGTACCAATTTCCACCTTCGCTTGTCCACACAATGGTGACCAAATACCAGCGACCATCGTTGATTGGTCTCGAGTCACTGACAGCAAATTCCCCATTTACATATCTGTGAAGATGAACAGAGATGCTGGATCGATTAAACAGATTTTTATGGTTTCCATATGATACTTCTGCCCAAAATAAGATGGGGGTCTTTCAGGTGAAAAGAGAAGGTAAAATGGGGCAAATTATCACGCATAAGAGCTACGCTAGGTTGTAGGCACTTCCCATCCACTCCATGCAAGGATCTAGACAAGAAGATATTTTTATGGAAGAATATGAAGGCTGGAATCTTTTTTTTTTTTATAGAGACAGTAAGTGACTATACCAAATGAATGGAATACTCGTTGTGGGGGTAGGTGTGATATATGGGCAATCATGGTTTTGTAAAAACTAAAAATCTGACGAAATAAGTGAAAATTACACGAAGGGCACAATAACCTAGCAGTTTGACTAGTGGGCGAACTACGTTGGCGTCGCACGGTAAAAAAATTGTGACGAAAGTCCATGCCGCCAAGTCATCCAAGGTGTAAACATTTGGGTGGGCAATGTCGTACAGGAGAGATTCCTGTCATTCCCGAATTAGTAGATCGTAACTGCTACTAGTCAGTAACTGCTTATACACAACATTGTGTGGGGCGAAAGTCTGAAACTTCTCATACAAAAAATCAAAAAAGAAGTGAATTTGTGCGTTTGTGATACTTAATTCAATTTTCAAGACAGTTGAAAAATCGGAGCTACTCACAAAGTCAGTGCTGTTAAATCTGTCAATGTCAGAGTGTCTGCTTCTATTCCATCTCCGATGGCGTAGGAAAACGGGGTTCCGTATGTTTCGGTATCGTTTGATCGAAGATAAAATGATACAGTAACTTCAGTCATGTTCCCAAGAGCGTAATCAAGTTTTACATGATGGTAGGTGTTGGGTTTTCCAAAGTATAAATCGAAATATGGATCGCCAACTGCAAATGCATTATAAATACAATTTGATAAAAGCTTCATGGTGAACATAAAAGTTACATTACATATGACCGTAACTCATCTAAGCATAATATCACTTGACGGATTGAGTATTTTATATGACGATTTGTCCAAGCCAAAGTCAGTAGTACTCATAAATGAAGAAACTCAGCGAAGCAAAAATCAAAACCTTCTCGTGTGCAACAAATCTGAAAACGAGTGACATTCTGTTTGGAAGTTTGGAGTTACGTTATTTACCCAGTGGGTCTTTTTCAGGTTCGAATTCGTAGGGCAGGGGTTAATGTTGCGTGTTTACGGTGTCCTCCGTCATTAAAGGCCATGCATATGGAACAGTTAACTGGTTAACTTACTGATTTTGAGCAACATAACATGCTGTTGAATCAAGAGGTTAACCAGTTGATCTTTCCCAAACGCCATGGACAGACAAATGTGTGATAATTAATAACATTTTTGCCATCCTCGTTGCGTGAGATTAAAACTTTTTGTACTAACAGGATGTTTCGAAATTGTACATTTGTAAAATAGAAATTTCGGAGGAAAGTAATGTAGTGATGCAAAAACTTGAACAGCGCACCTTCTTCACAATGTTGTCCAATGTAAGTCGGGGGACAAAGACATTTGTAAGAATTGATGAGATCGAGGCATTCTCCATTCACGCATGGATTGCTGGAACATTCGTTTATATTTTCACCGCAGTAATCACCGGCATAGCCTGGTTTGCAAACACATCTGCAATATAGAAAAATATATTTATATCACTGTTTTATAATTTACTTTGATCAATAAGTAGATAAATAAACAATTCACGGATCGCTCTGTCATTATGTTGTTGTTGTTCTTGTTCTTTGTCACAGAAAAAAAAAGCTTTTTTCTTTGATTACTGGGCCAAAGGCTTTGACATTCGCTAGATTTTTAAATATTCCAGTGAGCTGTGTGGAATTCTTTTTTTGTGCCATGACGTCATCAAAATTTGCCACCATGTGGCGGATCCACAAACACATATGAGCGCGACGTGTCCATATATTTGAGCATAGCTCTCTTGTCTTTCAAACGATTCAAGGACACCTGGCAGAATGTTTGGCCTAAAAACTTGCAAGTTGAGCGGATTATTATACTATGCCGCAATGATTAAAAGATATTTCACAAACTTTATTGACGCTGCTGAAATATTCAAATAAATAGAACGTGACTGACATTCATTGAACATTCTCGAACTTCCGATATAAAATTTGCATCTTAAAAATAGGTGATTGCGATTTGACAAATGTTTAAATAACCACATGGATTGCTTTATTATTGAATTTATCATTCTCCCGCAGAAAACCTCGAGGTTTTTAAGAGACGTATCACATTTTTATTAAAAACAATACTCTAGAAAAGCCACTGATAGCATATATTAAAGCATACTTCGAAAGTACTCCCGTAGTATGTACTAGGTTAGGGTTAGGCCATAATTTTATTTCGATTTTCCTTATTTTAATCCTATTACGAGTTCGGAAACTGTCTGTGTTAGCTAATTGAACATCCCCCTGCCCACGGGCTCCCGTCCCTTTAGACAACTTGATGTAAAGTAGGCGAACAAAATTAGTTACCGACATATTGGTACACACACTTCTGGAGCGCCAAAAAGTACAAATGTGTCATAACCAGAATCAAATCACATTGTAACTTACTCAAAATCATTTATCCCATCAACACAGGTGGCTCCGTTTAGACATGGATCGGAGGCACAATCATCGATATTAGTCTGACACATTACTCCTTCAAATCCTTCGGAGCAGTTGCAATGAAAACTGGCAACCCTATCTACGCATGTGCCGTTGTGATGACAGGGATTCGATGCACATTCGTCGATGTCCACCTCACATAGATCGCCTGTTATAGTAATAAATTTTATTAATTTTATTCCGATTGCCCTCATTTTAGTTATATTACGAGTTCGGGGACTGTCTGTGTTAGCAAAGTGAATCGTTCCCCTGTCCCTAGGTTTTGTTAGACCCTTTACACAACTTGATGCAAAGTAGGCGAACAAAATTAGTTACTTCCATATTGGTACATACACTTCTACAGCGACAAAAATTTAAATTGAATAGAAACTGAATTAATTACAAGTATGTCTGGAACATGGACATGCCTGAGTATTGTACACATGTTATGTCTTGTGTACATCTAACGAGAGCACACAAATCTACTTCCTATTTTGTGGAAAAGATTATGTTATTTTCACATTTTATAAAATGAATTTATTATTGACAGAACAATTTATTTATGAAATAATTTTGAGATGGGAAAGATAGAAGAAAACGAGGCTATGAAGATAGTAATGAAAACAGATACAGAATATCGGTATGAGATTTGTTTGTAATAAAAATCTATTTAAATACAAAGTATAGTAAACTGGCAACTCAAATGATAAGACATAACAGGATCACATACAGAAGGTATAAGCCTACGATGGCCTGACTAACCTCTTGCGCAGGGGTTCTCAAACGGGGGGGGTGGGGCACAAAAGGGGTACACAATTTTTTGAGGAGGCGTGGAACTAATCAAAAATAAAAATATTTGTTAGATTTGATCTTGCCCGCCTTATTTTGGATATTTACATTTCAAAACTTTTCATTTATTTCATTATTCACGTTCCATCCACGCATTTTCAACGTGTTGTTTGAATAAAACATACTTTATCCTAAAAAGGCTTGAAAGGTATGAGAACCACTGCTCTAGTATAGCGCTTAACACGTTAGGTCTTATTCATTTGTATCGTATGTTGAAGACCTCGAGTTTAAATCTCATGTCCACCCCCACACAAGGGTGTTATAAGTTGCGTATGCTAAACCGAAAAGATTACATTCTCCAAGAATAGTAGAGACCCGTGTACCAGCGGTCTTTGCACAAAGCCTTGTTCGGAGTAAAATCGGAAAATTATGGTTTCAGTTATGTTGCTAATTCTAAAGCTAATTCTAAATGTCCAACAACTTACCGATGAAACCAGAATTGCATTCACAACTGAATTCATTCAGGAGATCGACGCAAGTAGCTCCATTGTTGCAGGGTGAACTTTGACATTCGTCTGTTTCAATGCGACAGTATTCTCCTTCGTATCCCGGCGCACATTCACAACTAATAGTAAGAGAGCATTGAGTTAGATACTCCAACTATAATCATTTTAAGATCTGTTTCATTACTAGACAAAGCACTCAAACTGAGTGTACACAGGTAAACAAACACTCTTTCTTGTATTCGATAGTACATCAATTAATTAACTACAACTTTGACTCACTGCCTGCATTTTGGATCAGCTCACGTTTAATGAGCGATACCAAAAAAGTTAAAATTCGACTTTATTGTGATAGGCATCAAAAATTACACTTTTATAATATATTAACATAATTTCAGTGTATTTGCATTAAATTTAGAGAATTTAGCCTGCGTGATTCTATTAAATTACAATGCAAGGCTTAATTTTCAATAAACCTTAGTCATTTAAAATTAAAATTCATCCCGAAAGTGAAGATGCAAAGTGGCATAAACAAATAATTTTTAAAATTAAGCTTATGGGGAATGCTGTCGAAAGAGCATAAAATCACACTTGTTACAGTTTAGATATACTGAGTGTCCATAAAGTTATTTTACAATTTCAATTTGGCTATGAAGTCAGTTCTCAATATATCTTAACCTAGTTTGTTGTTTTTTATCAGTAATTGTTCAAGTATTTTTACATCATGTATTATATCTGTGAGGGCCAAACCAATATACGGTATCAATTATACCCCTTGCAATTAAAACAAAATTGAGACTTCACGGACGCCTCATATATGCGATGTGATGTGAATGTATTCACTGAAATTGAATCGAATCAACAATATGAACATTCGTCCATGATTTGTACCTGAATCCGTTAATTTCGTCGATGCATGTGGAACCTTCTGCACATATGTGTAAAGAACATTCATCAATATCAATCTCGCAAACATCACCTGAAAATTACAATATGAATATTCTTAGCGAAAATAGAAACATAGTTGAAAAATACAACATACAGAATATATTCAAATTATTATTCATAAGGTCCAAACCGTCGGTATCAACAAGAGTTATTAATAAACAAATGAATTAATTCATGGCATATACTACCAAAATAATATTAGATAGGATTGAACGTGCAAGCCGTTTAACTTATGGAACATTTGACAAGCGAATGCCGTGCATCTAAAAGTACCGCTATAGCCGAGCGTCGACTCGGATAAATGTCCTAATTAAAACAAACCAATGACTCTAAATGAAATGTAATCGTTTTTTTTTATTTTACGTCGATTTCAAACGCCTATGTACGCTATATGAATCGGTTGAATCAAAAAATTAAGACACTTTTCATCAAATTATCATTCGATTTCCTTGATCGACAACTCAGCCTTACCTGAATATCCCGGTTGGCAAGTGCATGTGAATGTAGTTCCGTGCCCAGAGCATGATGCGTTGTTCTTGCATGGTTCTGGGGAAACAGATATGTCGGTGAGACACGGTATAGTAATTGTTACAATAATCACAAATAAAACACCGACTACAATTGCTCATTAAAGATATTTTTCGAGAACAGTTATAGTTTTACAATTCAATTTATTTACCAAGACGCGAGAAATCTCATGGAATGTGCAATGATGGGGCGTAGACCAATATTTCAAGATACTTCAGACAAACGGCACAATAAGTTCCGGGGAAAGATATACCGGAATGACAAAGTAACGCAATTTTCAATAATCAGAAATAAGACGCCGATAGGTATTGCTCATCAAAGATAACGTTTCAAGAAATGTCTGATTCAAAAAAAAAGAATATAGTGGCGACAAATTCGTAATTCATACGAAAGTTGATCAAAATCACGATACTTAACAGTTTTAGTCTAAAATTCTCCAAATAATGAGAGCGATAGCGGTTTTTAAACTTTTCAATTATAATAATCGTACGAGAAATTTTCGTACCCTCATACAAGGCTATGAACAAGCAACTTATACGTACGTGAGTAGCTACTAGCTACTACATTTGGAGGAAACGAAATCAATATATTGAGATAGTAGGCGGAAACCGGTATCTTTAACATGCGGCGCCAACGTAGTTAGACCAGGGCTTTCTGACAGCCATCTCGCCTACAATAGCATAGAAGAACTTTTTCTACTACTTACTTGCAAAGCATTCATTGTAGTAAAGAGCTTCAAGTAACGCTTCGTCGTCCATTTCTCCTTCTGCAAAAAAGGTAGCAGATAATTGTTACGATCATGAGAGACAGTCTGGTTCATATTTCCAGTTCAAGCCGGGTTACATTGATTGTTACAATAATTAGAAATAAAACGACGGCAGGTATTGCTCATTGAATATAAAATTTCAAGAAAAGCCCGATTTAAAAAAAATATATAGTGGCGACAAATTCATACGAAGGGTATATATTCGGAAATATAGTGAAAAAATCCATGCGATATTGATTGGGCTTGAGGGCAACTAACTACCGTACATATTCTTCTTTATGTTTTGTTCCGGTGGGTCCGTATGCATATATTTAATATAAGGATGTTATAGCAAGATTAAAAATACCCATTCTGAGGGATTCAGAGTCTTGCTATACACTAACATAAATATATTTCTGTAACGTTTGACTTTGGTCAGTGTGCAGCAAGACTCTTGAGTCACTTAGAATATTTATTCATGTTTAGAATTAATACTGATTTATAGAAGACTTTATAATTAACAGAAATTGAGGGGAAGAATATTATTACTCACATGGATACATCAGTGCAAGTTTTTTTTTAAATATGTGGAACATTTTTCATCGAAAGGCCTTCTAAGGCCTTTCATTCTAGCCTTCTATATCATTAACAGAAATTAAGGGGAAGAATATTATTACTCACATGGATACATCAGTGCAATTTTTTTTTTTTTTTAAATATGTGGAACATTTTTCATCGAACCGAAACATTTTTACTTACTTACTGTAACACAACAGTATGTCTTAATCGAGCTATTTTTGTCAAAGTCCACTGGCGACGCTAAGCCTTCTGAGTGAGCTATATATAGTAACAAATGACCAATTCAAAGGATACCGACTAGAATTAAGGAACAATCTGTTTCCAAGTGTAATGAAGGTTCACATGCTTGGTAAAGAATATTTTAGAGATAATTAAGATAATAATTATTTGATTGACATCTAGTCGCTACGTAACATTGTCAACCCGCTAAGGTTGACGCGCAAAATAGCTCTCTCTATGTTAGCGAGCCAGGAATTTTTATATACATATATGTAATAAAAATTGTCCAAATCCATTGTCTATTAACTTTTGAAAACATTGTTACATATATGGTCCAACTTTAACAAGATAAAATATCATGCGATCAAATGTTTAAAAATATAGAACAATTTAGAGTCTAGCATATGAGATTTATCTTAAAAAATGATTCAACAAACATAAATATGTATTTGCGGTAATATTGATCAGTGTAAAATGGCGTCCATAACCACTTTAGCAGTCCGATATTTTTTTTTATGCGAGGTTAATAAAATTCAAAGAAAGCATGTAAAAAGAACTGTGATTATAAGCATGTCTGGAATGGGTTGTGATCAAGTATAAACTCAGTTCAAAATTATACAAAAACATAACAATATAAAATGTTAGCAAGGCCTTTAGCTAAATAGGACGAATCTCTAAAAAGCTGCCTCGAAAAATTAGCGAAATATATTTTTGATCCCTAAACTTCTGTAACTTCTTATTGATATACTTTGGTGAATATTGCTTCAAACAGTGATTGAATTCGACTTAAAAGGCACCTTTGTACTTTAGTAATATTTTGGAATAAATGTTTTTCTAAATTTTGACATCAGTCCGTTGTATTGAAACCCTCGGTACAGAAAAGCAATATACATAATACATCGGTCAGACTACCCGAACTCAGGAAAACTTTACAAATTAAGCTATTTTCTTACGTTATTTATACAGATCTTGACCTTCTAAGATCACCTATTTCATAACTCACATTCATATTTCAACGACAATGGCCTTTCTGATTGCAATATACCACTCATCTCACGTAATTTTTTTGTGACTTTTTAAAAGCACTTTGATTGGTTGCACCCGGAAATATATTTTCTCTCGACAACCGGAATCAACCTAATAGGAATATTTCCAGCTTAGTAAGGACCGTACATATATAAAGTTTTTATATATGGCCAGTGCTCGACCTTGCCTGATTGCCGGTTTCATCATATCTTTAAATATACAAAATTACGAAATTCAAGGCGATTATATTTCCGTAAACAACTAATTCTACGTGCACGACTCGGTTTGACTTTTGTCCAAATTTCGATATAATTGATATTTTCTATTTGATTTGTTTGTATTTAAAGTTCTGTAGTTAATTTGATTTTATAGAATATACGTCGATTACAGAACCACGCAAGACATATAATCATATGCAGTATGTCTATAAAGTACAAGGTTTTTAGTTTAATCACCGTTAGAAAATGAGTTCAGCAACAAATATTAAGCACTTATCAGAATTTTGAACTGTTAATATATAGATGATAGACTGACTAGAATATTCAAGTATATATGCTCACTGATAGAATGCCTTTTAAACAAATACTGAGATTTATTTTGCTTTAAAAAGGAAGGTAACTACAAAATATTCAAATTAAGTATTTCACTTTTTTATGATTGCGTGCGTATTGATGCAAATGGCCAATACTAAAGTCACGTTGCACAATATTCATGTTTTTTTTTATTTTATTCAATTCTTTAATCACAAATTACTATTCAATCATAAATAAATTAAACTTGGTCAAAATTGAGATAGAGGGCAACGACAGAAGTGAGATTATGAAGGATAATATTATGAAATCACAACCCAACGCTCACCCGGAAACTCATGCTTGAAAAATTAATTATTTGAAGTCTTGCATCCAGCCCCCCTTTTTTAATGAGAAGCTGCGTTTAATTTATTATAGAATAATAATTATTATAATGAATTATACGAAAATCGATACTTCTGTAGTATGTGTATACCAAGTTAGGGTTAAGCCATAATTTTATTCCGATTTTTCTTATTTTAGTTCTATTACGTTGAGTTCAGGAACTGTTTGTGTTAGCCAAGTGAATATACCCCCTGTCCCTAGGCTTCCGTTCCCTTTACACAACTTGATGTAAAGTAGGCGAACAGAATTAATTACCACCATATTAGTACACACACTTCTGGAGCGCTCGAAAATGGATGAAAGATTGTTCGAACATAGCGTTCCTTACATGAACATACATCTTCGTATCCTAAATGCATTACTTCCCAATTGTAATCCATGATCGAGCATGATCGCTAATTCAGATCGACACTGAAGTACGTTTCAAGTATAAACCATGCTTGACAAACCCTATTACTATTTACGTCATTGGGTACGATAGCCTTGCTGATTGGTTTTCGCGACTTTTTTCTGATTGCGATCGCATTCTCTCTGAAGTCTGGAATGAATCAAAATGTTCCTAACAGAGTAGAATGTAAATGATAAGCTATGACTGTAGTAAGGTTGTGAAATAAAAGCGTCGTTTGCAGAGAGACTTGCGTTTTGAAAGTAAGCAATCCGCGGTTTTAGTTTTGATGTAATATATAGGCGGTGCCGTAAAACGAACAGAAGAAATTTTAAATCCAGTAAAAAGTTTTACTTTTAACTCACAAGGCATAACTCGAATCACCCCAAAACAAATAAACCAATTATTTTGCAGATTATTGGTTCAATTTCAGTTTCAAGTGGTAGCATCAGGTGTTCTTCATAAATAGGCTTCGAGAAATGCGGTATGGAAAATAGTTTTTATTGACGAAATCTTGGTCCTTGGGCCAGGATAAACATAAGATGATATTTTCCTATTTATTCATTGTAGTTGCGGGGAGAATTTTGATGAAGTCAACTAATCGTCAGAAAACAACAGCAAAACAGAAAAGTCATTATTAAATACCTCATACTATGCAAATAGTTTAAGAAACGACGAGAAACAAACAGTGATAAATAAACTACGATTTGATAGAGAGATTTACGCAGGCAATTTACATTGAAAATGATATTAGGAAAATTCGCCGCAAGAAATTTCGCTGTAAGAAATCTCGCCGTCTGAAATTTTGCCACATGGGAAAAAAAAACCCGTATGAAAAATCGCCTTATATAAAAAAGATTCGGTTTAAGAGCACAACCTAACCCTAACCCTATAAACTGTTTAATCATAAAAACTTGTTTTACAGCAAAATGCTCTTGCGATTTATCCTATGTGAAAAAATTTCCCGCGGCGAAATTCCCGGAGACGTTAAAAACAGCTTGAAGGTGGTGGTCGTTCATATGAAATACAAATTGATATTTGTTTGAATACCGTTTTTGTTACAATCAAAGGCCATTACCACTTAAAATGACAGATAGAAAAGCATTAATAAACATGGATGTACCTGCAGTCATTGGAATGTGCTTACTATTGTCTAAACCAGTGTGTCCCATGAGCGTATGGGTCGCGACCATCGCCGGATTAACCATTAAACAATATAAGCACGTGCTTAGGGCACCATGCAAAGCGGGGCACCACAGACATTTTAGAGCAGAATTTTATATAGTTTATCGGTGTTTATTAAATATTACGAGTTCACCCGACGACTCAAACTTCGGAATGTTCGCCTATTTTTTGTCTTCAAACATCATATTAACCTTCTTTATTAAAAAATAAACACTGAAAATTAATTATCGGACACGAAAAGTTTTTCTACAAAAATAATAAATGTAGAACATAAATGGTATACAGAAAATTTGTTTTGTAATAGAAATTTATTTTAATGCTGTACTACAATCGTTTAATATTTACGCATATTCTCGGGTCATAAAATTTCACAAATTTGTTTTTTTTCAAACAACTCAGATTGCTTGAAAAAAGGCTGGGAATCACTGACCTTCTACGATTCTCTTGATTGTGCGTGAATCAAATTTTCTAATATATTTTGTTCAATTAAGTTTCAGAATGTTACCTAAAAACGGTACATATTTTGTAATTTTTCTTTCTGGAATACTATTTTGCAAGTGTGAATTCTGTCCCAAGAAATGCACGTGTCAGCAAAGAATAGTTCAATGCAGCGGAAAAAAACTGACAGAGATTCCAATAAATATTCCATCGAGAGTATCGGAGCTAATTGCTGATGATAATTTTATCTCAGAGGTAATTATTGGAAGAGAATT